ACTCCGCGCTATTCCTCCATCAATACCCTTAATGACAATAAATAGCGCTCGAAGGATAACGAGTTTCCATTGCGACCGATTTATAATTATACAATGAGATAATAAAGTATGTTGTTGTGCGTGTACGGTGTGTGCAGTTGCAGCTAGACTAGTTGTTGCCGATCGGTCGTTATTACGTTAGTTATGAATTAAGTTTTTTTTTTGTATTCTTGAACATAAACATGGATTTTCAAAGACATTGTTACTTAGGCGGCGGGCAGTTTTCCAGTTGGAAATACACGCAATTCGGTAATCCTGATAGCGGCGTAAGTAAACTAGAATTTATTAAAATAATTTTTCTATTTTATTTGAAAACTTTGATCACTTCCATTTATGCATTTTTTTATAATTGTTTTCTGTGTGCATCATCTGTGTGCAACAAAAAAATAAATTGGTTCTAATTAAAGCAGATAATTAAGTAAGTTAAAAAACCACTCTGTATATAATTTATTTCATTATACGAAGGCTTATAAATCACCTTCGAGTATTGCACAAATTTATTTATCTCCTATCGATACTATATGCAGTAATTTATCATATTATGTAGGAACATTTAGATCAGTAAACTTTCAATTGGTAGAATTCAATTGGACTTCTGTTAATTTATTTTAATAAAACCGAACGTGCAGCATTAGTGAAATAAAATTATCGCTATGTTTTCTATGAAGGAATAATATTCGTTAAATTCCATTATTTCGATGATAATTCAATATTTAAGCGAATTAATTTGGAGGTTTACGAGATAACTCCTGAACTTTTTTAGGATGCCCCGCTTTGCGTAATCACAAAATGCATCACACACTATTTTTGTTCCATTTATCGCGCAAAAGATGACCCCCTTATCATTTATAGCCAAAAAGTGCATTTAATTGATTAGATAACCAGCCGAATTTTGCATTTGCTACCTTTTAGTTTCCGAACTTTTCGTTCCGAAATTTTTCGAACAAATTCCACAATAGCCCATCTGTCGAATGTTTCGGGTTTTCCTATAATTTTAATTGCCCAAAATTTATTTAAGCAGGTATTTTCCCAAACGGACAAGATCGTGTTTATTATTTACGGACCTTCTACAAGCAAAAGTAAATAACCACCTGAACGCCGCTAAGACTTGTTAGAGAGGATTAAAAATTTTACCACCCATATTATAAAAAGGTAATCGCCCCCATAATGAATTTAACTGTTGCCCATGAATATTTATACCGCCACCTTATTTTGTGATATGCATTTACAGGATGTTAGAGTCGAAGTCGTTCTGTTTAACGTCTTTTTTAAATTTTTTTAAATGCTCGTTCTACTACAAATTCTAAACGAAAATGTAGACTAACAACAAATGACTGAATAAATTATTATTTTCATAAATTTTTCAGTACATTAAATTTGCCAATAAGAATTTATTTAGAAAATCTATATTGTGTAATTTAATAAAGGAAATGTCGTTTTCATTATTGAATATGTATGCCTGAATTATACGTTGTATTTATAAATATAATGCACTCCCCACGCTCTTCTCCATCATTATTACGCTTATATCTTTTTCATTTCGCTTTATAATATATTCCGCGATAAAGAGTTACTTATAAATTCCGTCCTACACCTTTTTTTGAATTCTTCTGAAATTGTTAAAATATTATAATGCGAAGAGGCCAGGAAATGTAAATGAGCAGCGAATTTAATTTAATTTAATTTTAATGTTTAGGGGACGGTCTGTTTAACATTACGGTTTTGTCATCAATTATTTATCGGAAGGAGGAATTGACACGAAACCGTTTTTGTAACTAACCATCAGTTAGGTTATAATCTTGAGTATGAAATAAAATATAACAACGTGGCAACGTCGCGATATTTTAACCGGCGACGTCATCGTCAAATTAGCTTGATCGTAGTTTAATATCGATTTAAAAATAACTATTATTAATCTTTAGTTAAACTTATTAACGTCCTCATCGTAAAGTTGAAATAAGAGCACTAAATATTACATCAATCGGGCTTATATGATAGTCATGACCACTTCACTTTACTGCGTCATTATTAATAGAATTTAGATTGAAAAATAATATTTGTGTAGATACGGAGAAAGGCGAGCTTTCGTTTCAAGAAAAATCGATGTTAGACTCGGTTAATTATGGCCGATTAAAATAAATTGGTACAGATAAATCGACTTTTAACAATAACAACGTCGTAATGAATCTATTAAAAAAAACCCATTTGATCGAGATTATATACAAAGAGATTTATTGCAATGTTTATAAAAAAAAACACTTTAATTTAGCGTAGCGATAATAACACCGAAATTCTACTTAGTACATGCGATATTTCAAAACAATGATATTTTAAAATGTAGGTATAAATATAATCGTCTTTTTCGTGAAAATTTATATCAACTGAAAAACAATATTCGAAAAAAATATATTGCAATTCACGAAAATTGATTCTGTTCACACTTCAGATAATGAGTCACCCAAATTTTTGCATTATTTTACCAATAATTCACACTATGATTGATATTAGGAATATTAAGCGGCTATTCTACGAGATTAATTTTAAACTCCCCCTGTAGGGTAGTGTACTTCATTTGTGTGAGGGAGAATCACCCCATGTTTCCCCTCATAGGATCAGGTACAATTGTTCAGAATGCAGTTTTCGTTATCCAGTATAAGTAATTACTTATTATATTCCGTTCAAGCATCTTCACTTGAAGCATTCATTACTCAATTTTATTTAATATATGTAAACTATATTTTTACAGTAACTTTATTTTAACCGAAGTACCTACTAGGTTTTAATGCTTCTTGTTACATTGCTTATTTGAATACGGGCGATCAACTAAGCAAAAAATAATTGTGCGATTTTGCTTAATTTCCTTAAGTGTCGTTTCTCGGTATACAAGTCGCTCCCGCACACAGACACACATCATTTTTCTTAGAAAATCATAATGGTTGCGATAAATAGAAAATTACTATAGTTAGTTACTCTTGACTTTGCGCATTTTTGCCAGCGCGATGTTTATCGCATGTCTTTTGAACAATTTCTCGGGATGGGTTCTCGCGTTTCTAAAAATAGTCGGTATACAGGACGAGTGAATCTTCAACAATAACTCTTAGTTTCGTACTCGGAGTGTCGATTGTAAGAATTTAATATACTTTTTGGTTAAAGTTATGGTTCTTTAAAAAAGAGACGGGGTTAGTTTACGACTCCACAAATTTATTTTTCGAGTCCCCTTTAGAGAGTTTGCCGATGACAGAAGTATTTCAATATAGAATCTGATCGGCGAAAGAGGAGGAAAAAAGAAACTAAAGAAGAGAAGGAAACGGTTACATCGTTACTTTTTAGTGTCCGTAAAACCGGGAGATACAGTTCTATATATTTTGTATCGAAATTTATATGAGAAAATTTATTATCTGGTGTGGTTAAGCGACCATTCAGCATATTTCCCCGATATATTATACCGTTGGTGGAGAGAACTTTATAGCGCGATTTTTGTCCAGTCATCATTTATGTACGTCTCCTTTGGAGAGTGAGGGGGTTAGCTATGTATGTAAGGGTGGAATTTACGATTTTTCTATTCGTTTGGACGTCTTAATACAGGCGGTTTTTCCTTCTTTTAGCCAATTTGCAATCCATTTTCCTCTTCGCGTATAGATAAACGAAGGACGCGGTAATCCGTAGATAAACGTACCATTTAGGTATTGATTGTTGATTTATCGAAGATTACAGTAGAAATCACAGTAGAAAAAATGTGTTGGTAATTTTAAAACGATGTTAATTTTTTACCAACTAATTGTATTCCAGCGATAAAAACTAGCGCTATTTATAAAATTCCCTTCTGTCATAACGCAATTTATCGTTCGTTATCTGCAAATTCTTCGAGTAACCGCAATCTTGTATAGTAATTATTGCGAGCTACTTACAAAGTAGACACAATGCAATTTCCACTATAAATTACGACGATGAAAAAAACCTCGGAACGTAGTTTATATAAGAATCGGGAAAATTTCAAATTCCGATCTGCAACCCTTAAAATATTCCTGAGTCATTACTTTTATATTCCGAATGTGCGAAACACGATCCGCTATAATTTATTTCGAAAAATTTATCGGCGCTACGTGACGTTCGTATATGCGTTTGATACGGATCGGCGGTATAAAAATCTTCATAAAATATTAAAAATGCCCTTACACAAAAGCAGAAACGACTGCACACTTATAGGTATGCTAACGTCGACGGTAATCGTTCTTTTTGTTTTATTTTTTTTTTGTTTGCAATTCGGGGTTTCAACGGCAAATACAATTTTAATAAGTTTTTTTACTAATGGCGCATAATTTTCTTGCATTGGGCAATTATTATAAACAAACTAGTTTGGTATAAATTTAGCCGTGTCATATTTATTTCATATTAATATTTATATCTCCAGACCGGTTTATTCATATTTTATTTGACATAATATTTCTAATCTGAGGATTACTATAAATAACCATTAACATCGTTTATCTCGACATTATAAATTAATTAAAAAAAAAAAACAAATAAATTACCTGCATTAAATCGCAGGTTTATTATCAACATATCCATTGAAAAAAGTAATACAGAGTTTTTGTAAATATTAACACGGAAGACAATACAAACGCGACAATAAAACATTGAGGGTACCAAGCCTTCGAATAATTTCGTTTCGCGTTGTTTCAACGATTATTTTATTTATCTAATAAGGAATTAGATTTGTATTCCGTTCCTTTCATTGTCGCATTTGCGCACCCATTTTTCATTAGGTCCGTTCACACTGAAATCTCGAGTGATCAGAGCCAAGAAAAACTCTCAGTTAGTCACCTGAAAACAAAGACCAGCTAAGTGTAAATACGTTTGTTGGCTCTAACTGGCTGTTAAAAAATAGACCATAGAGAGGAAAATAAAGAGTGTGTAAATCGCACCCTTGCAATTTGTATTAAATTCACGTTCATTTTCAGTACGGTTCCGACGAATTCGCCCACGAATCTCCGCGATACACGTCGCCCGGCGCCAACTCCTACTACCTGTCGGCGGACGGGACGCCGACGACGGCGGTGGGCGGCACCGGAGCGGCGGCGGGTCCCGTCGGTCCGGCGGCGGCGGAATGGCCGCCGGCCGCGTTCACCTACCAAACGTACGAGGCGTACGGTCTCATTCCCGAAACGGAGCAGCCGGGCCAGGGGCTGCCCCCGATGTCCTCGTTGAGGCCGAACGGCGCGGCGGCCGTCACCACGTTGGCGGGGCCCAACAGCGCCGCCTTCGGACCGTCCAGCACGGACGCGGTGGTCAACAAAGGAATGGGAGGCGTAAGTCGACTCGAAATATCCAGGTGAATTTCGTTTGATTGTGGAACATTTGCAGATATATCCTACACCGGAACAGGCCAGCGCTAGCAGTTACAGCTCGGCGCCGTCGACGCCGGTGAGTTCGCCGCCTCCGTTAAATCCTTCCGGTTGGTTGACGAATCACAGCACCCCTCACTCGCCGCACTACACACAAGCCGTCAGTGTAAATAATACTGTTGCCCCTCAGGGAATTCACATGGTAAGTATCAGGGGTCCATGCATACGGAATTTTCGACACCTATCACGTGAAAGTTAAAGAAGAGGTTTAAGTCGACATGACCTAATAAACTATCGCGAAGGATAAATGAATAAAGACAAGTATCTAATATGTACTTTTGTCTATTAAATAATATGAGTCCACTGAGCTTTGAATCAACTTAACTTTCACGTGAATTTGCGCCTTCGCATTGCAATCAATGTATGAGATTGTACAGACAACTCGTCTCGAAGATAAGTAAGGATCAAAAAAGCTAAGTTGAGCTTTGGAAGAAAATTTTGCGCATGTTTTGTACCATCAATTATGAATAAAAATGTTTTACTTGTTATTTCATAGACCGCTGGACCGACTGGAACGACCTGTAGCTATCCTATAAATGTAAGTTACAACGAGAATGTTAATTTTTTTCATAACTGTGTGCTGTATTTGTCTCATACATACGATTGGTATATTTACACCACATTGAAATGTACGTACAGTTTCAGTTAATGTGCTGTAAAGATGATTCTTTTTAGACGAGTGTTCGTTTGTAGATTTACTGTAGCACCTTTTGATAATTATTGGCGTTTATACCTGTATTTTTTTTTTAATTTGCAACCGTTTCTTTTAAAAAAATGCATTCGATTATGCTCGTGTTTTTTTTTGCACCAGGAGAATTCAAGTGGCTGTGACACGTTGTGTCGTTTAATACGCAATATAATTAATATAATCCACAGATTGAAATTATGTAATTTCATCGCCCGGTCTTAGACAGTTTTGTTCGTGATAGGTATTAAAATGATATTATCACGCAATAATGATACATATGTAAACTCGCATTCATCCGGTTTATTGGAGCAATTATGACAGGATTGTTTCTATTACAATAAAGTACCGAATACTCGTGGACGCAAACACTGCATTTGAATTCTCCTATTGATCGGATTTGCGCTAATTAACCAGATTTCGAAGCAAATTAAAAAAGAAAGGACGATACCTCACGATCCGTTTTTTTTATTTTTTGCATGACCGTTTTTTTTTGTTTTTGCGTTTTGAAGCCTCCCGCACCCGAAGCACAACGTTTAGACGATGCTATAGGGTTCCTTAGAGATCATTCCGAAGCGACGGTAAGCCGATTTTTTTTCGTTTATTAGTCACAAAAATACCGCTTTCCGTGTTTTTTCCGTACGATTTGCTTTCGGTTTCGATGAAGATTTCGATCACACGACGATTGTTTTTCTCTCTTTGCAGGGTACTCGTATGGAAGAGAGGCTAGACGATGCGATAAACGTGCTAAGAAACCACGCGGAACCCCTAGGTCTTGTGGGACAACTGCCTACGGCACATCAAATGACCCAATTAGGATACGGAGCGGCGCCACCGACTGAACCTCACCTAGCCGATACTATTAAGGTCGAACGGCCTACATATAATACCAGTAAGTGTTAATTTCGAACTTCAATGGAGAGGAATGCGATTTTTTTTTTCATAAAACTACGTTGTCTTATGAAGACATTGGTGAAATTTTTATTTTTTTCCGTTTCCTATTAAGGCCACAATTATTTTTTTAAGTTTGAAATAATAATAGTAACGTGGTAACGCCGATTGTATACTTTTGACTTTTTAAACTTGTCAGTTGTCAATTTAATAAAAACAAAAACTTAACCTGCAACTAAATTAACTTATATAATTTTAAAATGTCGCATCTGAAGGTAGTTAAAACTTTTTTCATGTCGTTTTGTGAAAATTCTTCATTGTATTATAAAAAAGTGTTTATTTTTGGCCCAAGAAACTTATACGTTTGTAAAAAATACAATAACATAACCCTAGATATGTCATTTAATGTCACATTTCACTTTTGTTCGTTTCTTCTACTCTTCCGAACAATTCGGTTAGTGACTTTACACGCCATGTGTCAAAATTTTAAATTTAAAAGGGCCATATTTCCTAAAATATTGACTATTTTCTGCAACTGAAAACTACTTTCAGTTCTAATGACTAATTTCTATTCATATATCTGGTTAAAAACCGCATCGTACACCTCTCCATTACTCTTATGATACATCTTATTCGAGCTTTACATTTTAATTTTTTTTGAAGAAAAACGCAAAGAGCCTCCAGATGCGGATAGCAAGCCATCGAGTTCGGTAGAAAGTTTAGTACAACCAAATTCAACCAGTGCTCCATCGACGAAATCGACGAAACGGTCGAGAAGATAGTAAGTTCGATAGATGTTTTTATTTTTATTCGCATAGAACCGTGGCAAAACAAGGAAAAAACTTTCGATACGAGTAAGGTGTTTGGTCTCTTACTTGTACGCACACGCACTCAGCTTAATGAAGTTTTTTTCTTAGATTGGTTACGCTTTTTTGCCATTGGTAAATTGTCTTTTTATGTAATGATATTAACATTCGGATAGTCTTGATAATTCATGTTTAAGTAATGCCGATGAAGATGAAATTGACGACCCCAACGGCAAGGCCGTACGCGAGAAAGAGCGTAGACAGGCCAATAACGTTCGTGAACGGTATGTAACAAAAATATTTTGATATTTATATTTCCTTCTATTCACCTGTACACAAATTTTCCAATCGACACCTTTTTTTTCCTCGTAATCAATTGAATTCGGATAAATTTATCTATCCAAATTTTCGACATCTTTACATTGATTGGCCAATGAAATCTACAACTTCCATTACTTACCTGCTTACCTTTTTTTTTCTATAAATTTCCCCCAAAAGGCCCATATTCGGATTACTAATGTTACGTCAAAAAATTTGGAAGCATTTTGGAAACTTCACGTCTAAATTGCCGTAACATTCGTTTTTGGGATTTTGGCCAGCATGCTATGGAAAAATGATATTTATTATTTGGTATTTTGTATAAATTTGTATTATTGCTTTTATATGTATATTATAATATGTAAACACATTGAATATGGGCCTAACAAATTTCCCCTGTTCGAAATTTGATTGTACTCGTGTACTCAACAAGTTCTGGGGTCGCAATTTTCTATAAATCGGTAAATTAATTATTTTACCAAGTTTTAAATCGTAGCTGAAAAGTCATTAGTTTGCTTACGTTGAGTGTAATTGTCAATTTTTGATGCATAAAGTTTCAAATGTAGCTAAGATTTAAAATGAAATCGAAGAGAGAATTGATTGTGTGACGGTTCTTAAATCTTAACAACAGTTGTTCCAGTGCTGATGAAACGGAGGAGGGTGATTTAGATCCGGATATAAAGGCTCAAAGGGAAAAAGAAAGGCGGCAGGCTAATAATGCGAGGGAAAGGTGGGCTACATTTTTTATTTTTCTTTATACGTATCATTTCGATTCGGCCTATATTCTCCAATGTGTTTCATATTAATTTTTTTAAACTGATTAACATTAAGGTAAGGTATTCGCATCGGCGATCTTCTGGTGTTACATTTTGATGACGAGAAACTGTAATCACCTTACAACAACCTAGAGGATGAATGATGAATGCGAATACTCGTGTATTTACATACAGTATACAGGGTGTTAATTATTTAAGTGTCGATATTTCAGGATGAGAATATTTGGGAGATTTTAAGAAAAAAAGTTTATATCACTATGCACTCAATTAATTGACACCCTGTACACACACACCACAAATTTCACGACAAAGTTACCAACGTAATCGTGAATTTTAGAATTAGGATTCGGGATATCAACGAAGCTCTGAAAGAGTTAGGCAGGATGTGCATGGCGCATTTAAAAACCGACAAACCACAGACCAAACTCGGTATTCTAAATATGGCCGTCGAGGTTATCATGACCCTCGAACAGCAGGTTAGGGGTAAGTATTTCCATCGATTGAAAAACTAATAAACGATTTATGATTTTGTTATTTGCGTGTTTTAGAGAGGAATTTGAATCCCAAGGCGGCCTGCTTGAAGAGGAGGGAGGAAGAAAAAGCCGAAGACGGACCTAAATTAGGTCCTGGACCTCACCATATGCTCTCTGGACCCCACTATCCCACATTACCAGTAAGATAGCGTGCTTGTAGCGTTTAAAAAAATTGGAATAATCTAATATAAATTTGCGTTTAGGGAGCACCGACGAATTTGCCTCACAATCCAGGTCAGCCGCAATAGCATTGATAGTATTTTCCGCTACCTGTACATACACACTCGTACAAAACGACATCATCATATTCATCTTCATATTATAAACAATTATCTATTTTTTTAAGAATATTCAGTAGTGATACAATTTGTAATCTTTTTTTTTAATTATTTTTTACATTTTTTTTTCACTTAATTTTATTCGCGGAAACTAAGTTGAGACAGCTTTATTTATTTTTTAAGTGTCGAGGGTAGCTGGCGATGGGGAAATTAGTGAAAAATGACTCGAACTAAAGGCTATTTCTGTTAAAAAAAAAACATTGTTCTGCCATTAATGTAAACTTGTCCGTTTCTAATTGTGTCATGTAATTTACTAATTTTTTATTCGATAACAATAAACAAGGAATAGTAACTGTGCTACTTTTTCAGAAATTATATTTTTGATATGAGTGATAAAAAATTCTCTACAATTACTTGACACAAATCGAATTTGAATAGAAACGGTATTTAGCATAAAAATTGTTATTGTGCAATGGAAGAACTGTCCATTATTTTCTACATTAGAAAGTATCTTCAAAATCATTAAATTGTGATACACATTTTAGTGGTAACGATTGTTTATGTTAAAAGAAGAAGCGGCCTTTAGTAACGATTCATTTGACACACTTCAGCTGCCTTTACTTAATTTTATTATATGTGGTTTGAGATAGTTGTGCCAATATATAATACTCCTTAATCTTAAAACTATCACGTAGTTTTTATTGTTTGTTTTTTGTCGTATTAAAAGATTGATCTCTGATTGCCATCTCCATTGAATATGCAGGAAATTCACCCGAACGTTTTCCTTCGTATTCGATTTAATTAAATTCCAATAAGAAAACAGCTTTTGGCGACTTTGGTACTTAATTGAGAATAATGTTAGTTTTATATTTGCTTGCTCAAGGTTAATTGAAGTCGATTTATCATTATGTAAGTTGGGAATGTTGCTAATGAGACGAGGAGTAATCGATATATGAATAATTGAGTTTACTTGTCGTGTAAATTAGGAGTAAACTGCTACACGAAATGAATTGGTGCTTAATAGCCCTGGATTGTCCGTGTCTCAATTCCCCCCATGTATTATCTCTATCTACTTAATGAACAAAGTGTGTGCCATTTTTTTAAGTGAGAAATGAAATTCCGAAGATTCTTTCGTTTTTTCGAACGCAAATTGTACTTAAAAAAATATATGTATTAGAAACGAGTCTATGCGTACATTGTTATTCAAATGTAGTTGTGTTGTTTAAAAATTTATTGGCCGGAAAATGAAGAGAATTTTGGGAATTTCGGTTAATTTGTGGACTTTTTTTTGAGTTATTTTTTTAAGAATTCTCAAACCACATGTAGTGCCCCTGAGTTTTGCGCCAGTATTCTACTTATGTTTAACGAAAAGATACTTATTACATGTATTATTGTCGATGTACGAGTATTTTAACAGAATTATTTCATAAATGCTGCCAGCAGGAAGTTGAAAAATAATTTTGCAGTAATTCGCAGCGTTTATAAAACGAGTTCTTTTGAAACCTCGGTGCATTATATTTTTAAAATTTCATTACTTTTAATGCAATATATGTATACTGATTTTTTTAGAGTCCTTCCTAAATAATTGCCAAGGAACGCTAAATTTCCTTTTTTTTTGGTTATTACTTGTAACTTATTTATATGATTTTTTTTTTGAAAATATTTAAATTATTTACTTATGATACGTTTTGTGTTGTGCTCGAAAAAATTATTCTGTGTGTCCGTAACTGTGATTTTTATTTCTTCTTAATGTAACGAAACGAGTTTTAATTTGAGCTACCGATGAAGCAAAATCTGTCAAATACGTACTGACTTGATCAAACATTTTTCTAAGTTAATCTTTTTTTATTTAAGGAACTATTACTTGTTAAGATGGGTGTTTTTTTTGTACAATTTTTTTCGAGCACAAATTTTCCTATTTATAAACGCGAGGCGGTCGCGCATTGGAAAATATTTGTTTAATTTTTTTTAATAATTTTAAGTTTACATATTTTACTTAAGCGTAATTTCTAGATAGATTTTTTTTTAAATAAACATGTAATATTTTCAGCTGTTTATTTTAGTGCGGTAGGTAATTATATTTATATTATTTGTTTTGATTGTTAAGATTTTTTTTAATTACTTTAACTGATATAATTTTTGTACAATTCTCCGGTATTGCCTTCTAATTTGACGACAACAAATCCTCTCTTGTAATCGAACCTGCATCGCATGACAAAGTACATTAGAAAAAAAAAACGATTTGCTCTCTAATGTTTGCTTTCGTTTTATAAGGGCAAAAACGTGTATTTAATAGGTTGAATTATTCTAGAAATATATATGTATAAATAGATGAAATTCTAATGTATTTTGGTAAAAAGACAATAACGACCTATATATATTTTTTCCAGAATTATTAACGAAACTGCCGAGATCTATTATAATGTGTACCGATTTAGTTATGATACAAATTTTAATTCTAGAATTCTAAAACGAACTTTATTCGATAACAAGTTACCAATGTTTCACTAATACGAATCTCGTCTAAAGTAAAATATAAATAAAAGATTCCGGGTATCTTTGAGCAAGTGGAATTTAAAAAAAAAATTGTATTATAATTAAAAACGAATAAATAAGAATCTTGGTGAATGTTGTTGAATTGAAACGCGTCGTTCGGTTGGAATATATACCAGGTTAAGGTAATTAAATATTATAGGTATTATTTTGTTATACCGTGAAAATTTATGGATTTTATAAGTCTTTTTACTTGCAATAATGTTCTGCATAGTATATTTTTCGTAAGAGCCTCCCCCAGTGTTTGTTTCATTCCATGTACGGCAGCCGTGATTCTGAACAAAATCGGCAGCGAGAAAAGCACTGAAAGTTTTTTCGGCACTAAATTCTATTTTTTATTTTTAAATAGCGGATGAAATTGGCAGCCATAGTTTTAACGATAAGCGAAATTGAAAGAAAACAACCATTTTTCATGGTGCAAATATGATTTTTTTCTCTCGTTACTTTTCTTAGAAATTGCGGAATTGTTGCCTACGAATTCTTGTAAAAGTGTTGCGAGCATTTTATATTATATATTTTTGTAGTTAATTAACGATCCGAAAAACTTCTAAGATCAGTACGCGGTACTAAGTGATTAGGACAAATTGTAAAGCTTACATTTTAAGCCTGTATAAACGTTTAAAGCGAATGTGTTTTTAAGTATATAAAAAAAGTATATATGACAAAAAGGAATATTGAGTGATGAGGATTTAAGTTAGGTTTAAACAGCTAGACTATGACATAAAAATAAAAATTATTATCAACTCTATGTAATATACAATAATACGTACATAATTATACTATGTGCCATTTTTCATACAATTGTCTTTTCTTTACACCATTTTACCTAAAATTACCCTTATCCAAAATATACATTATTTACCATAAAGTAAATCTGACACACACAGTCAAATAAGTTTGATCTAATTGTAAATTCTTGCAGAGCAAACGCGATAGGAATCTAAATTGCTCGTTTTCTGTAAAGCGAAAAGGAAACGATACGTTTGACCTAGAGAGAGCCTATGAGCTCTCAAATAATTAGAGTTGACCACTTTGGTAAAGTGAATAATTAAATTACTTTCTAAGAGGAATAAAAGCAATTGCATTCGACGCGTCTCGAAAATAAACGGCTTGTTTATGAAAATTCGGAAGAAAGCAGACTCTTTTCATCTATTTGGATTTGAATGTGCTCTCGTAAGAGCATTTTCACACGGTGCAATATTGTATTGTAGTTTTTATACAAGTTACTTCTACTTTTGTTCAAACTTATGTTAAAACAAAGCAGATCTCACGTTTTCAAATAACACATACCTAAACCTTTCAACTTCATTTTTTAAATAGCATATTGATTTATTTGATTGATTGATCATTTTTAATTGAATTGCTGATCCATTCGCTACAAATTAAATGTTCAATGAACTATGCAACTATCTTCATTCGGGAATATTCCATTCTAATCGAATGCCACTTAATGATTTTTTTAACATGACAGTTAACGGTAAATAAAAAAATATTAATTGTAAATACATTGGTCTTCGCTCGGAGGTGCCCAATAAATTAAATATCACATTTTTCCTATTTGACTGGTGTAATGGTAAATAATTAAAATCGTTAACTCGATTCGAGGATATTTATGTTTATACGCGCATTTGTGCTGTACGAATTTTTTTCAATTGTGCGAATTGATTAAACGGAGAAATTTACGCAAATATTTAGCATTTGTTCGATTAATTGTTTGAGAACAAGTTAATTTTTACGATGAAAATAATATTTTCAGTAAACCAATTTGAGAAAGTTGGAAATAAATGCATACAGGCTGTCCAAAAACATGCAGATAAACCTTAAAATTTATCATAGCTAAGTGGATATATTTTTTAAAGAATTGGACACTCTCTATCAACGAACTATTTTTTCTACTAATAAACCGAATTTCTCGAGGTTTTATTTGCCCGTCGTACATTTGAAGATTGCTAGAAAAATTCAACTTCTTCGAAACCAGTTTGATTCCACTTATAAATGTCAGTGGAACGACAATAAATGGTCCGTTTTCGGTCTATGTTTGTACATGTCGTTAGATTGTTCCAATAGAAATTTCAAGACGCGAAAATTGAAATTAAAACCGCTTCGAAATTACCCGTGTTACATGTTTGTACGCGTTTAAGTAAACCGAGCCTGTTTGTTTGACTAACATATTCTAATTTTGCTTATAAAAGTACCAATAAAGCGCGCAAAAAAATTCATGCACTTAGTCTTTCTAAAATTCTTACACTCGGCAATTATTTAGGTAATAAATTTTCAGGCAATTGAAATTAATTACTTATATTTTCATCATTTTCTAATATCCTTTCTGTTGAAAAGTTCTATCCTTCCGACGTTGTTCCGCACTTCCTGAAAAGAAAAAAAAAACTTCATTTAAAATAAGTACAATTGAAGTACATTTTACATGATTTCAATATGATTTAAAGAACAATTAGAAAAAATACATTTGCATTTTTTAAGGATATAAATAATCTTATAATTGGTAATCGAAAATCCAAAAATAAGGCTGCCCTGCAGGTGCTGGTACAATTGGATTGAGAACATAAATTAACTGTAAATACCACTTTCATACAGGTTTTTTTACTTTTTTTGAGAAAATCAATATTATGGATCTTTCGCAGTCTATTATAATATGGTTCCGAAAAAGGACATAGATGTATCTCTAGACTAATTAAGATAATGGAATGAATTAATTATAATAAATTGTATAAAAAATCGAATAAACTTTGCTAGGCCAGTTTAATAGTCGAGTGGTTTAATAGGAGTGACCGTATAATTTAATAAAATTTTATAAAATTTTCTTAAAGACTAGGCGGTTAAATTTCATACTTGCAAGTGTTCATTATTTAGAAAAGATCAATTTTCGAATTATAACAAATTACATCCGTCGGTAATGGATTTTTTAATGATATACCTCGCACTTTTTTAAAAGAAATGTTACACATTGATGTAGATTTTAATTTTACAAATTTCGCAACCTATTCCTATTAGTAATTACAATTACCATAAAGATATGTATGTTCCTGGGCGTATTTTTTTATTCGTTAATTTCTCACTCTTTTAATTTAATTAAATGAAATTCCACAATATCTCAATGAAACGGAATGTCTTGCTACGCCTTTGATGGAATCCTCGTCCACGAAATTACATATTCGAAAAATTTCTAGTTATTTCATCTCGAAGATGCCGGTAACCGATTATTCTGCATCGGGTTTTTCTACCGGAGATGGAATGAGGTCGACGGATGGGAAATTAAATAATATCCGATACAAGAATAAGAACAGTACTGCCTACTTTACGGACGATATACTTTCACTGCGTCGACGCGCGCTTTTCGAACCGGCAGGTAATCGATTATTACGAGCAATTTTTGGTTTAATGGCTTATTAAAACAATAGTTACAATGTAAACAAAGAGATACTGTTTAATTTTACCGGCTCAAATGCAGCTTTGTTAATAAAAATCACCTCGTAAACTGAACAAATCGATGATTTAAAAACTACAAAAACCTACATCAACATTACACTGCATATCTAACAAAATAAATGCTGCCCAATTTGAAACGCCCCACGTTCGACAGCCGAAGAATAAATAATTCGCAGAAATTATTCGCGGAATCCGACGATGTATCGAATGCATTCGTTACGAGATTCCAATCGATTTTACCTAAGGAAATAAATGATTATGAAACGTGACACTTTCAAACGAAAACTCGCCTATTAATTATTCGCGGGAATCTTGTAATTAATTTGAAAAAAAATTACTTTTCCACCAACGACCCGAATCCGAATCGGTGCTACACAAAATGCGTGGGCGACTGTTTTGTTTTCTTAAATTTTTCTGAAAACAGAAGGAGGTCAATAATTAGTCAAATAAATTATTGTAGGATTATTAAGTTATTTCCTTTGGATAATTTAGGATGAATTTATTTACTGAATAGGGTCTTCTACTTGTACAAATCCATTATCTTCTGATGAGGGCTAATAATTTACAATCAAAGAATGTTTTATAGAATATCGGAAAAATAGTTTATTAGGAAAATTTTCAATGTTTTGTCCCTGTTTTTGCTACGTACAGTGAACTAAATTCGCAATTTAGACTTGTGCATCAGAAGAATGTACATCATACATAAAAGAAATGCATTTTAAAAATTGAAAAATTCGAAATACGACAACGCCGAAGAGGCGAAAGAGGATGAAAACCCGCCGTTCCACATTTGCCGATAAGTGAGCCATGAGCTTGATGCCGAACGCTCGTCCGGCGATCTCTCTTCCTTATAAATACTCTCATCTAATCGGGCGGCCTTCACAAGACGAAAAGAAGTTCAAGGCGCTCACCGAAGAGCCGCGTTAAATGTAAATATCGCACGGTGCTCCGGATATTTGTACGCATATCGCATATCAACCGACGATGTTCCGCCGCATCGCATCGTTTTCCTTGGTTTTTCACGTCATCGCGTCAGGAGTTTTCGCGGTCCAAGCGCCGCGCGAAAATTCTACAGTTGTGCAAGTGCAAAACGTAAATCACCGCCATGGGGTAGATAACGTGGAGACCGCCAGGCAGGGCAGGGCGATGGGCAATTCGATTTACGCCGGGTTTATCACGTGCGCTTTTCAATACGACGCCGCGTGTTTCGTCGACGTCGCCCGGAAATATTTGGATGCCCAGAAAAGAGAATTATTAGGTAAGTTATGATCCGTGTAACTACTTAAGTAGATACTTAAATGCTTTATTATAATTGCATAAAATTTGCATAAATTTCCAATGTGTTGTTTAGGATATTATGGAAGATTGATTTCTTTTAATTCCAATAAAACATATTCAAAAATGGTTCCAACTATACTCATCAAATTACTCATACAAATTTGTTTCGAAAAAAATATGTATAGTAGATAATATTTTAGAGGAGACTTTTCTCATCTTAGAAATTATCTACACTACAAATTCTTCGACAAATCATCAAATCTTCTAGGTACTCTCCATTTTACTTAAAAATAGGTATTTCCTAATTACTTAATTTAAAAGACAAACAAATCCGAAAGTATAAAATAAGTTTCACTTCAATTGTATGTAAAACAGGCATTTTCCTAATTAAAATTCCAACTTCTAAATTTTTAATTTGCATTATCCATTTTACAAATTTTCTTAAGCAAATGTAGAAATACAATTTGCACCATTGTTAGTAAAGTTCATACAAACCCATGGAATACTGTTACTATTACCGTACGTGCAAAAGTTTCGCGGCTTTAATTTCATAGATGTAATTGTGGAATTGTTTATTTAGGGTATAGAGAATTAAGCATGCAAACAGCGAGTACCGCATGTGAAAAAATATAGCGGAATCGTGTTAAACACATTCGTAAACATGCGACACTTTTATCTAAACGTTAACTGTTCCGTCTGTTAACGTTGGAATGTAAATCAAATGTAAACCAAATTTAAAGAGTTTGTATTGATGTCCAATAAAAATTTAGTATGTGGTTTTATATGGGTTTGTTTCGAAGAAATTAATATCGACGTTATGGAAAAGCACATTTTCCTTATCCAATATAAACGAAGGATATAAAAATACTGGGCTACTGGGCCACAATTTACATCGACTTGCTATTATAAATACATATAATCCGATTTTCACTTCTGGCATTCTGTCCGACTTGGCCTTAATGAATCATCGACATCTTACACCGAGTCTCTCGATTATCGTGTCCGATACTTTACTGTCTCGAAGACGATCCGCTTCAATTACATGGGGAAATTCCGTGGATATGGACATTAAAAGTTTCGCCAAGATTCCCCACGCAACAAACTAATTTTTTGTACTTAAAATCATAACTATGTGAAAAGATAAAAATCTAATTATATATTTTTTTTAATTTTCTTAATCAGTAAACATGCCTCAAGCCTATTTGTATCACGATCTATTAGTGGTTGGTCGTGCGATGGTACTTAAAAAAAGTACCGAAGGGAATTACATTTGCATGATATAAGAGATAAACGAGCTGTAACGTTCGTTGTGTTACTATCATAATTAGGTTTTTGGGTATAGCACAAAATTGAAATTTTCCTTCCAGAAGCTTCAAGGCAGAAAATTTCATTAATTTACTCATAAAATGAATAGAAAAATCAAGAACAAATTGGATAATTTCCAGTACATTTGGCACCTAATCCAATTACTCCACGCTCGATATTACATCCATTTTTTCCACAAATATTCCCAACTCCAGAACTTATCAAGAAATTACTTACAGTTTACTTGCGATTAACCTATAGGTATAGAAGTAGACTTCGACGAAGCTATAATAACGCATATGTTTATTATCAGTAAGCAAATTTATGTAAATTCTAATGGACATATTTGCATCGAATCTTTTATCAAAGTGTGTCATCTCCAAACAAACGCGACCAACGACCCAAAAAAATTTTATTAATCGAATCCAATAAAAGCTTCCAATACCGGCTTTGTGTCTATATTTAAATAATTTTTATAGTAATTTTCTAATGACATAATTGTATTATTATACGTTTAATAGCAACACTACGCATTGTTTGAATGAATTTTTTAATGGCTATAGAAATTTCACACACTTGTAAAACGATATGGCAATTACAATAATTAATCTTCTAAGCGAAGAATGAATGAGTAAACAAGATAAATGAATGATTAAAAAAGACAACTCTGTAAGTTACGAAAAATACCTTCTCAAACAACCTATAAAAAACTCGTACACGTCTCGACGACTCGCATGTAAATAGAGGCGACTCTCTTCCTGTTAGAAAAAAAAATGCACGGATGCAATGCATAGAACACGTGACGTGATTGTATTGTTAAAAAGATAATGTAAAAAGAAACAATTATTACTTCTGTTTGAATAAATACGCAGCGATATCGCTATGTGGTCTGAGTTACTTAAAAATTGCTCAATAATTTCCTCAAATTACTAAACGAGTTTGATCATTCTCTATAGCTTTTTTATGTAGGTTATTCAATAAAATAAAATCCTTGCTTCTTTTCTCTTCCCTTTATTTTCTTTAATTGATACAAGAATCACTTAGCTTTTTACTATTACTTTTTATTCTTTCTGTTACTTTTTAATACTTTTGGACCATTATTTGGGTATTAAAATTCACAGTGCAACAAAATTTCCATAGAGATCCCATTTCATAATTCTTGCCTCATCGCAAATTCACCTAACGTGCGATAACTGTATGTCTGCTATAGCGGTAGACCATTCGGAATTCGTCGAATTTAGGACAATTGATCGAATTAATTAAGTTACTTTCGAGTAAATAACGCGTCGATTTTTTTCAATTCCAGCTCAGGCAGACGAGGAAGTGTCCCGAGCGAATCCCAACACCAGCTTGTCCAATAAGCCGTCCCAAATAGCGAGTTCGATAGAGAAATTGTTCTCTGAATTGACGAATTTGTTCAGGGACGGTTTGAGCAACTTCTTCGGCAAAGGGGACGATGATGATTCCGCCTCAGAAACGAAAGAGGTGGATGAAGACGATGACGATGATGAGGAAGAAGACGATAAAAAAGATAATTCTAGTAGAGATGTCGGAGGTTTGTTTTGAATTTTGGGCATCGGTATAATCACTGACAACTCGCAAAAATATAAATTTGTTTCATCATCGTTACTACCTATATTAGTGTTAATTTATTGTTTAAATTTATATTTTTGCTTCATTGTTTTAGCTTACATTGCACCAAGTAGAAGTAGATTTTTCGGTAGATAGATATTTGTGTTTATGTAGAGTTGTTTGCACTACAAAGTAGATTTTTTGAAAATCAAATGACAACTTTTTTTGTTATCGTTAAGATGAGGATTCAATGCTACTTTCGTTTCTAACTGTAAAGAATATACTTTTTTAGCGATTTCAAAGAAATAAAAAAGATTTAAATCAAAATTGTGAATACATAAATTAATTAAATAATATTATGAGCTAATGTTATAAATATTATTGCATTTGGAGCGTATCTTCAAAATTTCTAATACATATTTACATAAGTAAAAATAATCTAATACTAAATAGCGTAAAAAGACTGTTAAATGTTTAATAAAGTATCACAAATAGCAAAGTAATATAATTAACCCATTTAAATAAGCTAGACTTAGATAAAACTATTAAAATATTGAATTTGAAATTAGTATTTTCAGTCACATTATCATATAGTTACTATATTATAGTAGAAGCATTGTAGCTTTGTTTATCCTCATTTATGTGTTTTACTATTTATGTCGTATCTAACAAAAATATCGAATTTGCTGCGATTGAATTATGCAAACAAATGCATAAGTCCAAACGAGGTCCATACTTATCGCAGCAAAATTCATATAAAAAAATTGTACTCGTGTTATAATCATAGCTTATTGTGTGTTAATCTTATCTACGAAAAATACTTCTTTACTGTTCATCCACATCAAACATTATCACATCATCATTTGTCACACCACTTCATGATTAAAATATGCGAAAAACTTACACAAAACAGTGCAAAAATTTGTTTTAAAAATGGAGCAGTAATCATCGTTGTTGTTAAAAACCGCGAAATTTCACTTGCGAGGAATTCTTGTGGAGAAATAGCAAATTGTAATTTATTTTCTTCTAATACTAAAAGTGATTATTTGTGTTCAATTTGATTTTATTTATTTACGGATTTCGTTTAAATTAAATTGAGCGTCTAATTGCGTTTAATGCGGAAGTATATTTTACCGGCGATTTATCCTCTCAAGTGATAGTGCTAATATTAATTTCCGTGCATTTAAACAAAAAGTACCGTTTTTAAGCGTTTCAATAAAATGTGGTCATCGGGTCGGCTAATTTGGCCGGGTAAGCCACGCATCGCTAAAATAGAGAAAGTTTTTGACCTACGGTACCTATGTATTAGGATGTCTGTTTTAACGATTTAAAACACGTACCTATAAAAATTAACAGTAAATCATATTATTCTTATTATGGGGTGAGGAGTATTATTCATCAGCAACATTGAAGACTCTATTACTATAACCCAAGTCTCCAAGTATACATCTTGTTTAAGTTCGAGTGAGTAAAATAAAGAGATTTATATTTTAAGACTTGAGCTATAGTATCTACTTTAAGACGGTATGTAAAGCATTTCCATTGATATAATGAACCAAAACCTACACACAAACAAACCATCTTCTTGTTAATCGTTGGATTGTGGATTATCTTGGCGGTATGTGCTGTGTAAATATGGAGGAATAAGGGTGTTTTCTAAAGAAAAAAACCCGTTTTGTAGAAAAACCGGGACAAAGAAATGAACCGAAAAAGGATGGTCGAGTGTTCAAAAAGAAAAAAGGAAAATTCGGAAAAATAAAGAAGAAGAAATTCAGGAGGAAGCTAATGAACTATTTTACAATAGCGATAGCAATAGTGACTAAAGTTATAATACTACAAAAAGTCTTCAACTCGGTTATGCAGGTCAAGTTCTTCTTTTTAGCTTCGATTAGCATAATTTTTTACATGCTAAAATTCTGGTTGGACATTAAGAAAGGCTACAGTCCCGCCGGACACAGGCTGTTACATTCTAGTAATTACGAATGCATACATAATGGTTATCAAATTTAATATAATATCTGCTATAATAATAAATTCTTTTAGAAAGTACATTAATTAATGAGTTACGTTGTATTTATAATCGAGATTTAAATCCTGATTTAATTTATTCGTTGATGCCTTTAACACCAAAAAGGATATAGTTTGTTCGGTTTTATAAAGCCATATTTGAGTCCAAGTCTCTATTTACTTCATAAAATTCCTACGAATCTTCCTTTTGGTGTTAATGATGGTTTAATTCAAAACACACACATCAAAAATTGACTCCCGCAAAGTTTACTGTTACTCGTTTAATTTAATTATAGTTCTCAAAAAAAAGTATACCGTAAGTATAAACATGAATTTTTAGCATGATTTGCAACAGAAGCATGATTTCTGGTTGCAGCTGGCACATGAAATATTCAAAAAAAATTTTGCACAATAAATTGCATGGTCAAGCAATGATTTTTCTATCACTAATTGTAAGCGAAGAGAATGTTAAAAGTTAAGTTTGTATCATTTTTTCTTTAGTATCTTTAGTAACTTTAATTTGATTTAATTTAAATTAGGTGGTGGTATATTTATTAATAATCATTAAAATGCATATACGCATGGCTTAAATTTCTATTTCTATTACCCTATTTTAAAAATGTTTCCTTTGTACTTTATTTAACGACTAGAGAATTTCAAGAGCATCTAAAATATGTATGTATATCGCTTTCATCGCTCACGCACGCACGTAAACGATCTAAAAACTCACTTTAAACCGTTTTGTAGAAGGCAGGAAGTTGAAGAAAAAGAAAAAAGGCCCGATCAAAAAACTCTTCGCGGCCATTAAACTGGGCATACTAGCGGTGGTGGTCGTTGTAAAAATTTCCCTGGTAGTCAAGCTGTTCGAAGCCGCTTTGAAACTGAAGCTGGTGCTGATCGCCGCCGGGGCGGTCTTCCTGCAAGGGCTCAAACTGTGGATGGAGTTCAGGAACAAGAAGCACGAGGAGAGCGGCATCATCTACCACAATCCCCATCACGGCGACGCGGGCGTCGGCGGCTTCGGCGACGCCGAATTCGCCGGGCCCGGCGGCGGCGTCGAATACGGAGGCGGCGAGTTTCACGGCAGAAAGGACAGTTTTGCGCAAAATTTAGCTTATAGCAATTACGCTCGTGATACTTAAGTGGTTTGTTAGTTGCAAGAAAAATTCGTTTTTTTGTGTAGATACTACTTTTGTACTTACACACTAAATTTACTAAATTTTCCTTTCTTGCAATTATAAAGAAACCTAATTTATTATTACCTATAGGTAAGTTGCAATTTGAATTATTGATAAATGAAGAAAAAAATTATAGCACTTTATTGAAATTTTATGCAAATGTACAAATATTTATTTATTTATTAAGTGCAAAATTTTACCGGATAAGTGGTGTGACATAATCTATACTCTTTCAACTAAAATAAATTATTGTGAGCTCCTTCTGCGAAATAAAATTAGTTTTTTTTTTGAAGCCATAGAGTGCCTTCTATTTCGATCTTCACACATCTAAAAGATTCATCGCATGCGACTAACCGAATGCTCAAAAATAAAAAGTTTCAGTTCGTATCGAAATTCAAACCGCCCAATTTCAGAGGCCAGAGCGAAAAAGAAGAAAAAGTCGAAGAAGAAGAAGAAACGGTTTTTCGCTATATTCCTGGCGGTCGTCACCAAACTGGGACTGCTCGTGAAGCTCCTGCAGGCCGGTCTGCTGCTCAAAATAGCCCTCACGACGGGCCTGATTCTGGCCGTTTCAGTCGCGAAATTCCTGTATCTCATCAAGCACGGCAAGCAGAAGACCATTTACTACGAAAATTCTCATCACGATCACCACTATGATCACGAGGATGTCTACGATCACGACGATCACCACGGGTGGGGCAGGAGCTTCCGTGCCGCTCGAATGGCGTTTGCCGGTCAAATGCCCAAATCGTAGAAAATTTCGGAAATTTTCTTAACCTTTTTAGGTGCCAGTAATCGGAATATTAGGTATTCATACGAAAATAAATTTGTTAAAAACATTCTTTATTAATTCATTTAGATGGGCTTGACTCCCACTCACTATAAAACTCGCCCCCTTTAGTAGTTTCCGGTAATTCAAGAAATTGAGATTAGGTTATTTTTTTGCCCCACTCTCTCCTAATACTTCATTAAATATTTATATTTTTTACTTCAGGCATTCGTGTAAAATTCATCTTCTTAGTCCTTCTTAATCCTTGTAGAATTTGATCTATTATTAAAAATAGTCTATTATATTATTAAGAGAGTGGGAAGATTATTTTGAAGATAAATAAATATGTACAAAGTTAATTATTTTATACGACTGACATACATAAACATGTATAAATACCTAAATCCGGTATAATAGACTGTAGTGCAATAATAATATTTAATTTATTTTAAATAAACCCGTTTTATATAAGGAATTATTTTATTATTTCACCTGGTTAATTGGACTTTACTAGTTATAAAAATTGTAAAAATTGACAAAAAATACAAAAAAATAACCAATTTATAATTAATTTTTATAGATACAATTATTTCAACTTGTGTCTTACGCTAAAAAGACATAAATTACAATACATAATTATTAGATAGGTATTCAATAAATTAAATAAAGAAATTAATTTTTAACACAATTAGCTTACCAATATTTTCATTCTTCTGCTTCGTTTTCTCTTTTAATAATGTATTTTCATCCATAAAATATTATCTCACATAAATCTTCTAAATATTTCTTATTTTTCCATAATAAAACCCATCAAATTGTTTGATATTTCTGCAATTTCTACATACCAGGATATCTAAGATGAACTTTACCATTTCAAATTGTCTTCAAATCATCTTCAACCAATATTTCCGGCACAATACGTGTCTTCAATGGTTTCGTCTGCTAAAATAATCCCGATTTTTTTATGATCACGTTTATATACCTATGTAGTAGGTAAATGGAACATAACAGTACTGCGAGTTTACACTCGATTCAATGAGATCATTAATTCAATTGATGTTTGCGAACTGAATTATTGAACAATGGAAAATGCGCGTTTATTGGTTTTTACCATTTTAATTTCGGAGCCGTCCGATTGTCGAGTGTTGAATAAATATTTGATGGTATTATTGGAATTTAATAGACGGTTGGACTACTTCGATTTGGTATAGAATGCGGTGATAGGCGGAATATACAGGATGTACTAATTAATATTGAAATGTACATACCACCTATAATGTACATGCGAAGTTTTAATTTTATTTTATTATGATACCGGTCAATTTATACGATAAATTGTTCCCAGGTCAAAACCGCCCCTCACAAAATGAGGAACTGACTTAGTGCTTTTTTATTTTAATATAATTCGAATGGAAAAAATAACATTAATAAGGTAAAATGTGAGCCATCCGAATTCAGTGTATAATGGAAAAGTAAGTTTTGCTACAAATATTTAAGCATGATCCAGCATGATTGAATCGACATGTCTTGTGCATGATACAGTTTTATTATTTATTATTTTTTGAAGAAAATCACTTTTTTAATTGCTTTAATTGCTGTATTGAAGGAATGTTAGGCATGATTAAGCACTGACTGCTCCTGAACACTTTTATGCATGATCCCATCATGGATGCATTTTAAACAGAACATCGTTCGTTTATTAAAATTTGGCATGGAATTAGTTTTCTCTAATATTCCAGTGCGTAATGTCAAATTTTAATATTACACCCATCACTGTACTCTTCACAGGTCTTATATCTACATTCATCAATTCATATCACGACATCATCAACATCCGCTCTCAGTTTTGTAGAAATGCAATTTTGTAAAAATAGCTATTTTGAATATTTCAGCGAATGCCAGCGAAATGAGGAAGAAGAAAAAGAAGCAGCCTCATCCGCTAGTAAGACTAGTGCACAAAATCATGTTCGGTGTAGTAGTGGTTACGGCTTTAGTTTTCCTTCTAAGATTCTTCTACGCAATTCTTGCCAAAAAGTACTTCCTGCTCAGTCTCGGCTACTTTATCACGCATCTCGTTAAAACGTGGGTGTGGTACAAGCACCTCAAGCATCCCGTTTATGTAGAGCATGATGATCACGACAGTCACTATACGGTCGAGCACGATCACGGTGGCTACGACTACGATGAACACATTATAGGACATCACAACCACAAGCCGGCTTACTGGGGTCGAGAGGACGCGCATTACATGGCCTATAAGAATCAAAAACCCGAGGGGTGGTTTTGAATGATGCGAAAATTCATGAGTAATTCTATCGAAATGTGTTGTCTATTTATATTCCACTGAAAGTTTAATGGTTGTTCAATGAGCGTTTATGGACTAGATTCGATGGACCATAAAATTTTGTCGAATTTCCAATTAATTTATTTCATCGGATTGTAGATATACAAATTAACGTATTCTGTAGAATTACGTCGTAAAATTTTTATACGGGATATTGTAAAAAATTTTACGTTTAAATTTGGGAATGGTTCTGATTGCTCAAGATTAGATTAATGAATGAACGATTTTTTTTTGTTCATTCAGTATATGTGACTAGATTTTACTTGCCAAAAAATAATCAAATATTTATTTCAGCTTAACAGTGTACTATTTAAAAATGATTGTATCATTATATGGTCACTGTTATAGTAATTTTTATAAGATGTATATATTATCCTAAGTTTATTTATTTTTTCTATGCCAGTATATTATATTATTTATTAAACGTTTAAATTTCTTTCTTGTTTTTCTTTTCTCGAATTTACATATTGTATTTATTGAATCATTTTGATGTCATATTTTATCATATTTTGTATGTTTAGCATCAAAGACATCACCATTTACATTTCAGCTCATTTTCCATTATCGCACTGCAATAAATGTGGGGAAAATATAAGTACCTGTATTTTTTTCTATATGAAAATATACTAATTTCAGAAAAGAAGAAGCGAAAGCGAAAAACTAAAGAAATGGAAGTAAAGGATGAACAACGAAAAGAAATACTAAATCAATTCCAAAAAGCATTGGAGAAATATTTGAAGGATATGAAACAAGAATATAAAGAAGAAGAAGAAGTCAAAGATGATAAAAGCATCTTTCAAAAATTTTCGGAATACTTCAATGAAGAATCGAAGGTAGAATCAGAGAAACCGGAGGAGCAAAGTGGAAGTTTTTTTCAAAATATTTTGTCATTTTTTAACGAATACGAAACTACTGAAAAACCTCAAGTACATAATGAAACATTTTTCCAACAACTATTTTCACAGTTTAAAGACGAAGAAACGATTAAAGAAGTAAATGAAAAACCGGAAGAAGAAAGTCCCGGTCTCTTTGGAAATTTGTTTTCTCTATTTGCAGATGATCCAACCACAAAGAAACCGGAGGAACAAGATAACACTTCAGAACAATCAAATTTTGATAAAGTATTTTCAAATTTTATGAAGAAAAAGAATGATAATAAAATAGAAGAAAAAAACGCATTTCAAAAATTTATATCGCAATTTGTGGAAGACACAACAAAAAAACCGGATAAAGAAGACAGCGACGAAAACAAGAAAGTATTATTTCAGGAATTTATGACACACTTCATTGAAGAAACGAAAAATAAACGGAAACGAGAAAACTTGAGTTTAATCGAGCGATTTTTATCAATGTTCCACGAAGAAAGAAATAAAAAATCCGACGAAATCCCGGAAACCAAAACTCTAAATTTCGATTTAAACAAAATAGAGAATTTTTTATCAGAGGTAAATAAAAGTTTAGCCGAAATGACCGAAAAATTTACAACAACAGAAAAATTCATAGAAACAACTACGATTAAAGAAAAACAAGTTCCATCTACAACGAAGAATCCTTCTGTAATACCAGAAGAGGAACCTCTAAAAACTGTCGTCGTCACCAGAAATCAAACCATTAATATTTTTCCTTACACCAGCGAAAAACCACCGTCAATCATCGAAAAAGTCTTCGTCATGGAAAAATCCCCAGCATCAGAAAAACCCATGATATTTCTAATAGAAGGTGCCAAACCCGCAGACTCCACATCACCAAAGGCGAAGAAAAAAGAAGGCCCAATCCGCAAGCTGGTCAAATTCATCCACAAAGTTATGCTGGGAATCGTCTTACTCGCCACGATAATTTTCCTCCTAAGATTTTTTTACGCTTTCCTAGCATTGACTCGATGGTTGTTGCAATTCAAATCGTTCCTATCCAATGCAGTAGAAACTTACCTCTACCTAAAAGACTACGAATTTAGTACTCCCGACATCTATGAACAGTATGTTGTAACTACCAATGATCAGGACACGTTGCCTTATTACAAAAAATGGGAATGGGAAGACAAGACTCAACAAATATCCTCCATAGATAATTCAGTGGATGATCCGTGGATTTTGGAAGACTAGAAGTTGCTGTTTAGTAGAAAAAATTATGGGTGCATGGATTTGGGAATTTTATAGATTACACAAATACGGGTGTCTCCAAAATGGGTGGAATTATATAAGTTTTAATCTGAAGCTAGAGCGAGGAGTGATTTAAAGAATGAAAATTCTACAACTCTTTGTGTATACAACGGGTTATAAGTAATTTAGAGAAAATGGGTGATTCGTTTAGAAAGTAAGGAATTAGTTATAGACAAGTGCCATCTATTCCTAGAAAAAATTAACTAACATTGCCTTGAACTTGCCTGCTCAAATCTTGTAAATAGATTTTTTTGTACCATTAAAATCTAGTAGACGCAAATAAATGGCAGGCGAGGTGTGATTATTAAATAGTTAGACTGAAATAGATGTCCAAAAATTAAACAAACTGTAATGTTAAAAAAATTAGAACATCTACCAAATATTAAGCGTACCAAAAATCTTAATAAACTATTAAAAACTTATAAAACTGCATTTTATTTAACTCAATGTTTAAATTATTAAACGCTTCATTTAATATTTTAATCAATTGTGCAGCATGCGAACATTTTTGTGGAACGATTTGTGTGCTAATAAGAAAGGTAAACTGTATTAATAACATAATTAACCCAACATTACCATATTCCCAAATCACTAATATCCACCCCAACAAAATTTCAGTTCTCGACAAGACAGAAGAACGAGGCAACAACATCGTCGTCAAAGTGATCAAGCTCGCCAGACTGGCGATAATCGGCGTTGTAATCACAGTCAAGGTGTGCTTATTGGTAAAAGTGCTGCACGCCTTCATCAAATTCAAATACATGACCATCGCTTTCGGATATTTACTGTTAAACGCGGCTAGATTATGGATCGATGCCAAACATCATAAGCACGATGATGTATACTACAAGGCTCACAGTCACCAATACGATTTGGACGACCATCTGTTGCACGATGAATGGAGGAGAGAAGACGGAGATTTCGATTTCTTGAAGGATTCGTCTTACAAACGGAAAAAATGAACGAAGATGCCGGTGTGAATTAAGATTAGATACAAGATGAAGTTCCTAATTTCCTTATTTTATTCCAGTAAAACATTGCAAACGATGATTTTATTCTCCAGTACTTAAATTTGGTTAATATTGGTTGTGAAACCAACTCCCTTAAGCTTATGTAATGCATTTCATAATGTCGAGAAACTTAAAGTTGTCATTATTGCCGTAATATCTAGTAATTAGATTAAATTGGTAACCAATTAACAAGCACATTTACAATTAGGTACCTACTCGTGTTATTATTTAAATTATTTAGTAAAAGTAGATAAGAACACGTAGGTAGTTTGTTAAACAGCACTATAGCAATTTTTTTCAGCACATCCGAGTTGTTACCTAATCTTTTCATTCGTCAATAAAATTCATATTGAATTCATAAAATGAGAAACTTTAGTAAAAGTTTCCTGTTTTATTCGTAATTATATACACTTTGTGAAAAGATCAGGTACACGGTATAGAAAACTAATCCAAAACGGGGTCTGATTTGTTAACATTTAATCGATTATAGGCATAAAAACCGTAGGTCTACCGACGAAAAAAGCTTCCAAAATGATGACGATGGTGAAGCTGATGCTGATAGGGAAAGTACTCAAATCGAAATTCGACATGATAATCAAAATGTACATGGCGGGCATCCAAACGAAGATATTCTTCGTTTTGTTGTCCATACTGGCATTGAATAAAATCAAATTTTTCGTCGATCTCAAGAAACACGAACCCCAAAAGACTATTTATTACGAACAAGCCCAGCACGACCACCACTACGAAGATGGACATTGGGGACACGAAGAGAGTGGATGGTGGGGAAGGAAATAATTTATTTATAAAATACTTTAGGTTATTATAGTGATAAGGGAAAAACAAATTTAAAGTGTTAATGACTAGTAAAATATGTAGGATGTTAATTTGCATAGCTTTGATCCCAGAATTTTGAAATATCTGTTATAATAAAGGCAAGCAATATCTAAAGCTTCTAATTTAAAGTAAAATAATTTACTATTAATATTAATTCGTAGCTGTTATTAATTTATTTAAAGTTTATTTATTTAAATTATTTGTAGTAAATTTTAGAGACTGACTTTAGTGAGAAGAGTTCGATTAAAAATTTTCTAGTCTTTGTATCGATACAAAATTATGTTAAAAATATTAATAAAACTGTACGTTTATTTCCAAGCATTGTCTCTTTTACCATCTTCCTTTGGGTCAGTTTCGCATTTATAGTTACATCGGCTGATTGCTCATTGTGTTCAAACTGTAAATCAAAAATTATTGGCAAACGCACAATCAACGTGCATCTAGAATGATTTACGGCAATGCAACTTCAATAATGCTACAGAGTGAACATACGCTAGCTGAACCTACAGTAATCCCACTTCTGATTTTTATATCGATACTAAAAAAAATAATTCACCAATAAAAAAGTTAATTAATCAAACCGAAGGAGGTCAATGGGGGGAAAAGGTTCACATACATTTTTGGCATTAATATACTTAACGGAATGCTAAAGAAGTTACTGGGTCAACGATTTGGACAACAAATCGGAAACGATTACCGTTAAAAAAAATCGTGAATTCCAATTTTTACCAGTGGGAATATCAGGCACACAAAAGGAATATCTAATTGATTGTGAAATAGATTGACACGTGTAAGAGTCATTATTGAAATTGGCTTATTTATAATGTAAAAAAATAGGTAAGATAAGCAGAATTTAGTAGAGTTATAAAGTCAATTTTATGGAAATATAAACCATTTTAAAAGAAATATTATTTGTCAAGTATATAAAAGAAAAAATCACAATCAGATTAAATTTGAGTGTTAATAATATTCAACCATTTTAATGAATAATTATGTTATAATCTACCATTCGATGCTACATAGTTCTTCACATGCCTCAAGACTTATTAAATAAAGTACAATTTATAAAAGAACAGCGTATTTTGTAGACTGGGTCACCCTGTACATCGAAGAATGCTTCCGACAGGACGTCGCCTTCCATCTTTATTTATTTAAATGCACCATCCTCGTCGCCTTTCTTGGGTCCTATATAAACTAATCACCATTTTAGAGTCACGTAATAGTCACGGTTCCCGTAGAGGAAAGAACCTTTTTTCGACCGAAGAAGGTACTAATTGAAACCAGCAATGAAGATCGGTCTCGTTTTGTCAATGCTTGTGTGTTTAGTGAAAAGTGCGCCTAAATTAAGGGTGGGTAATTCGACTAATTTTTAATTTTTTATTAGCTTTGTTGATGAATTATTGCCAGCAACGTCAATGTCTGGATTTTTTTAATTTGTTTAAATAAATTTGGTATAATAATGTGATAACCTTGTCAGGTATTTGATCTGATTAGGTAGTATGTTAATATTGAGATAATGCACAAATATCTCGAAATATCTTAAATTAGGGTATCTTCAGATTTTTAGTGATTAAAATTGGTGAAATACTTTTGATAAAATACGTAGATAATTAATTCTGAATAGGTTATTAGATATTTTTTTCTGGTTAAGTAAAAAATTTGTCGGAAATATTTTTATGGATAATAAAACAAATTTATTATTAAAATTTAATTGCCAAAAAAGTTACTACTTAGAGTTATTACTCTCCCTTCTTTATAATAATAACACCTAATATTTTCAACTAAATTTTTTTCAGTTAATACCGGATTATATACCACCCCCTTCGCTATTAACCCTTCCCAGTAACGCCACCAGCATTCGAACGGACATCAGCGATTCCTTCCGTTGCGAAGGAAGAGACTACGGTTATTATGCGGACATAGAAAACGATTGCCAAATATTCCACGTATGCCTACCGGTCACCTATTCAGACGGACGGAATCAGACTTTCCGGTGGAGCTTCATTTGCCCGGAAGAAACCGTTTTCAACCAAGTATGATATACTAATCAACTCGCGAACAGTCTATTATCAATTACCAATTCTACAATACTTGTACTGATTTAAATGCATGTTTTTCCATTCGCAGGAAATGTTCACCTGTACGCGATATGACGAGTCGATCGATTGTTCGGAATCGCCGCGATTCTACGAGCTAAATCGAAATTTCGGCAGCGAGGAAATCACCGGCGACGGCCCCGAACCCTCCTCCACCGAAGGGCATTATTTAGAGGGGGCCACGGCCGTGCCGGAGGTGCCCCAAGGGCTCGGCAGGAATCTATCCCGACGAGGAGGAAACAGTAAATCCGAGCCGAAGAAGTTGTAGCTTAGTCGCGTATAGTAAGTTCGCGCTAATTTAGCCGTAACGTCACAGGCGTGGTTGCCACGTTGGAATTTTTTTCTTGCGTTTTGAGGATTTTGGATAATTTTATTAGTGGTTTGTTAAAGGTGACGTCATTGCTAGATTAGCGTGAGCATTGTTTGTAATCGAGTTGGATTCCGATGGAAATTTCGGGGAATAGTCTTAATGTGTGTGCCGATATTCGAGTTAATGTATGCGGATTAAATAATAAACGACCGTTTTAAAATTGGATGGCTTCCAAACGGATCGGCGGCGATGAAAAATATAATTAGAGCAATTAATCAAATCGCCAAAAAATTGGTTATAAAAGTGGTTATTTTAGTGGCAACTAATTCGAGTGGAGGTACACATACAAGTAAAATAATAATTTTACCCCGATGGCAATAAGATTTATTTCTTCTCACAATTAAAGTTTACACAATTTGCAAACCATAGTTAAGAATAACATGAGTTCCTTACAGTATTTTGTAATTGCAATATGTTCCTAATTCACAAATTTTAATTAACCTTATTTTGAAATTGCCATTGTGTGGGTATTATTATTTACATTCAAATAATTTCCATTGGAATTAGGTTACTCAATAATTCAATAAAAATAATTTACCAGTAACAGTGTAATTTCTGCATTTTCTAATAGATGAAATATTAAACAAAAATTATGCCAGTGAAATGTTGTGAGCTAAAATGTGTGCTTGGCTATTCACCAAAAAATACACAACATGTTTAAAAAATGTAATATTATGAATTTCCAAAGAAGAGAAATTAAACCTGCACAAGGCCTCAAGGGTTTAACAACCTATTTGAAGTTTCTATTATTCTGTTGACTGTTCTTCTTCCCTCGATGGTTCTTTGTAATACAACAATAAAGAGTTGGGGAGACTTCTATGTGCCTATAAATTACACTTGAATTACCCAGGAGTTCGCTATACAATAGATCCGTTAAGTATGACATTAGGGGGTTGCAGGGTATATTTTAAAGCTAAAGTTAGTCCTCAAAATCCACTCCTATAATACAAAGCATTGTCGAAAAATCAACAAAGTGTATAATTTTTAATATTGCACAATTTTACGATAACTTGTGTCGTTCCAAAGCGTGTTATCCTAAGCCTTTCGCATAATTTCATAACGTTATCAAATCAAATTGATATAAAAAAAAAGCGTTAAACGAATTCAAAGGCCAGAAAATCGGCAATCGTGCCGTGGCAACGTCGAAAACCTTGCCACTTTCCACGCGTTTCGCCGCGGATTCGATAAGTTTCCTGGTGTTTTCGAGTCCTCGCAACTCGCAACTCGCGAGCAGCCGGTCAGTCCGGATTTCGACGTGCGAGCAGATGCGCGTGTTGGCAACGCATTTGCCGTCGTACATGCGAGAAAAAAGTGTACTTACCTCAGAGCTGTGATAAACCCGAAAACCATCAGGATGGATACGGGAACAAAGACCACGAAAAATCGAAACCCGGCCGAGAACGCCAACCCTTTGTCGCATCTCTTATTTTTGTAAGTAGCATTCGATATGTGAATGGAAAATGAAACGGAAAAAATTGATTTTTTGATGTAACCCTCGGTGTGACCTTCGCTTATTTTTCTATCAATGGAAATTTTGCATTTAATCAAGCGCGAGGGAACGACAAGGAACCCCCAGTTGATTGATTAATCACTCGTACAATAAAAAATTGCTGTTACGATTAATTTATCTATATCAAATTCACGAACATGCCGATTGCAAACTATAGTCATGAATTGAATGAATTGAACAATTTTAGTCGTAATCTATTAATACACTGAATATTAATTTTACGACAAAGTAAGATATTGAAAATAAACCGTTGAAATTTGATGAGATAGGTACAAAAACATTTAAAGGTCCCGGTAAAAAGCTGAAATAAAAATTGGGGTCCTTTGAGTTTGGTCTCCTTTGGTCATTCGATACAATTTCTTTGATAATTCGGTTCGAAATATAACATCCTGAGTCTGAAAGCTTGTTTGAATTGTCGCCAAAAATCATTTAATTTGAGCTGCAGGTCTTATTAAAATTACTCAATTACGGTTCATTAGGTTTCTGGCAAAAATTTGTGAACAATTATTTCGAAAAATAACTCTTTTTTACTTGTTCATTGTTACATATTTCTTTATATTTTCCCTTATACGTTTATGCCCTCGTTGCCAAGACAAACACATAACACAAAGGATCATAATGTTTTCTTTTCATTATGAATATCCTTAAAAAGTTTGCTTTGTTACTTTGTTCCTACAATACGCATACAATTTTCTTTGTTCCCGAAAAAGAATTATTATGAATCCAGAATTATGTACTTTACTGTTTGATCTCTCCAGGGAAGTAATCAAAATCAATAAATATTTGATCGGGAATATACCCACTCGCTCGATAACGTATTATTATACGTATATTAATTTCATATATTTCATTCTGTTTTTTTCAGAATTTCATGACGTTATCGAAATTATATAGGAAACATTGGAAAAACAGAAATTTATTAGGTTTCCGGTTAACTCCAGTACCCGGTAATTTGTTAGGGTCAAAAACATTGTAAAAAAGTTATCTTTATAAACCATTATGAATTAATGGAATTAATATTTTATTACCTCCTAACTCGACAAACGCTAATGGTTTTTAATTAAAAAAAAAACAATTTTTCATACCATTTAATTACCCACTCTCAACACCAGAAATTCGTTCAATTAAATTCTATTTTCAATTTCCCTACAATGTCATTGTCTAATCTATTTTTAATTTTGATCCAGACTGACGTCATTGAACAGTTGACGACACCGTTTAGACATTTTGTGACGTCGCTTTTTGGCCGTGCAACGCATGCTTAGATTTAGATTTCGAAATTTCGGCGTGCACAAATCGAATTTATCAGTCGAGAGAAATTTATTATGGTTCGTTTTTTTGGCAAACTCCGTCTAGACGAGGCGGTTTTTCCGCCATGAATAATAGATAAAATGTAAAATAACGAGAAAGTCGATAATAGTAATATGCAGTATGCAATTTAATCAAAATATAAAAAAAGCACTTTGCTTAATTAAATACTTTTAATTACAATTTGTTAAAGGTTTTTGAACTCTTACATAACAACCTACAGAAAATACACATTAGTTACTCATTAAATTCAAAATTTCACAAAAAAGATTGATTAATTATTTCCCCTACTTTCATATTAATGTCAAACCTCTTCTATATGAACTTGGTATTTTCCATATAATTTTTTGCACGGTTTACAAACCTCAATTCGAAAAAGAAAGAACGAATAACGTTTAGACAAACTTTCCAGGAAATAACATTGTCCGATAAATAATCCTAAACATTCATCGTTATTGGCCTTGATTTATTGGTTTCGCCAGTACCGTTTCGTTATCTAAATACTTTTTGATTGAATAAATTGAGCCGCAGATGGTTAAATAACCAATAACAAATAACTAGCAATGCATCGATTAAAATTTTCCGTTTGCTTTTAAACGCTGCTGAAATAGTTTCTGGAACACATTTTGATCGATTAATCGAACTTTTTCCAAAGATAAAGGATGTTTATTTTTTCGGAATTTCATGATGACAAAAGTCGAAATATTTTTGCTAACATAATAATTATAAATTATGAGCTTCAAGCTCATAGACTAAAATTTATTCTAATGAACTTTCCCGGCTCGAAAATAAATGAGCTTCTAGATTATAAAAATCAATACTCCTAACTATTTATATCTTGCCATAGACTGCACGGCTCGTGATGTAATTAAACGGATTTTTTAATTATTAATATTGCACAAACATTTTATACATTAACAAATATCAACATGTTTAGGATTACAATGATTACGGAGCAAATAACGGCGACAGAAAAATTATCAACTTTCAGTAAATAGGAGCATTATCCTTGAATTTTGTACACTTGACACTCACAATAAATTATCTACACAAATGGAAAACTTGTTCTTTGTTCAATACTTTTATTGGAAAAGTGAATAATGTTTCAGTTACTTGGAAAATGTTCACTTCTGAATGGTTGACCTTCGATAGAGTAAAAATATAACCGTCATTACCGAGAAATTATATAAGGTAAAGAAGAGTTAGTAGCGACTAAAGTTTCAACAAATTACCGTGATAAAATATTATAAAAGAAGTAAAAGTTCTCTATCCTTAAAAAATAAAGCTTTAACTGGAGAAAATTGGTTACTTATCTAAGGTCGCTTTAAAGAACGCTTAAAGGTATATTAAAATGTGGTGCAACGAGTCAAGAACGTTAATGAACTATTAACGCTCTATTAGCTTAATGGTCCCTTAAAAATAAGTCGGTGCAATCGGACTTTAATAACTATTTTTGGGCTAAATTAAAAAACGATTTAAATAGAAGATTTGCTTATGCAATATTTACGAATTGCTTTGAATTGAAGTGATTATGTAAGCGTAAGCATTTATAAAATACGGATAATTCAAGGTTGGTTTTATGTTACTGCTTGAAAAATTCGTCTGCTGGTTGAATTTTTTTGCAGTTAGCTTCTTTCTATTAATGCTAATATTGAGTAAAAGTATTACGAACAATAATATGTTGCTATCAGAAAATTGTAGCCTTGCGAAAACAACGATCTACTGATTATTTTTCTAGAGGACAATGTATAATTGCGGTTTTATCAACATTATTTTATCTAACATAGCGGTTTCTTTCGCTAATTAATAATTTCCCTAAAACCATGCACTGTGGGAATTCCCTAGCAGTCATTACCGCAATACAACAGTGTTGCCATTTCTAGGCCTGTATTACATTTGATTTACATTTCATGAAAATCGTTAATTAAAGTAACCCATCCAACTAAGTTGGAACTAAATAATATTAGAAACACACACGTTTTCTAAAAATACGCCAGCACGTTTCTCCACACATCAACTCTCATTACAAACAATGCAAGGTTAATGCTTTAAAAATATTTTGATGCCTTCCCAACTTTTTTAATAAATAGTTTTTTCTATTAATAGATGTTCTATTTAAATGTTCTTTGGTAGTGAAAATTATTAAAGGGCGTAATTTATAAACAGGATTGGCTATATGTAAATCTGGATAGTTAGCGATAAAATTTATCACAATGTCATTAATATTTTTGAAACCACCTCAGCGTGCAATGAAATCGCTATAAATATATTTAATTTTGTTGCAGATACATGATTCCTATATTCAAAAAAACGTACAAGTACAAACTGACAGAAGAAGATCTCTTTGCACCGTTGAAAGAGCACAAGTCTAGCCTGTTAGGATCGAAATTAGAAAAATTATGGAACGAGGAATACAGGATACACAAAAAGACTGCACTACATAGGGCTTTATTTAGATTATTCGGTCTTAGATATATGATATTAGGAATTATCAGATTAATCGACGAGATTCTATTGATGTAAGTAGCGATGAAAACGCGCACTCGGAACCACCAGAGAGATGCCCGATCCGACTCTTTGCGCTGGCGTTACGATAGGCAACGATGAAAAAACCCGCATTCGAGTATCGAACATTTTTTTTTTATTTTTTAGACTTATAGTGCCTTATTGTATACGAATGTTGGTTTCGTTTTTGGAAGCCGGCCAAACTCGAATCTCTAAAAACGAGGCGCTAATCTACGCTACCGTATTGATAGTCACCTTCTTCTTGGACGGGCTGCTGCAGCAACCGAACTACATGGGCTTGCAGCACATCGCCCAGAAAATGCGAGTGGCCTGCACTAGTTTGATATACAGAAAAACGTTGAGATTCAGCAGAGCAGCTCTATGTAAATATACGCGATGTTCACCCTACAATTTACTAAGTAAATGTCTTTATAGGTAATACCACTGTGGGACATTTAGTCAATTTGATATCCAACGATGTGAGCAAATTCGATCAGACGTTCGGTTTAACTCATTACGCTTGGATTGGGCCGATACAAGTCGCTTTGGGTACGTGGCTGTTGTACAGGGAAATCGGCGTCAGCGCATTCTTCGGTTTGGCTTTTCTCATTTCCCTCGTGGGACTTCAAAGTAAGCGCTTTGTCTCGATACAATCGATAGTTTAAATTAACTAACTCGTTTTGTAATTATCTATGACGGTAGTTATGTGGATATTGCCTGTAGGAATTATTCGAAATGACATTTTGTTTTAGTATGGCTGGCCAAGAGGATGTCTATGATGCGATTGAAAACCGCCCTGCGAACTGACGAAAGAGTGAGATTAATGAATGAAATTATATCCGGTATACAGGTGATAAAAATGTACTGCTGGGAGAAGCCGTTTGCAGAGTTAATCGATTACGCTAGGAGGTAGTAAGTTCCATTGTTTGTTCACCCTTTATATTAAAGTCGGTATTATTATCGTTCGCAGATTGGAGATGAGAGCCATCAGATCCCATTCTTGCCTTCTGGGTGTTCTATACTCCTTCGAAGTGTTTGTTTCGAGGACGGCGATCTTCTTCAGCATCCTGGGGTTCGTCCTTTTAGGTCACAACGTCTCGGCCGACAAAGTTTTCGCTATTACAGCAATTTATAATCAAATACGAACCGTCATTACGATTATATTCTCGTTGAGTATATCGGCTTTCGCGGAAATCAACATTTCCATACTCAGGATCCATCACATTTTGACTTTCGATGAAAAAGAGAAGGACGAATCCACCGCTAGCGTCATGAACGGAAACTCCTACTTGAAATTCGACGCCATCAAGAACGGTGTTAACGGCACCAGCAACAAAATCGAATTACAATCGAAGACTAAAACTCCCAAAGTCGTTTTATCGGAAGTATCCGCTAAATGGCAAGATGACATGCTTGAGGATACTCTATCGGACATCACCATCAACATATCTTCAAACGAATTGCTCGCCATAATAGGACCGGTCGGCAGCGGCAAGAGCAGCATTATCAACCTCCTTCTGAAAGAACTGCCCGTCAAATCGGGCAAGATGGAAACCACCGGTAGAATTTCCTACGCTTCGCAAGAACCTTGGCTATTCGCCGCCAGCGTCAGGCAAAACATCCTCTTCGGCGAGCCGTACATCGAGGAACGCTACCAGCAGGTCGTCGAAGTCTGCGCGTTGAAATCCGACTTTTCCCTGCTGCCGTACGGCGATAAAACCTTCGTCGGCGAGAAGGGAAAAGCCTTGAGCGGCGGACAAAAGGCCAGAGTGAACCTAGCCAGGTGCGTCTACAAGCAAGCCGACATCTACCTCCTGGACGACCCTCTATCGGCGGTGGACGCGAACGTCGGCAAACACCTATTCGACAAATGCATCAAGAAATTCCTCGCGGACAAAATCTGCATACTGGTCACCCACCAATTGCAGTATCTCAAGAACGCCAATCGCATAATCATCATGAAGGACGGCAGGATCGAGATGACGGGCAGCTACATGGAATTGAAGAAGAGCGGCTTGGACTTCGCCAAAGTCATGCAGGAGTTCCAGCACGAGGACGAAGAGGAGAAGCGGATGAAGTCGATTAAATCGAAGGCGTCGATTTACGACGAACCGATGGAGTACGAGGAAGAGCAAATTATTGAGAAGGAAATGCAAGAGAAAGGAAGCATCAAAGCGGCGACTTATTACCAGTATTTGAAGTCTGGCGGGGGAGTTTGCTCGATGCTGCTCCTGGGATTTTTGTTCATCTTTTGCCAAGTCGTCGCTAACGGTGGAGAATATTATGTGACTTATTGGTAAGTAAATAGAGACATTCACTAGTTTCATTCACTCGATCATTAATTTTCTCTGCACTTCTTGATTTTACAATGGGGTAAATTTTGTGCTTCTAGGGTGAATTTGGAGCAGGATTACAATGAAAAGGTAGCCAAGAATCTAAGCACTGAAAACGACACTATAGACAGGGAGTTCATAATGTGGACCTACTCGGTATTAACTATCGGAAATATCGTGGCCTCGTTGATCAAAGCCGTTTACTTCATGATATTCTTCGTTATCGCTTCCAAACGTTTGCACAGCTACATATTTTCGAGGCTAATAAAGGCCACCATGAGATTTTACAACACCAATCCGACCGGGCGGATTTTGAACAGATTTTCCAAGGATTTGGGTACCGTTGATGAGTACATACCCTCGCTTATAATTGACGTTGTTGAAGTATTAAACCTCTGCGTGTTACACTGTTGACATATCTAATTCAATAACTTGCAGATAACTCTGCTCTTAGCCGGAAGTATAGCTCTATCTGCCATCATCGAACCTCTTCTGGTTGTACCAGCTCTTGTTATGATGGTGCTTTTTTACCTGTTGAAAGTCGTGTATTCGGAGACCAGCCGTAACGTTAAAAGAGTAGAAGCAATTAGTAAGTAATTTAAGATTGTTTATCCAGTAGATAATATGTTTGTTTTAGCGAAAAGTCCCATTCTGAACCACCTGGCAGCTTCCGTGAACGGCATTGAAGTAGTACGAGCTTTCCACGCTGAAGAAATGTTGACTGAAGAATTCGACAATTACCAAGACAATCACAGCGCCGCTTGGTTCCTGTATTTAGGTTCCAGTAAATGCTTTGCCCTTTGGCTGGATTTAGTTTGTATATTCTTCATAGCTACCGCTTTATACGCCTTGCTGTTGTTCAGAAATGGTAAGTACAATATCGAATTAATGTAAAGAATTTTTACGTAATTTTATTACAGACATTCACGGTGGCGATTTGGGTTTGATAATAACCCAATGCTTGGGTTTGTTGGGCTCGCTTCAATGGGGAATGCGACAGTGGACGGATCTGGAGAACAACATGACTTCGGTGGAAAGAATTTTGGAGTACACTCGTTTGGACATGGAGCCGGAGAGGAAGGATTCCGCGAAATTGCCGTCGAAATGGCCGGAGCACGGTAAAATCCAATTCAAAGACGTGTACTTGAGATACAGCTCGACGGATCCCTACGTACTCAAAGGACTAAACTTCACCATCCAACCGAAAGAAAAAATCGGCATAGTCGGAAGAACTGGTGCAGGAAAATCTTCCACCATCACCGCTTTGTTCCAGTTGTACGGCACAGAAGGGACCGTCTTAATCGACGATGTTAACATCACTGAATTATCGTTGGATACCCTCCGTTCTAATATCTCCATCATACCGCAAGAACCGGTGCTGTTTTCAGGTAAGCAACCACAGCATGACTAGTATTCAGTGAATTTACGTTTTTCGCTGCAGGTCCGATGCGCAAGAACCTGGATCCGTTCGAAAACTACAGCGACGACGTGCTGTGGAACGCGCTCGAGCAGGTGGAACTCAAGGAAATCGTGCAAGACCTACCGGCCGGTCTCAACAGCATGGTGTCCGAAGGCGGAAACAACTTCAGCGTGGGCCAACGGCAATTGGTGTGTCTGGCCAGAGCTTTGATAGGAAATAATAAAATTTTAGTTATGGACGAGGCCACGGCCAACGTCGATCCGCAAACTGACGCACTGATTCAACGGACTATCAGAGAGAAGTTTGCTGATTGCACGGTTTTAACGATAGCTCATAGGTGTGTAATTATTAATTCACGTGATTGATTGAATGGAATGTTAATTTCGTTTTTTAAGGTTGCACACTGTCATGGATTCGGATAAGATATTGGTAATGAATTCCGGTAGGGTTGAAGAGTTTGATCATCCATATCTGTTGTTGGAGAATAAGGCCAGCATATTGTATAATTTAGTCGAAGCGACGGGAAACTCTACTGCGAAATATTTGGAAACTATTGCCAAAGAAGTAAGATATTCTTTAACATTCTCTCGATCGTTAAATTTATTAATTTCGCAATGTTTTTTTGCAGAGCTACGAGAAGAAAACGAATTGAATATACCACTTTACTCTCCCAATTTACCTTTTTTAAAAATGCTGTGATCTTTTCATACCTTCGAAGAACAGTATTTAGCCAGTTATAATGTTTTTGTTACTTGCCATTTTATTATTATTATTATTAATATAATTTTTAGTGTAAATTAAATATATTTCCTACGTAAAAAGTGTTTTATTTATCGATAATTGATGCGCGATTTTCATCAATGACATCAACATCAATTTTGACACACTATCTGGGTTAATAATGCACAGTGCATATTCCTACAGAAAATATACAAACATGCAGAAATCCAAGATATTCGTAATATGACAAACTATAAGCATGGAAAAAGAATTTTTCGCTTCTAATCCAGCAGAAAACGCCAATTTTATTTCCCAACTGTTCTTCCTGTAAGCGCCCGCTACTAACCGAAATTGCTTCTACGACAGACAAATTGCAGGTACATGTTTCCGATATTCAAAAGGGCCTACAAATACGAATTAACCGAAGACGACTTATTCAAGCCGCTCGATCAGCATAAATCCCAAAGGCTGGGAACGCAATTAGAAAAAATGTGGTATCAAGAGTTTCGCAAGCACAAGAAAAGCGCCTTGCACCGTTCCCTGTTCAAAATGTTCGGCGTTAAATTAACGATCTACAGTGTGGTGATGCTAGTAGATCAAATTATGCTAATGTAAGCTCCAGCTGACAAAAGCAATTCGGAAAATTGAACGATTGATTCATTTTCAGCATAGTGATACCGATGTGCATATTCAGAATAGTATCGTATTTTGAAATGGGCCAAACGTTGGTATCCAAAACAGAGGCTTACATCTACTCAGCAGCATTAGTAGCTTGCATCGTAACCGATTCTGTAATGTCCCATCCGACCTACATGGGACTACAGCACACTGCAATGAAATTCAGAGTGGCTTGCACGTCTTTTCTTTACAGAAAAATGTTGAAATTCAGCAGGAGGGCCTTAATGGAGACGACTGTAGGTCAATTGGTCAACCTTTTATCGAACGACGTCAGTAAATTCGACGAATCATTCATGCTTGCCCCTTTCGTTATCGTTGGGCCATTGCAGGTAGCTGTCGGGACGTATTTATTGTATAGGGAAATAGGATTCGGGGCGTTCTATGGTGTGGGGTTTCTCGTTAGTTTCGTACCATTCCAAAGTAAGTCTTTATAGCACTTCCAAATTGCAAGTAGTCATCGTGAGATTGCTAAAAATTTCAGTTCTGCTGGCACACAAAACGTCTATAATACGTTTAAATACCGCCATAAAAACGGACGAAAGGGTGAGATTGATGAATGAAATGCTAAGCGGAATTCAAGTCATCAAATTCTATTGCTGGGAGAAACCGTTCTCGAGATTTATTAAAGAAGCGAGAAGGTAAAACAAATATTTTCTTCAATTTCGTCATCTGCAATTTTCTACCAGATTTTGTCCACAAAGCAAACCATAATTCATTAACACATATTCCAGGGCGGAAGTTAAGCAAATCCTGTACCATTCGTACGTCATAGGGCTGATTTACTCGTTCGAAATCTTCCTATCCAGAACATCGGTGTTCCTGAGCATCCTGGGCTACGTGCTTCTGGGCAACTACGTTAGAGCCGATAAAGTGTTCGCGATCACTTCGATTTTCGATTGCTTGAGGCCGATAATCACCATGTTGTTTTCGTTGAGCGTCAGCGCCGTAGCTCAAGTGCACATATCTATGTTGCGGATTCAGAGCGTTCTGGCGTTCGAGGAACGCCAGGACATCGAAAGATCTTCCATCGGAAAGCCGGGAATACGATTCGAAAACGTCTACGCTAGATGGGTGGAAGATACCATCGAGGATACTTTGATTAATGTCAATTTCGATGTATCTTCGAGTAGGTTTTTTGCGATAATCGGACCGGTAGGAGGTGGAAAGAGTAGTATTTTTAACGTTATTTTGAAGGAGTTACCCACTCAATCTGGCAATGTGGAAGTTGCTGGAACAATATCTTATTCCTCTCAAGAACCTTGGTTGTTTTCCTCAACTGTTCGGGATAATATACTGTTTGGTGAAAAGTATAACGCTCTAAGGTATCTAACATAAATTTTTCCTCTTCTACACAACTAATACGTTTCATGTAGATACAAACGAGTGTTGTACGTATGCGCTCTAAAACGCGACTTGGATCTTCTTCCGTTCGGCGATAGAACCCAAGTGGGCGAAAGAGGTAGAGCGCTCAGCGGCGGCCAAAGAGCCAGAGTGAGCTTGGCCAGATGCATCTATAAAGTGGCCGATATCTATCTCCTGGACGATCCTCTATCCGCTGTAGACGCCACCGTCGGTAAACACATCTACGTGGAATGCATAAGAACCTTCCTATCGGACGCCATCTGCGTGTTGATCACCCACCAACTCCAGTTTCTCAAAGACGCTGATCGAATAATGATTATTGATGATGGCGAGGTTCAAATGATTGGAAGCTACGAGGACATTCGCAACACGTGAGTGATTTTAGATATTAACATCTATCGATTAACATATTCTTTAATATCGTTGCTTGGTTAGCGATTCCGATTTCACCAAAACGATGCAGAATTTCATAGACGAAGAGGAAAAGGAGATAAAAAAATTGTCGAAACTATCCAGCTTTTTGACACCGCTGGATGAGATCCTGAGCGATGAATCATTGGATAAAGAGGAATTCGAAAGCGGAAGCATATCGATGAATACTTATTGGACATATTTCAAGGCTGGTGGAAATTGTTTATCCGTCGTTATAATGTTTGTACTTTTCGTCGGCAATCAACTGGCTGCTAATGGCGGTGAATACTATTTAACCTACTGGTTAGTTTAGTTATCACAAGCTTATTTGGTATTGAATGCGGTTTATTTAGGGTGAACATGGAACAAGATTACGCCGCTCAAATCGGAGCCAATCAATCTAACGTACAAGAAATAAACAGAAACAAAATAATAGTACACTATACGTTGATTACCATCGGAATGATCATGTTTTCAGTCATCAAATCCATTTACTTCATGACCTATTTAACAATCGCTTCCAGAAATTTACACGACCGAATGTATTCGAGGATACAGTGCGCAACTATGAGATTCTTCGACGTTAATCCATCGGGGAGGATTCTCAACAGATTCTCTAAAGATTTGGGCAAAATCGACGAGTACATACCTTCAGTGATACTCGATGTTTTCGAGGTAAAGTATACCCTTAAATTATTCTCATACAAAGTAGAAGAAAATATAGACGATTTGGACGAAAAAAAAAATAATGTCCACTAATTGTTTTTGACAGATCAGTCTTCAACTTCTGGGCCTCATTATACTATCGTCAATAATTGAACCATACTTGCTAATTGTAGACGGATTGTTGCTTTTCGTATTCTATTTCATACGAATAGTGTATGTGGAAACGAGCAGGAACTTCAAGCGAATCGAAGCTATAAGTAAGAATACAAAACAATAGTTGTTTTTTTTTATTTTTACGAAAATTCAGAACCAACTTCTAGCCCAAAGTCCGATGTACAGCCACATGACGGCCACCATGACAGGATTAACGACAATTAGGGCTTTCTCGGCCCAAAGGATGTTAATAGCACAGTTCGACAAACTGCAGGACATCCACAGCTCCGCTTGGTTCCTGTACATGGCTTCAGGCACATGTTTTGCCCAATGGATCGATTTTATCTGCCAGGTTTTTATCGCCTGCGCCATTTTCACTATTTTGAGCGTAAGCCACAGTAAGTCTGTCTTTGAATCCTTTATCCTCCCGACATACTCCTGTACTAGAAATCTTCATTACAATTATCTAATCATCTGTTACAAGTCATGAATATTACAGAGCTTCATGGTGGCGATATAGGTTTGATAATCACCCAATACCTGTGCCTGATGAGCAATTTCCAATGGGGCGTGAGGCAGTGGACTGAAATGGATAATAACATGACATCGGTGGAGAGGATTTTGGAGTATACGAAAATAGAGACGGAACCGGCTCGTGAGAAAATTCGCACCGCCTTAGGCGATTGGCCGGAGGATGGTAGAATCGAGTTCAGGAACGTGTCGATGCGTTACGACCCGAGCGAGAATTATGTTATAAGGAATTTGAGCTTCAAAGGTGTGGTATGTTGAGAGGTTGATTTGTAAATTTCAATTTAAATATTCGTAGTGAGACCTGGTGAGAAAGTTGGAATCGTTGGTCGAACTGGTGCAGGAAAATCATCAACTATAGCAGCTCTGTTTCAATTGTACCCATTAGAAGGGTCGATTTTTATCGATAATGTAGACACCACCAAAATGCCATTGCATGTAGTTCGTTCGAAAATATCCATTATACCCCAATCGCCTTTTCTATTTACCGGTAATCCACTCCTCCCTAGTTATCATCATTTACATAAATCATTCTTATAGGCACAATGAGAGAAAACCTGGATCCCCTTTGCGAATATCCCGACGATGTCCTATGGACAGCTCTCGAAGATGTCGATATGAGTGAAGAATTAGAGGAGCTACCGGGCGGTCTGTCTTCCATGGTATCCGAGGATGGCAATAACTTCAGCGTCGGTCAAAGGCAATTGGTCTGTCTGGCAAGGGCGTTAATCCGCAAAAACACCATACTCGTTTTGGACGAGGCCACGGCTAATATTGATCCCCACACAGATGCTCTCATACAAACCACCATTCAAGAGAAGTTTTCGCATTGCACCATCCTCTGCATCGCTCATAGGTATATTATTACATTTACTTAATCATCATTGCTTGTGTTGAAAATAAACTGATGATAGGTTGCGAACTGTCATGGATGCCGATAAGATTCTCGTAATGGACGAAGGAACTGTGGCTGAATACGATCACCCCTACATTCTTTTACAGAAAAAGGATGGGATTTTAAGGGAACTGGTTGATGCCACTGGTGCAGCTACTGCTAAATATTTGGAAACTATCGCAAAAGAGGTTCGATATTTTTTTATTTTAATACCTGTAATAAGATTATTAACTGCCATTTTCAGAGTATGGGCAATACGGTAAGAGAAATGTTGTTGAATAGAATTTTTCCGGACGAAAATAATATATAATATATTTTAGTCATCATAGGGTTTTAAAATGTAACTTAAAATATTTTAATAAATTTGGTGATTAACCAAACATTTTTTTAGCATAACCACAACTGTAAGTAAAAATAAGCAAGGTCATACAAACTGTTCATTTATAATATCTTCCTTAAAAATAATCCTATCTATAACAAATTATAAAATATCATCGAAAAAAACTAAATCTAAAATACAACTTCAAGCTTCTGTTTCACCGTCTGAAGCAACTGCTTGCTCTTCGGGCGTCCTCAAATCAATGGCGAATACCGGCTTCTTTGTTCCATTCTCTTTGTTTTTCTTCCCGAAATCCTGGAAAGCGGCCGCCAAGGCGTAGGTGATTTGCCTGGCTTGATCTCTGGATTCGCACAGGAAGCTGTGGCATTCGAAAGGCACTCCGTTTTTCAAATTGTCATCGGTAACGACTATCATGCTGAACACTCTGGTGTAAATTAAATCTTGCACGCCGTAAGAGATTGTGTCGACTGAGAATTTCGTTGGCGGAGATTGGGCGAGTTTCTTATTCGTTATTTCGACAAATTGCACCCCGTTGATGTTTACGGTGAATTTTACTATCGGTAATATTACGTTTGCAGATAGATTTTTCGCTTGTGATACTAGATAATCGACCGGTTTTCTTGTGTGTTTCATTCCCCAAAGGCCTTTCGCCGGTTGGCTACCTAGAAATATGATTATAAATGGACTGACTTATTTTATGATCTTTTAAATAAAGTATTATTTAATTAATTCGCATTGAAGAATTTCCAATATAATGAAAATATGGGGAAAACACAACTGAATTAAAAAAAATCCTAATGAACCTTGAACATTTGTAACAAAATTAAATGTATCGATGAATTAATATCTCGTACAGTAAATACATTTCTCAAATAAAACAATCAGCTAGATAATTTCTATATTTTGTTATCAGATCGTATCTTATAGACTCGGATTTTAATAAAACTTTATTACACCAATAAAACAGTATAATTAACAACATGAATAATCGATCTAATAGGTGTATAAACTTACCTAAATATTTGATTGCGAACGATATCGGCAAATCGTTGGCCGTAACAAAACAATCGTTACTGTCACCCATTATAACTTCACCACCGGTGCACCATTAAGTTCTAATTGTTTTTTGTTGCGATACCACTACACTTGGCGCAATTCGACGGGTACTAGGGTTCCCTGACATGCGTTGTTATCGTATTATTTCAGTATTTTCGAAATACCGACCTTCTGTGTGTTCCGAACCAACTGTTTTGTAATTCCGCTTTTTTGTTGCACCTGTTCCTCCCCACTGGCAAACAGTTCGTACCTTATCTCACGTTACAAGTATTATATTTTATCATAGTAGAAGTGATATTGCTGATAATTATTTTTCAAACGAAAACTTACTGCACAGGAATTATTATGGTGACTAAGTAAATAAATAAATAACTTTTAAAAAACATTTTTCAAACATGGTTCCTTGGCGATACAATAGTAAAATAATTTTAATTGTATATAAATATTATTTATTGTAAATACCACAAATCCTAAAGACTTCTCATTACAAATACTACATATGTATTGTATTAACGAAATAAAGGTAAATAAAATGATGCGCATAATCTGATTAAGAGACTGCTAATGTTGATAACAAAAACAACAATGGAACTCGAACAGCAAATCGATAAAAATATTCCAGAAATAATGTATGTTAATGTATGTAGGTGGAAACGAATCTTTACTGTACCTACATGTATTCACTTTAGTAACAAAAGTGATGTAACAAAAATTTGAAAATCTCCAATAATTTCGATGATGCTGAACAATTGTGTATCATTAACGACTTCACCACAACAATTAGCAGCAATTAGAACATGTGAGTTGAATTTAAATGGGATATTAATTTAAAAAATATAAAAATATTAGGTAGATAGAAAAATATATTGTATGAATGAAGAGCGAGTAAATTCCATTATAGAAACTTATTTAGAACGCGCCACTGTTGATGTTAATAGTGCTGCTATATTCTCTATTCTCAATCCTCCACTTAAGTGTCCTGTGCTTTACAGACAACCATCAATTTCATTCGTTTTAAATTTAATTGTACCAAATGAACCGGACAGTTCAGTTTGTGATATCGTTCTCGAAGATGACGATAATAAATTAATAAATTTCAATAACTTCGTCGATACGGAGCGCGCGTTTTTACACGGTGTGTCTGTTTGCATCTGTTGCCAAAAAAATATTCTCTCGCGAAACTGCACTAGTATAGAATTTTGCAACTAGAGTTTGTCCAGTTAGAATTTTAACCTTAAACGCGACTAAAATATGCGTTAAAGTAAGTACAATTTTGTAGAAATGCGTTTTAATATCCACATTTTTGTTACCGAATTTTTGTGTTTTTGTTTGTAAAATCAGTCGCTTGTCACTTTGCCAAAATTTCCTTAGCTAATATTAAAACAAAAATGTTTCACGCAAAGAAATGGAAACATTCAATATCACTGAATGAATCGTTTGTATAGGCTTTTTGTAGTATGGTTAAATATAAATTTGCTCGTGTAATTATTTTGCGAAATTCGTACGTTTTCAATTTCAATACCGCATAGTGCCGGGAATAATTTAATTTTATCTTTCGAAAGTAAGTAGAACATTAAAATTAGAATCCAGTTGATTGATGTATATTATTAATAGTATAGGTAAATAACGCTAAATTTTGTTAGTTATTTTTATCACATTGACCTTTAGTTTTACCGAAAATACAAGCCAGTTTCAACAATAGAATTAATTTGTATTTATCCTGTAAAAATCATTTCTAGTGTCTTTTATAACATCTTCTTGTGTTTATTAAATTTACCTTATGTTTTATGAATGAAGTTTTTAAATCACACGTACTGTACTATTTCTACAGAATGTCCGCAATGGATGAATTCGCTCTCATCAGTCACAAGGGCTTCAAATTCCTCATAACAAAAAATCCGTCCAACAACAACTTGGAGGGCTTCATCAAAGAATTAAAAAACAACAACGTGAAAGTGGTCGTGCGCGTTTGCGAGCCCACCTACGACACGGAGGCCCTCAAAGGGGCCGGCATCCAAGTGTGCAATCTCACCATTCCAGATGGCACTTTCCCATCGGAGAGGATCATCGACGATTTCTTCGAGATATTGAAAAGACAGTACTGCATCAACCCGGAATCCTGCGTGGCAGTTCACTGCATCGGTGGTTAGTTAATTTAATCATAATTCAATCGATAAAACTAATTAGATATCTGCAGGTTTGGGTAGAGCCCCGGTGATGGTGGCCACGGCTTTAATCGAACTGGGCTTCCCCTACGAAGACGCCGTGAATTTAATAAGGGAGAAACGGAGAGGAGCCATCAACGCCAAGCAGCTGGAATTCCTCTCGAAATACAAGCCGAAATCGCGATTGGGAAACGACAAGAAGAAGCCGTGCGTCATCCAATGATTCCATCGCGACCGTGCGTTTTTCGTATCGGATAGTTTCAATGACGTTTCAAACATGTCGTTAAAATAAGTAGCATTATTGGGTTTGAACAAGACAAAACAATAAGTGTGCATGCGTAATAAAATGGTGCCAATGTAGCTGATAAATGTAGATAGATACCGATGAGATAAATGAGTTTTAGGGACGCTTCTTGCTTGTATTTTGTATAATTTGACAATGATAAGTAGTTATAAATTCTTCTATATTTCAGCATGGGACGTCATCGACAGATTGGTTTGAACGTTCCATATAGGTATCTTAATTATTATTTATAAATTAACAACTTTTATCATTGGTAATAATACCCTGTTAATATGCCTGTTTATATTATGTCTTTAATAGATACGAAGATTCATAATATTACTTGAAATTTATTGTATAAAATTATTGTAGTAACCAAAAACTTATTGTATTATAAGTAGAAATTGTAAGAATATTTTTTTATTTATTTATCTTTTATTTTAGTAGAGTTGGCATTTTAATTTCGAGAGAACTTGTATAATAAACATTTCAAATAATTGGTGGTTTTTTTTATGGAGCATCTCGTACCAAATTCGTAACTCCACGAATAACAATCAACGTTAATGCTATACATTTAACATATTGTTTGCAATCAACCGCGCTAAGTTCTCGTGAAAAATCGCATTTCGAATTTTTAATTGTCCAGAAATACCTATTATTTCGGCGGTACAGTTTCGCAACTAATTTTTAACAAGCGCATTAGTTAATGTCTTGCAACGATTACGTCTAAAATTTATACGATTATTAAACAATATATTACGATGGAGGTTGGAGATTAATTAATTAGTAATCCGTTCCGCAAAGGAATGTGTGCGACGATGGATTTGAATGGTTTTATTGTGTTATACACACACCGAAATTTTCTCATAATATACACCTATGTATAACAAATAAAATCGGGACGAAGAAGGCTCTTGAATGCGTTATTTTAATTATGTTTCAAATTACTCCCTGTATTGTAAATGGAGCGATCCCTACAAGGCATCTACTTGATGATTTATAGTTGGAAATTCATCTAACGAAGGTTATTAATGTTCAATTGTGTATTTAATATCTTAATTTTCTTTTACATTTCCTGCAAGATATCTCGATAACCTTAACATTCTTACATACGCTATATTTCAATTAATAATTCAAACAACACAATAGACCTTTTAAAAAAAACTTATTTTTACTCTACGCTTTAGTTGCCACAAATTTTATCCCAGTAATAACGAGCTTAAAATCATCATATGATCAAACTTCAAACGTCTCAAACCCTTATAAAAATCATGTGCAATGTAGAAAAATTAATAGAATCTTGCGCTCGGAAAATTTCTAGAGCTATTCACGATGCTTCGCCCAATCAACAACTGATAATAGGGCTAGCACCGGGCTGGATAGTCGGGGCAGCTTTAATAAGATTAGAAAAATCCACAGCGCTGTTTCTAGGCGTTGGAATTATTTTACTGCACTTGGCCAAAGAAAACCAACTAGTACAAATCGATTTGAACGACATCGACATGGTGAAGTATACGAGTTTTATAGAATATCCTCCGACATGGACGGTTAAAGTGAAGGAATTTGCTAAATGTAACGTCGCTTTTACATATGGATTTATCTCAGGTGTTCTAATTGGTCTGGCATCGTATTAAGATAAGTTTAGCATTGTGGAAAAATATGAAAATAACTAATAATTATTCATAAACTCACCAGATTCTGTAGTTTCAATAGTGTATCTACTGCAACATTCACTCTGAAACAGAAAGAGAAAAATATATGAACTTTACTCTAAACTCTAAATTTTCTGGTAGTTTGTGTAGAGAAAATAAAAAATCCTTCATGTGCCTAACCCAAGAGGAAGATCCTAGTAAAGTGACGATAGCGATTTCGTTCATCGAGGATGCGTTCATTCAGAAAGTCTTGAGAATGGACCGTCGATTACGTTTCTTACTTAATCTTAACAGCAGCTTGCACGTATAAATCTCGAAGATCTAATAGTAACGGTTCACTGTTTTCGTTTTTCTGCAAGATCGTGCGCGTGCTTTGCTATTCGGTCCTCAAAGAGTCGGGCTAGCGGAAAACAAACCCTCAATATGTGCCCTTTGGAGAGTAAAAAACACGTGTTCGTTGTCATTTTCTGCGGATTAATGGTGCAGCTTGTTCTCAGCGTAAGTTTTTCATTTTTTGATTCGAGTAAAATGCATTAGTTTAAAATTAAATTTGTGAAGGTATAACAGAAATTATAGTGAACTTAATCATGAAAATTTTCAATTCATAATGCTTGCAAAAATCCTAAAAACGTAGTAAAAAATAATAATTTAGTATCCACTAAAATACTTTTTACTAATAAATGAAAAAAAATCCAAAATACTTAATCCAAATCCAAAATAGAAAACAGTATTATAAAAATCTCAGAAATGTAGGCATACTAAAAGTGATAATTTAATAGAAAATCATAACTATTTCATTTAACATAGCACAAACTAGATTATACTTTTCACCACAAATTACCAGACCCTAAATTGCAAAACACTATTGTTTGGTGCCGATAATTATTTTTGGGATTTTCCAATGCATTTAGATGTTTGCAACATTTTATTCGCGCATCACCGCTTATTGGCAATTCCGCTGGCCGGATGTTATACAAGTTGTCGTCCAGCAGAAACGGAAACCGAAGACGAATCGAATAAAATAAAACATCCGATTTGTATCGCTGACCGTTGTTGCTAAACCATTACAGCATTGTTACAGATGCGTTTCCACCAACAATTTCGAATCACGAATTCCGATTCCCATTCAGGATTTACAGACGGTTGATCGCCCTAATTCGATATTTTTTTTTGTGTATTTCGTTTGCAAGAGACGAGATGAGCTCGCTTGTAGCATTGTTTTTCGTGGTGTTTTGTAACGATTTTCATCTAAATTGTTGCGAATATCGCTGGTACTCGTAACGATTAATTGTTTTTCTTGTTAAATACCTCACTATACGTCTTAATACTGTTCATTAGAGTGAGAAGAATAATTGTAAGCTAATAAAATTGATGCAAATGCGAATAAAATCGTCTATAAAATGCAATGAATTATTACATAAGACAAAAACGATAGTCAAATCACAATTATAATGATGATGATCATCATCATCAGAGTCTAATTTACCGAAGATGACACTTTCAGTTTCATTCTGCAACGCAATCTTTGTAGGTCACGATCCAATTTTCCTTCTTTTTTATATAAATTCTCTGAGAACCGCGTTCGAGTAGAGAGCCCGTCATTGTGTCGTGTTCGCCTCATTGCGAGTCATTTACGCTAGTTTATTTAACTTCTAATTAGTCACATTGTAGCAATAGCTCACAATAGGAATTTCGTCGTTGGATTTTGCCTTTTCGTGTGAACGTTTTCAGCACATCACCGTCAATATGTAATTAATAACGCCCGCCGATCTTATCGACGTCGAAGATGAGAAATTAATTAATTAGGAAAAAAATATTTTATGGAATTTATTTGACATCTCTTGGTATCTAGCTTGAACACCAGTCGATTTTTGTTTATGAAATTTTACGAATAATAAATATTTCTTTAGCAAATCGACGGTTACATACCGGGAGAAGACTACCCCATATACCACGAAATACCGCAGGGGCTGTCATTTAGATGCGATCAGCGCTTGCCGGGGTACTACAGCGATCCCGAGGCACAATGTCAAGTAATTTATCAATGTTTATAATTTTCCACGGTGCATATGAATCTCTTTGTGATTATAGGTGTGGCACTGGTGCTTGCCGAACGGCCAGAAATTCAGTTTTCTGTGTCCGAATGGAACGGTTTTCAATCAATTCGCCAGAGTTTGCGATTGGTGGTTCAACGTCGATTGCGCTGCCACGCCGAATTTGTACAATATCAACGAGGATTTGTACCGGGTGACGCCTTATCAAGGGGAAAAACACCACGAGAACCAATAGATGTGAATTTTAGGCGCTTTTTTTGATACTCTATACAGAGGTGTGTTCCTGCAGAAATCACAAACTAGTCGGAGCTGATAAAATTATGCGATTCAAGTAAAGGGAGTAAATTATTATATTGTGTTGATCTTACAAATTTATGACTTTTGTTGGAACAAACCTTATACAGTTTCTTTTGTAATACCGTATTTATTTTTTCTTTTTTTATAAATAAATCTTTAAAAATCGCATATTTCTTTAATTAATTAATTGCCTGCAATTATTCGAATTTACAGTCACTATTTTCGTTTTCATAACGTTCATCAAGTATTCGCGAATTCCAATCAAATGACCAATTGACAACTTTTTGACAGTAAAGTTGTAGAAAGCAAATTTTTTACAACATATTATACATTTTTTATATGCGAATTCGTCTCCGACGCAATGAAATTACCCATGCAGCTACATGCTAAATATCAATGCATTTGCATGGTCTAAAAATGTAAGTATTTTCACCAATACCGTACCTAAATCTAACTTTAGCGATTTTATAGATTAATACTGGTGTGGTTAATAATAGATATAGCGAAAACAAGCAGTTTAGGCGAGGGCTCGACCAAGACATATTTCAAGGAGGTAGCGGACTTTGACGACATTGTCGAAGAAACCGATAAACGACAAAACTCGAAAAAATCCACTACCGTGAATAATGTTACAATGGCGCCGGATCTACTTGAAATACACCCCCAACAGCGGGTCAAGCAAAACGTTAACTACATGGAACTGCAAAACGATAATTTCAACGAAAACTTCAACAAACGCGATCGATTTCAAAACCAAATCGATCGGTATCCCATCCGATCGCAGTACGTGGATCAGCAGCAACATATCGAGCCGAAATTTATTTTTACCAAACAACTCCGCCAGCCGATAATCTATAGAAAGCCAGCTAAATTAAATCTATTCAATAAGCCTGAACTGTACGTCATCAGAAGACTACCGTCGCAGGGACAGTATTATTTATTTAGGGATAAAAGTAGGAAGGATAATTATTTAAACGAAGAAATCGGGAGAGAAGATAGAAAGCTTGATGCTAATTTTATTCAAAGACAATCCGAGGAGAATTACGAGGATCTTGACGCAATGTCGACGGCTCGAACTGAAAATATGAATTTTGAAAATGAGGAGATTTCTGGAATTGAAGGTATAGGAATCCTCTTATTACTTAACATAATTATCCTGTTAATTTTTGCTAACTTTCCTACTTTACTATTTCTGGAATGTATTTCAATTCGAATGAAATTTAGCACGTTTTTCCAGACGCCCGGAATCCGGAAAACTGCGACACGCTCTACCAGCTATTCAAAGAGCTGCCTCTCATCAACAAAATGCTGAACGAATTGATGGAGGACAAATCCCCGAAGACTTTCAACACGGCTTGGCGATCTATAAAATGCGTCGTGAACGATCAGCAAGACAACGAGAAGAGCCGTCTTTTAGATAGCCCGGGTAGCAAAATTTGCTTTCGAAAATTCGTGAGGAGCCACAGGAGACGCCGACGTCATTCGACCTACCTAAACTCCAGGAACAAGAGAAAACGAATCAACAATTCGTTAGCCAAGAGAAACGCCGAGGACGATCCCAGATTTAAAAACATCATCGATTTCATCATTAAAAATAAGATATTTTTAGACACGTACACGTACGTTCCGATTGTGTTTTCGAAAATTACTCAGGAGAAGCCGGGACAACAAACCGAAGCCACTAATACTGCAAACAAAACGACAATGTCCGCTGATCAATTAGCTAAATTATCTTGCGCGGAATGCTCCAATCAAGACAAAGATCTAACGACAGAAGCCCAGCAAACTTCAACTGCGTCCAAAAGAGGAGTAGAACAAAAGATTTTTGGTGTTACACCAACTAGAGAATCAGAACATCACACTTACACAATTTCGAATATATCCGATATTATGCGATACATTTTCGCTGAGATGCCGAGAGATTTGAAGAAACAGCAATACGTTACAATTTCTGAGGAATCGCCCAGTTCAAAGGAGAGTTTTGCCTACAACGAAGTGTACACCAATCCTACTTATCCATCTAAAGACGTGGAAAGCGTCGTCACCGAAAGATTTATAATTCCTTCAGAATCCGAAAGTAACGTACTTTTGAACACTATCGATGTAAAAAGAGAAGATAAACCAGCTTCGTTCAATCCACAACAAACTGTAGTCGCAACCAATTTAACAGTACCAATTCCTACCCAAATTAACACACCTCCAACACCTCTTAACAACACAAATACAATCATTAACAATTTAACACCAGCAATTCCACCCGTAGTAGCAGCTATTCCAATTTCATCAGTTCCTGTCACTAACATTAGCATCCCAGCTTTAACAAATCCTGTTCAACCACAAGTTGCATCCATTACACCTATAGCACCTATTGCACCTATTGCACCTGTTACACCTATTACACCAATTAGTAATGTTCCCACAAATACCTCTCCCGCTCTATCCATTGGGGAATTTCTGAAAGCAACCACACCCATTATACTGGTAGGAAGTCGGAATATATCCGAGGATATTTACTTCAGATTGCCGGAGCTGAAGCGAACATTGAATCAAACGGCGAAAATCATCAATGATCGCGTGAAACGCAAAATTTGTTCGACCACAACACAAGATTCTTCAACTCCGCTGGTTATAAGCGGCATGAGGAACATTTCCGAAGAGGTGGTATTCAAAATACCGAATTTTAAGCGAGCTGCGACCGAAAATCCGCCCGGTGCTCGATTGAAAAAGGACGTGGATCGAGAAGAGTACGAAGAATTCGAAGACTTGGATTACAGGAATCCTGATAAACGGACCGCTCCTGATTTAACTTCCATTGAATTACTGACCACTTGTATTCCTGTTGGCGTTCAATCCAATACAACAGTCCCAATTGTCCAATTATCTACAACTCTCAACTCCAATCAATCCGTTAGTAAAATTTTCAAAATTAACGAAACGGTTTCGATCACCGAACTTACCCCTACGGAAAACACAGATTTGGGTGCGCAAATGTTCGAATTTGGAGGTCTCAAAACCAATACAATTAAAACAGATAATACTACAATAATCACAACTCCTAAGATAGAAAATATTACTTTACTAAACAATTCCTCAACTACAATTACTGTCACTAATGTTACTTCTAACAAAAGTATCGTTTGTTCAAATGAAACTCTGAGTACTATCAATAACACAATAGCTTTGACTACCACTAATAATACAGTTGGGAGTAGTTTGAATAAAAGTAGCGATACAAATCCGATAGAAGTTAAAAACGCCAACGCTACAGTCGTAGGAGCTGCAAAAAGCGAAAACGGAGTAATACAAATTAGTAACAAAGCGTCTTCTCCTTCGAATACTGATAAGCAGATGATACCGGGCGTTTTAATTTATCCCAAAAGCGAAAAACCCACTGCAAAATCGAAACGAAGCGTGCTTGACGAATTAGATGTACTGGACACCTTTACCAATAGTCCTTTGAGCGAAATCGAATCGATTACGATCGAAGATCCCTTATTGAATATTAACAAAAAAGTAAGTAATGAGTTAAAATTTTGTTCAAAATTTAAAAGTTGTGCCAAAGGGGTTGCTCATGAGTCATTGTGCCAAATACACCATTAAACTAGTCACTTTTTATAATTTAATGTAAATGGGAATATATTAGAATATATATTAGAGGGTTTCGTGAATTTCTAAAACTAAAAATTATTGGTTTTTATTTTAGGGCCCCACGAAACTCTGCGGCGACAATCAAATTCGATAAATTATTTTTTAATCGAGCAGAAAAAAAATGCAGAAAAAATTGGGTATGTAAAATTCACAGTTTGGTACCTAAATAAAATGACAGATTTATAAAATTGATTCCTTAATCATTTTTTTGACTCTTTAGCAACCCCTTTAAAGTAAAGATGTCTACCAATTTATTGACAAAAAGAACCGAAAGACATTTCTTTTATCTAAATTACTTCCTTTTTCGGTTTTTAGTACATAGACTTCAATCCGCTCGGTATAATGAAGAAAGAAGCACACGTTCCATTGCCCAACGAAACTGGTAATTGCCAGAAAGAAACCGAAATGATACTAGACACTTTAAATTCCCTAAATTTAAACCCTACTTCATCTTCGACGCGAGAAATTTCAAGCACAGCGCCGGTTGCGACCTCTGCGGTCGCAGGATTCAACGATCAATCCAATAATTTGAATTCCCCCAGCACTAGTTTGTATAATTTCAACGTGAATCCTGCCGGCTCGGATAGTACTCCACTTGCTCAGCAGAATTTCAATTGGAACAGCAACCTGCAACCGATACCGCCGGTGCCAGTTTCCTGGCAAGTCACGCCTAATTTGAACCAAAACCCCTTGCTAATGATGACCAACATTCCACTCAACGAATTTAATTCGCCTAGCACATTCTCTACATTACTAGAAACTATCAGTATTAGTTCAACTCATGATGAAAGTACAACAAGTAAGCCTTCAATCTTTCTTTTCTAATAATCTTGTTGGACTATAAACAATATTTTTAGTTGCATCTACTGAATCCAGCAAAATATCACTTTCTACTGGATCCAATTCCGCGGATAATAAACTGGAAAAACTGGAGAAAGATCTCAAATTGGTCAATGAAGTTCAAAGTATAATCGACGGTATGTACAGGATGAAACATAAGGTGAAGAAGAGGGACGTGAACGAGGTATTGGCAGATTCTACAGCTCATGTGTCTACCACACAAAAAAGCCTCAAAGTAAACCCGGATAAGTTCAAGGAAATTATGGGATTGGGAAAAATATTGAAATGGAAGTATCTGAAGAACGAGCACCGGAAGAAACGAAAGCTGAGGAAAAAGAGAAAGAGGCAACGGAAGCGTGTACATCCTTTTCGTCATAGACGTTTTTTAGGTACTAAAATGTTCAGATTAATTTTAGAATTTCATCTCAAACAACCACTAATGATTCATTTGTAATAATTTTAGGCCAACGTATGCAAAATTCTTTGTAAATGATGTTCCTTTACCATTTCAAAACTACCTGGGCAATTCACGCAGATTTCTCATGGATAATAGCCAAAATGACAATAACAATCCATCGTTAATTCGTTTGAATAAAATAGTTAATCCATGGGGAATACACTGGCCGAAACTCGACAAAAAAGAATTGAAAATCGAAGAGTTCTCGACAACGACAACCACTGAATTCGAAAATGTGGAACTGGTCCCTGAAATGGTAGATTTCCATCCGGCATCACCGGAGGAAATTAATGACACTACATCTTCTTCACCCGGTAAATAATTCCCTCAAATATCTAGGAATTCATTTCTAACTTTCACCATTTTAGAACCAGTAACAAACGATACAACAGAGAAAACAACCAACAATAAACTAGCAGAAGAAGATGATCAAGAAAGTACAATTGAAGAAGTGGAAACGCAAAGTGAAGATACTGAAATTGTCACTACAGAAATTTCTTATACCACACCGACAACTACAACTCAAATCGAAGAAACTGTTACTGAACACAATTATCCCAAAAAATACACCGAAGCAGTCGAAGACGAAGATTTACTGGAATACGACATTTCCTGGCCTGAAAACGTGTCAACAAGGAAGCAGCACACTGCCAATAAATTTATCAAAAAACTTCATGCAGGTTCGAAGCATAATTAGAACTCTTTACCAGGTGCATTTACAATTTCTATTTCAATCAATTATTTCAGATAATTTCGAGCACCAAACGCGACCGATGAGAGATGTTTTCGCAACGTTCACCGCCGAGGATCCTTTCAAATGGCCTTCCAGGACCCCCAAGAAGAAGAAAAAGGGAAACTGGAGAGATAAATTCTCTAAATACAAAACGTCCACCATCGCATTATTGCCGACAGTAACATGGAAAAATTTCAATTTTACCGAAGAACAAAACCCGTTCAAAACCGTAGAATTGACGCAAACCGAGCCAAGTAAGAATATTCAAATAATCAATTTACGACTTTTTGAGGCGCACTAAAATGTATCATAACCACGGTAACCAACCACGTATATCACTTTGAACAATTTATAAAAACTAGCATATTAATATTTTTAGTAAAGAGAAGATTAACAAAAGGTAATAATTTCTTTTACAATCCCTACTAAATTTTCCAACAAATCCATTTCCTCTAAAACCAAATTTACGATTTTAGCAACGACAACACTATCAACGGCAAGAACGAAAGAAGTCTCTATTAACTTCACCATCAATACACCATTACCCGAAGACATTTTCGATTACGACGTACTAACGACGCCTAGATTGTTAATTGGTAACGTAAACCTAGGCGGCGATGAAATTTTATCGAAATTAGAACCCGCCGAAGATGTTAACGTTGATTTGGATATAGCAGCGTTGCCTCTGGAAGACGAAGCCTTGACTGAATCGACGAAACCCAACGACGAATTGGACTTTGACGTGGATAAAGCTCTCAAATACGCTACCGAAGGGAGCGTCACGACGATGGAAGACGACGATCAAGAGAGAAGAGAAATATTTCAGATCGCCGATGAATTGTTGGAGGATTTCACTTCGACCACTACAACTGAAACTACTACCGTTGAAACGATGGAGACGTTTCCCAGTAAGATTAACGACAATACTCCATCGACTAAGAAACAATTTGTGGAGGGAAGCGAGAATACAATTACCACAACATCTGGAAATTCTACTAGCACGCTTACAATAAATGAAGAAACTGAAAATGGGAGTAGTTCAGTTGAAAAAAGTAATGAAATTACAACTGAAAGTAGCAATGTTTCCACATCCACTGACAATACAACAATAAGTTCAACTGAAATTGCATCAGTGATTACCACACAAAATATTTCCTTTGCATCAGATGCAACTACTTCATATTTGATAACATCTACTAATCAAACAATCCAGGAAGTAAATAAAACAGAAGAGGGCGATACAACTAATAATGAATTTAATATAACAACCACAGAAACTAAGTCTAATATTCCTGTATCTTCCGAAAATGGTACTTTAACTGAGATCGAAACTATATCGACAAGTACTAAAGAAACCTTTACTTCTTCAGTAGGTTCCACTACTTCATATTCAATTAATTCTAAAACACCTGAGAACCAAACAACCCAGGTGTTAAATACAACACTGCTTACAGTGGCACCTAGTAGTGAAACAACGCAATTATTTACAGAAAAAACAACAAAACAAATTGATACAAGTTTAAAAATAGGTAGAGCTACAACTAATTACTCGACATCATCATCTGAAATAACAACTATAAAACCTCCCGAAATTATATCAGTTTCCACTGTACCGGAAAAATTATCATTATCAGGGTATACAAATATGGTTAGTATTAACACGACCGAAGAATCTAAAGAAATATCAACTACTAAGCTTTCCGTTGGGGAATCTTCGAGTTCTGGTCGTACAACAACAAAAAATGCAGGAAGCATTAACACTACAAACATAATCGAAGAGAAGACAACACTTCAAACGACTAAATCATTAACTTCAGAGGTTTATTTATCTTCGGAATCACCTGAAATTGAAAACACGGCAACTAGTCAAGAGTTAAATTTAAAAGTATCTGAAGAATCGAGTCAAACACATAGTAAGTTATTTTCCTCGCCAATTTCAACAACTGAAGTAGCGACAGTAATAACTGGCAATAAAATAACATTGACGCAAACAACGATGATTGAAGAACCTACAGTGATTAGTAAAAAGTCCGAGGTATTTAAATCAATAAATCCTTTCATTACTGTATTAACTGCATCTGCAACTACAGAAATGCCAACACAGGCACATAATAAAACAACACTTTATACAACAGCGTCAGGATCGACTCAATTAATAGAAACTACTTCAAAAGAGGCTACTTTAAGAAATATTTCCACAAAAGAAAACCATACAGAAATAACTAGTACTGAAGTAATTATTGCAGACCAAACTATTAATAGCCAAACGCATGGAACAAAAAGTTCTACAGTTGAGCCTACGAGAGAAGAAACTATTACAAAACTAACTACTGTCGAAGAAACTAAAATCAGCAAAATACTTGAAGAAATAAGCTCAAAAAATGAAGCTACAACAGATACAACCGCTAAAAAAGTGATTACAACAGAAGAAACTACTTTAGAAGAAACTAGTACGAAGCAAACACTTACAGTAGCAAGTTCGACAGAGGTAACTAATACAGAAAAATCATCTATAAAAGTTGTTACTTCAGAAGAACCAATTACAAAGAAAACTCTAACACAAGAAGCTATTGTAAGATCGGGTACAGTTGAAAAAAATTTTACAGAAAGTGCTACAGAAGAAAAAAGTTCTACAAAAGAAGCTACCACACAGCAAAGTAATACTATAATAGAGGATACAACAACAAACGAAACTTCTACAGAAGAAAGTGCATCAGAAGGAATCATTTCAATATCATCACCAAACAGCAAGAAAACTACTTATGATGCTAATGCAGAAAAATCTCAAAGAAAGAAATCAACCAAAAGAAAAAAATCTAAACCAAAAGAAGTAGTTGTAGTGACTAATCTAATACCCATTGTTACATGGAAAATGTTTAATTGGACGAAACCCGAATTAGGTAGATAATATCTAATGTTAAATATGTATTTCATTACTAATTAGAATTTTTTACAGACACAAAATCAACAACACTGAAATTTTCGGAGAAAATAAACATGACATCTACTATATCATCATTAGAAAATACAGAAAATATCAGTACACCACAAATTATCAAAACCTCTTCTGCTGAACCCATCTCCCAAACATTGCAATATGAAGAATCCAAGTACTCTACAGAAAATATAACAGAAACTCATGTGTCCTTTACATCGTCTATAACAAGTGAAATAACAACAAATAACGATACCAAATCCACTATATTAAGTTCAAATAAGGTAAATGTCGTTACTGAATCAACTACAAAAATAGAATCTTCATCGCTAAGTATTTCTGAAGAGCAAATTACTAATGGAACTTCTCCGGCAGTAACATGGCAAACTTCTGAGGAAACCCTATTAACATCAACAGTAAAATCGTCATTAATAACCCAATTTGAAGATACTAAAAGTGCATCAACGAGTATTGTAAACACTGAACAGCAGAAAACAGAAACAGAAACTATTAAAACTACGCTATTGTCTTCGGAAGAAGCATCTTCCTTGGATCTTATAACGAGTGTTGAGAAAAGTACGGAATATGTTACAAAAACTACAACAGAATGTAATACTATTGTAACTTCAGTATCTCAATCTTCTGAAGAAACTGACTCAACTGTAGCTATTCCTTCAAAAGATTCTGCCGTTAAAGAAGAAACATCAAATTCATTTACAGGAACATCTCGTCAAAGTTCAGAAATTACAACATCGAGTACTGAAACGTATTCATCAAATAAAACATCTTCATCAACTAAAACATCTTTAACAACTGAAACAACATGTCTATCCAGTTCCGAAAACTCTGAAGATTCTACAAAGTTACAATCTAATACTGAACTAGATAAAATTAATGAAGCTAATAATAAATTTTCTTCACTTGAAACAACTTGTGTTACTGATGTAACTGGAACAAATAAAGAACATTCCCTTATTAACTCAGAAACAACAACAAAATCAACGACTGAAGTTTCTTCATCACTTATGCCTCAATCTTCTCGAGAAACTGGTAAAACTGCAACATCATTGACTGAAGTTTTAACTACAGCATCAATTGAGGAAACTACATGTTTAAATAATACTGAAATTGTTTCTACTACTAAAGCAACTGCTTCAATACCACATTCAACTAAATCGGCAAGTTCCTTAGGGGGACAAGTTGAAATTGATTCCTCCGCAAGTACTTCAGAACAGGAAAGTAGCTCATTTTCTACATTAGCTAGAAAACTAAAAAAAGGGAAGTCGAAAGAAACATTTACCAAATCAAATACCTCTGAACTTCTATCTAACGTAACTTGGATGAATTTCCCTTGGACGCAAAATTTAAGCACGTTAAAGTTGATGACACCGACAGATAATGGTAAAATGACGAATTTCGATAATTTCGATTTATTTTCACTTTATTTTAATTTCAGAAGAAGTTTCTAGTACTGTTAGTACCAAAACAGTACCACCAACGCAAATAAACAACACTTTTTGTGAAGAAAATGTTTCGGTTAGTTCAATTCAGGAATCTTCAGAAACGACTTGCTTAGATGAAAATACTACAAAAATCAAAGCAAGAAAAAGAAACTTGCCACAAACCTCCCATGCTAGTTTAACAGAGAAAAACGTTGAAGTTAGCACTACTGAGACATCAGTTAATTCAAAATTAAATCTCAACACCGGCAAATTTTGGAAGAAATTCTCCTGGCCTGCGTTAACTACAAAATTCGACGAACGCGAAGAAATGGAGAAGCAGAGGATGTTAGCAACATCTACTACCTTCAAAATCACGACCAGAAGTAACCCATTTCGCATATAGAACCAACATTTTATGTTCAATAAACTTTTCCTTTTAGCTACCACTACAATCAAATCTTTTTTGGAGGCCGAACAAAAATCCGAAACCGATTTCACCGGGCTTTACATACCAGACGAGACCACCACTAAACCGTACTTCTCCGATTTTTTCCTTTTTACCGACAGGACGCCCAAAGAAGTAGAAGTGGAGGAGATCGACCGCAAATTAATGAGTCGAAATCTCGATATCGGCGAAACCGTGGGGACAATATTACCGAAATTCAGTCAAATTAGCGATAACGACCGGTTGAAATTGCATAGTGCAGCCGATGTACTTTTGGATAATTGCAACGTTGATAACACTGCCGAAATCAGACCCACTGAATCAGGTATTTGATGAGCTATATTTTAGGTTTTGAATATGTAGAATTTGTTTTTAGGTTTGGAAATATTAACAGGAAGTGTAAATTCAAACATTAATGTTGCTGGCAATGTTACATCTTCAGGTAGGTATGATGATTTATTGTTAGTGAATATGTTAATATTTGAATTATTTTAGATATCTCCAAAAGAACTCATTGCTTTACAGTTACCCATCACACTACAGGAAGACCAGACAGAAAACAACGAAGTACCGTTAAGAATAAGGTAAATGAAACAAACAAGACTTGGTAAGTGTGATAAAAGAATCATCCTACTTTAAAATTCGCTAAATATAAGACGTCAGTGTTGCTTCACGCGTGGTTGGTTACCTTCTTAATATTTATATTTTATGTTATCAATTTTATGTAGCGTCTCATTGAGTAAAAATTAACCGAAAGCCATCTATCGGGCTGCTAAAACTTTTCCGATGTTACAGAAGGAACGAAAACACCGCAAGAGCCAAAGGAAAAAAGACCAACGGAAGCAACACTGTCTTCGAATGAATCACCAAAAAGTACACAAAATCCAACCACTGACCGTCATCTTTTAGATTCAACGCGACCTAAATTAACAACAGGAGCTTTTAATACCGTCGTTAGTACTAAAGATACCGATGAAAATTGGGAAGAATCTTCACCAACCGAAACGATAAAAATGCCGAAGACTACTCAAACCGTACTGACATCAACAAAAGAACGGATAACAAAAAAAATCCACGTCACAACACAAACACTCAGCTCCTTAGAAACCAGAAGTACTGAAATTGAAAAGACCACAACAGAAAATGCTCAGACTGATAGAAAAATCGAAACTCCACAAGAAGTAACAGGTAATAATCATACTTAAATTTCTTCAACCCATCTCTCTATCCTTTATATTCTAATTCGTTTAATAGGAATATTTTAACGTTGTTTCATTAATTCTGCAGATGAAGACGAAGACGAATACGTATCACAAGAAGACGAAACCATCTATCCGGATGACCATTTCGAGAGTAAATTCGGCATAACATTAACATCCACTCCTGCGACCACGATAGAGTTGTCCCAAATCGAAAAATACGTGACCAAGGTAATATCTGAAGTAGAGAAAAAGCTGGAAACTGCGGGTGCCGCTTCCACCGAGCGTACGCTTTCCGCTTTTGATAAATTCGTGACTGAGGTTATATCGGAAATAGAGGAAAGCATCAAAAACGAAACTGCTAGTACTCCAGAAGAGGAGAATAGTACTCCAGAAGATGTTGATGATGAAAGTAGTGCTTCGACTTTTTTTAGATTGGACGAAGAAACTACGACCGAAAATAAAACGCTAGCTAATTTCTCGATTAGTTTGGCTACTGAAAAGGGAAATTTTACCAAATCTCAATATGATAATTATGTCTCTAGCGTGATTTACGAAATAGAAGAAAGGCTTAATCGTACCACAGAATTAGAACGTTTTAGTATTAACACCATTAGACCTGAAAACAGTACACAAACATCTAAATTTAAGAATTTTACTAGGCATGTTATGACAGAAAAACAATCTTCTGTTCCACATTTCCACACTATCTTCAAACAAATTCCAACTAAAGCAACTGTGAATAAAGAGAGCAAATCTACAACTGAAACTTTAACAAAAATAACTTCAAATAAAGAGAACAAATCAACAAGAAAAATTGAAACCCATAAAACCGTAAATAAAGAAAGAACATCGACAATTCCAACCGAAGCAACATTAAATAAAAAGATTAAATCAACAAAGAACATTCAAACCGAAGAAAGTGTAAATAAAGAATCTAAAACAAGTGAAGCTACAACAAGTGAGGCTACATCAAGTGAAGCTTCAACAAGTGAGGCTACATCAAGTGAAGCTACAACAAGTGATGCTTCAACAAGTAAAGCTACAACAAGTGAAGCTACAACAAGTGAAGCTACAACAAGTGAAGCTACAACAAGTGAAGCTACAACAAGTGAAGCTACAACAAGTGAAGCTACAACAAGTGAAGCTACAACAAGTGAAGCTACAACAAGTGAAGCTACAACAAGTGAAGCTACAACAAGTGAAGCTACAACAAGTGAAGCTACAACAAGTGAAGCTACAACAAGTGAAGCTACAACAAGTGAAGCTACAACAAATGAAGCTACAACAAATGAAGCTACAACAAATGAAACTACAACAAGTGAAACTACAACAAGAGAAATTTCAACCGAAGCAACAAATAAAGAGAATAAAACAACAGGGAAAGTTCAAACCGAGGCATCTGTAAATAAAGGAAGTAAACTGCAACAGTCATTATCAACACAAACTGCGAAATTAAGTAACAAAATTACAGAAAAAGTGGACGCGAATATCATAATTTTAGAAAATTTCACTGAAGAACTGAAAGAAGTAACGTTTAATTTACCTAGCGAAACGAAAAGCACTATGTGTAAAACTTGTGAGGATAAAGAATATTCAAGCACTGAGGTAACAGAATCAAACCATTCGTCGACCAATTCAGGTACAATTAGCACAATGTATCAAGAAACCCAGCAAGAAACAGCAGAAACACAATCTCAAATTTCCTCGAACGAACCAAAAGAACATACAAAATCTTCAGAATCCGAGGTACATTTAACCACAAAATTGAAAGAAAAAGTTTCAACGGAAAGAATAATAACCACCGAAGGTGGATATGATACTTCTGTTAATAATAATGAAGATATAACACAATTATTCTCATCAACTTTCAATAAAACCACCAAAATTTTTGATGAATCCGTTACAATTACTACAAAAGCAAGTGATAAAGTTAGTAAAAAAATTAAAATTAAAACCAATAATACAGAGCAATCAACTGAAAATCAAATTACAATATCTGATAAAGCAGAAACCACTACAAGGGTTGAGAACACTCATCAAATTGGTTTAAATGAATTTGAAGAAACAAGTAATACAGAAACTAATAGTACAGAAAGTGCTGAAATAAATGCAGGGACTACAGAACAAAAAACTGAAAGTGAAATTCAAACAAAATTTAAAGAATCTGAGGCAGAAACCACTACAAAAAGTGAGAACTTTCAACGAAGCAGTCTTAATGGAGTTGAAGAAATAAGCACTATTAATTTAACAACTAAAAAAATAAGTGAATTGATCGAAATTAAAATATTTAGTACAGAGCCAACCAGTAACAGTGAATCAAAAGCCAACATTGAAAACACTGAAATACATATAGAAAATACGTATCAAACTACAGAGAATAGTGAAGAAACAAGCAAAAATATGTATACCAATACAGACAATACCAGTGGTAAAATAAGTAGTGAGTTAAAAATAAAAACTACCAGTACAGAACAAACTAATAAAAGTGAATCAACAACAAACCTAGAAGAAACTGAAGCAGAAGTTCAGAAAAATTCTGATACAACAGAAGTAAATTTTCATACCAACATCGAAACAAAAACAGTAAGTGAAGAGATTAAACCAAAAACTACCAGCACGGAACAAGCGAGTACAAGTGAAATGAAATCACAGTTTGAGGAATCAGAAACTACAAATAGTGGGACCACTACTCAAATTACAATCAGTAACGAAGAACCGAGCACAGAAATGAAAGAAAATATAGAATCTACTAATACAGAACAAACTACTAAAAGTGAGTACGTAACTACACTTAAAGAAACTAAATCAAGTCCTACTAAATCAACAGAAATTACAAAAGAAACTCTCAATAGTCAAACAATGCAAAGGGATTTTGAAAGTGAGATTACTTCAACACCAGAAAAATTCTTAACCACAGCAATCACTAGTACAATAAATGTAGAAACTGAAATATCTAAGGGAGAAACAGATACCTCAATATTTGTTACCACATATACACAAGAAAATGGAAGCACACAATCAACGATTCATACAAAAAAAGAGGAACAAACCAATTCTATCCAAACATCACCACAAAACGGAACCGATTTCACCGCAGAATTTGCAACTAACTCAACCCAAATAAGTACAGAAACAGACATAATTTCAACTGCAGCTATAGTAAATAAATTTGATAATGAATCTAGTAAGGAATTTACAACAGAAGCTAGGGGAACCGAAACTGAAGAAGAACGCACACTAAATTCTACTATTATTCAAGAATTATCTACTGGACTATTTGAAATCAACTCAACCTACAGTAATCTTATTAATGAAGAAAATAATACAACAACGGAAATTTCAATTCAAACTGAACAAAACATCGCTTTAGTTAATCAATCTACTGTATCCGAAATGAAAGAAAATGGCACGATCACCATAATTGAAACAGAAGAAACCACAACCACCCAATCGACTAAACAAATCAATTACGAAAGTGAAGAAACGAGCAAAATGGAAATAAATACGTCGGAATTAGAAATCACAGTATCACAAAAAGAACTATATTCAACTGAAATTGAATCAACTGCAACGGAATATGAACTAGCAACAATTTTTTTGAATGAAACCAATACCATATCAAAGATTTATTCAGAAACAACATCTGAAAATCAATCAGAAACCAACTCAATTTCTTATGAAACATTTAAAGAAACCGTACGTAGTTCAATAAAAACTAAAGAAGAAGCTTCTTCTATCACAATACCAATAGAAATTGAAACTCAATCATCCATAACGGATCTTCATTCAACAAGTACAGAAAAAACGACAAAATTTTCAACCAAATCTTCGTCTACTGACAACACACTCGAAACTGAAAAATCAATTACAACCATAGAAACAACGAAATATACTCCTATTAAGTTTAACAACATAGAAGATCATTCAACTCAAATAGAATCGAAGCAAGGAATAATAAATCAAGCGTTAACAACAATTCATGGATTTAAAACAACAACTGAAAAAACGGACCGACCAATTACATCTGAAGAATCATCCACAGGCGATGATAATATTAAGGAGCAAACGGAAGAAACTAGCGAAACGACAAGTGAAGTAAGTACCCAAAATTCACATTCCGAAGATACTACAGCAAATGTTTCCATAGCAAATCAAGAACCAAGAGTGTCAGACGAAGTGGTTCGTTGGACAATACATTCTGCAAGACCAAAAACGACTACTGCTAAAATTGAAGAAAGTGAATTCGACCAGTTCAACGACGTAACAGAAACTAGCTTAAATGATACAAGTAGTAAAAGTGAAGAAAAAATCTTTATTACAACGATTTCTGAAATAGAGTTAAATACCGCTGTTCAAACAGATGAAAGTATAATTAATCAATTTAGAAATGTAACAGAAATTGAAACACCATTTGAGGTAACTCAAACACATGAAACAAGAAGTTCTACTAACAAAGTACATTTAAAAACTACAATCTCAACTTCTTCTACCAAACAAACTAATGACTTAACTAATTCATCGGAAGAATTGAATTCGATAATTTCCACAAAAGAATTATCTAGCTCCACAAATACAGAAGTAACATACAATTTGAATGATATAACAACATCCAACATTGCCAAAGAAGTAGTTCAAGAGACTAGTGAAAGTATAATTACGACAAATACCGAATATGAAATAACAGAAATTCCTACAAATACAACTTCTAAATCAAACATACAATTTTCTTCAATAACAGAAAATAATAATAACAGTAATCCAAACACAACTACAACTCCTATTCCAAGTTCTCTCATAACTTCAATCAGATATACATTGAAGAATATGAATCTGGAAGATGAAGAGAACACCTTTACTATCCAACCAACGCAATCAACAGAATATACAGAAATCCCCAATGAAGTAGAAGAAGAAACAGTAATTGACTTATTCAATACCATGAATCAATCAGAGGTAGAAACTCATGAATTATCTTCCGAAACTACTGCACAAAGTTCCGAATCGCCTACCGAAATCGAAGAAGATACTCAAATTAGCATGTTTACACAATCAGAAATTCCTACGTCTATTATTGAAACATCATCAACGCAAACATCAACTGAAGAAACTCTAACGGAAGAACAAGTAACTTCCGAACAAACTACTGAACGAGCAGGAACCGAAATTGAAGATATGGAACAAACATTGGTGGGTATAGAAAGAACGAACGAATTTTCCGAATCAACAGTTATGGATGAAATAACTACCAGCACTTCTTCTGCTACAGTTGAGCATTTTATAGAAGAAGCAGAATATGGCACATACCAACTGCCGCATATATCTGGAACAACAGTATGCGATTCTTGCGAATCACAAATTAAAAATATATCCACCACCGTTTTTGGTAAATCGAGCCATTTTGAAAGTACAAGTGAAAGAGTTGATGATGAAAGTAAACAAAAAGAAACAGAAATTATAAAGTCTTCTACAGAAGTTACAACTATGAAAGAAAATACAAATGAAACAGTTCAACCTTCTGCTTCAACAAAACCATTTTCTGTTAAGAATTATACAGAACAATTGGAAAATGGATCATTCAATATTCCACGTTCATCAACTACTGTAGTATGCGATTCTTGCGAAGAGGAAACGCTTCAAATTAAAAATATATCTTCCACCAATGTTGTGGAGTCTACGTATTTTGAAAGTACAAGTGAAACATTAAATGATAAAAGCAAACAGAAGGAATCAGAAATTATAAAATCGTCTACAGAAGCAGCAACTGTAACAGAAATTATAAATGAAACAGTTCCATCTTCTGCAAGTAAACTTGAGACTCAAGCTTCGACAAAACAATCTTCTGTGGAGAATTATACAGAACAATTAGAATACGGAACATTCAATCTTCCAAGAGAATCTAAAAGTACAAAATGCGATTCTTGCGAAGAAGAAACATTTTTAACCAACAACAAATCTACCACCAATATACAAAACGTGATAACTACTGAGAATAGTGTTACCGAATTCGCTCAGTTCGAAAGCACATTAGAAACAAATACAACAGAAATTATGACGACTTCAGCAATTATCGAAAAAAGTAAATCTTCTACTACACAAAAAATAACAACAGAAAGTATAACCTTTGAAAATGAAATTTCTATTGGCTCAGCCTTAACAAATTCCCAAAATCCTAAAATGTCAACGCTCAATGTCAGTTCAACATCCACCACTGTCATGAGTACGATTTCGAATTCAAATGAGACTGCTTCCAGTCCAGAATGTATGGATAATATTTTATCAACCCTCACAGAACCATCGCCAACTAAACACCACAATCATGAATCAACGAAATCTAAAATAATCGTCCACAAACCTACAACTGAAAAGCAACAACCCAAAACATTGGTAATAATCGTGAACAATTCAGGAAGTAAACTTAAAAAACTCAACGAGTCGACTCTGGAGAAATTGGTGAACAAAACCCTGCAGGAAGTGAATTTGGAATACATCGATGTAAGCAACATCACAGAAAATGAAGTTACCGAAACAACTACGGTGAGAAAAGATATTTTAATTGGAAGCAATTGCACACAAAACGAATTCGACGCCAATTCTCAATGCGTTTGCGACGTCGACGCTTACTCGAAAGTATTGGAAAACAAATTGAATAGTTCGATGCAAAATCCGGTAAATTGCACCAAACTGATTAGCTTCAAGGAAGGATTTTCCATTACCAATGACACCCAACCATTGAACAGGAGAAAACGCAGTCATTTATACCTGAAGAGGTTCGACAAATTCACTTACATCGAAAACGATTCTTTGGAAGATGTAATCGATGGTAACTACAGAATTATAAATTCAGGTTTGTACCTAAGGAAAATATTCCTCCAGCGAGATTTAAAATAATTTTGTGGATTTTCTGTAGATTCGAGCGTACTGGCGTATCCAGGAAGAAAAGCGATAATTTATTGCAAAAACGAGGCTGATAAATTACTGGATAATAGCAGTACTTCTTTCCATTGGGAATTTAAACGAGATCCACAACAAATTGGTAAGCAATCCTTCCATATAAACGATTTTTTTACCTTAATTACATCTTCAAGCTGAAGTTCTCCAGTACCACGAAAATCCCTTGGTAATTTCTTCGGTGGACACGAAATCCACGGGAAATTACACCTGCATGAAAATCGACAAAAACGGTCGAGGAGAAAACCGCAGCCACGAATTGGAATTGATGAGTTTTCCCGTTTACAAAATCAAATTGAACATTTATTACGCGATCAACGGCAGTTGCTCGTTGAGCGACGGCGATATTTTGTACGCGTACTTACCCGATGCCCTCGGACGCGTACTGTGCGGACAAACAGCCAAATTGTGCAAAACCGACATGGACAGGCCGCTGTGCTTCATGAAGGTACATTTTACCTTTACATTCTCTTACAGATGATGGTGGATTTATTTTTAGGATGAAAACACTTATTATAACGTCACCGTATCGGCAGCGATGAATGATATTTATAATATCTACCCGTCGATTGACGATATCCAATGCGATATTAATTGCAAATTGGAAGCCTACTATAATTTGGTTAGGATAGTTTATAAGAACGCACAAATAGCCAAAAGGATTCCAGGTTGCACAAATTTGCATTACTCTAATACTAATTACTTTAATTCTCTATCACCATTTCTAGTGATATCAAATCTCCAAAACCATTTAGAATTCCTATCAAATGAGACGCTACCTATCGATGACATTTCTAAACCTCCCAAAATTATCACGACCTGTCGAGAAGGCTATGGAATTGAAAAGTTGAAACAGAAATTTTGCGGTAAGTTCACAAGTTTCAACTACTGTACGATATTTATGCGATTTATAATCTTATTGTTAGTGTTATGTCCCAAACATACGTACAGTACCGAAAATGAAGTATATTGTACGGTATGCCCTGCTGGGCAATACCAACCCCATGCCGGCTCGAGCTCTTGTATACCCTGCACAACGCCCGTTGAAGATGCTATGTGCCTTCGAATGTTGGTTAGTAGATTATATTTAAAGTACTCACCTTTCTAGAACGGTATTTATTAAAGACAGGAGGATCCATTTTACACAAAAATGCAACAAATGCAGGTACTTATTTGGTTTCAAAAGTCGTAGTAAACTGCACGTGATGCGCGTGTCAATTTGCAATATCAAAAACTGTCAAAAATGTCAATCTAAAATTTTATGTGAAATCTTTTAAAAATAATCAAATTTGCTATGATTGAATTAATTTTATTTGAGTTGAACAAAGAAATATTAAAAACCAGTGGGTATAGTGAGAAAGTTACAATTTGCACTTATTTGTATCTAAACAGCGCATATCCGATTCTACTTTTAATGACGTCAGCAATTATGTTAATGACAGTTTTGACAACTATAATACAGAATTCAAAAATTAAATCACTAATTATAAAATGTTTTTAGTACTCGAACACGAAGCAATTTAAGATATACGTGGGCGTCGGTTTCGGTTTGATTGTCGTGATAATCGCTCTGATATTGTTGTGGAGAGCCGGAAAATCCGATTCGAATGAGACTAAATCAAGTGACAGCATGAATAGGCGATATCATCGAAGGCGAAGCCGAAGGAAAAGCGACGTGGAAAACCAATCGGCAGTGCCTTTGTTGGCGAATAAAAGGAGAAAACCCGCACCAAACGTCCCACCTCCTGATTTTTAGTGTAATTTATTAATTTAAGGACTATGTACATTTGATTTTTATAGATAAATATACAAACTACTTTATTTAATTCTAATTTAATGTTTCATTTTTGTTACTTTACATCAGATATTGAGATATTAAGCATTTTCATTCATCCGTACATTTACCAACGTACAATACTACAAAATGTTAAATTACACCTAAAATCGTACAACAGTAATGTCAAAATACTTAAAATAAATTAATGTTAGATTACTGTCAACAAATCCAGTTAAAAAAGTATTAAATTAAATCAGCTACATTCATAGGCATCTCATCGATCTGCGTGGAATAATATTGTTCGATATCTCTCAGAATCCTAATGTCGTCGGATTTAACGAAATTGATAGCGACACCCTTCCTGCCGAACCGACCGGATCGACCGATTCGATGAATATACAATTCACGATTGTTGGGCAAATCGTAATTGATAACCAACGATACTTGTTGCACGTCGATACCTCTGGCCCAAACGTCGGTAGTGATTAAAACTCTGCTTTGGCCCGACCGGAATTCCTTCATAATGTTGTCGCGCTCTTTCTGAGGCATGTCTCCGTGCATTGAGCTCACGGTGAAGTTGTTTTCTCGCATCTTTTCGGTCAACCAATCGACCTTTCTTTTGGTGTTGCAGAAAATTACGGCTTGCGTGATGGTTAAGGTGTCGTACAGGTCACATAGAGTGTCGAATTTCCATTCTTCCCTCTCCACGGCGACGAAAAACTGTTTGATTCCCTCCAGCGTCAGTTCATCACTGAGAAATTAGAAGTTGTTAGTGTTAATCGGGGATAATCGAAGGTGAAATCTTACCGTTTGACTAAAATCCTGATGGGATCGGTCATAAATTTGGATGTTATTTCCAGGATTTCGTGGGGTAATGTAGCAGATATTAACACCACTTGAGTGGATGGGGGAAGAAATCTGTACACATCGTAGATTTGTTCTTTGAAGCCTTTGTTTAGCATTTCGTCGGCTTCATCTAATACTAGCATTTTCACGGATCTAGTTCTCAAAGCTCTTCTACGAATCATATCTACAAACAACAAACATTAAAATATCCACAGAATTACTACCGTAATTATTATTACCGTAAACCCTTCCAGGTGTACCACTAACAACGTGTTGTCCGTAATCTAACTTCCTGATGTCTTCTCCAAGATTTGTACCCCCGATACAAGCGTGACATTGAACATTCATGAAATCACCTAGAGCTAATATAACTTTCTGAATTTGTACAGCCAATTCTCTCGTCGGGGATAAACACAGCACTTGTGTTTCTCTCATCGTTAAATCCAGAGCTTGAAGAATAGCTATGGAAAATGTAGCGGTTTTACCGGTACCCGACTGTGCTTGGGCTATAACATCTCGGCCTTTCATCACGGGAATAATAGCTCTTTGCTGAATAGCCGAAGGCTTCTCGAAACCTACAAACCGAAACAGCCAAGTGAAAGTATGAACTCGACCTAATTCTCAACAACCTACCATATGCGAAGATGCCGCGAAGCAGTTCCTCCTTCAGCTTCATATCTTTGAACTTTTCGATTACATCTAAGTTCTCGCTGGTCTCGAATTCTACATTCGAGAGGTCCTCGAACACCGAAGCGCCCCTTTTCTGAGCTTCAGCCATTTTCACAGTGTTTAGTATCTACTGCTTGCAGAATATGATAATCACAATTTTAACTTCACTAAAATTGTGGAATAACGATTCAATGATCAATCAGAGAAAAATGCGAAATTGTAAAAACCGACACCTTCCAAGCAAACAACACGCCGAAAAATCCAATGTCAAATGTCAATAGTATTATATGTCATGTCAACGTCAATTTTAATTACTAAAAAAGAAGAAGATATAAGTTTTGGTTGAATAAATGAGAATTTCATCACTTACAATTAGTTAAACAGGCTTATTTTAAGTAGTAATGAAGTATTTAATGATGTAATAATTTATTTAAGCAGGTAATCGACAAAGGCATATGAAAAAATAATAAGTAATGCCAACATAAAAACCATTTATGTTGGACATACTGATTAGCAGTGTTACCAGTAAATCTTTATTGTTACCAGTTTTTAGTTATTTTTAATTTTAACGAAATAAATGTCTATAATATCGGCGAAAATAAAAAATTTATATTAAAACCAGTAGGTGTAGTTTATTTCATCATTACGATTTAAAAGCAGCTCAGCCATGAGTGATTTAAAAATATTAGTAAGTACATTAATTTCAAAAAGTATTCTTGTGGTGATCGGCACGCTTCTAACCAAAAACATTCCTTTGCGCTTTTCAGAACGCCAGTACAGATTTAGAGCAAAGCGAAAGCAGCGATACGGAATGCGACCTCCAATTTAAGCCCATCATAAGCCTACCCGAAATACAAGTTTCCACAAACGAAGAAAACGAAACCGAGCTGTTGAAAATCCGAGCTAAACTCTACCGATACGATACGACCGGCGAGGAACCCGAATGGAAGGTAAAATTCCGCGAAATATCCGCTCGCAGGAAGCTTTAACGTGTTGTAATATCGCAGGAACGTGGAACTGGAGAACTCAAGCTTCTGAGACACAAAGAGACGAATTCCGTTCGAATTGTCATGAGACGCGATAAAACGCTGAAAGTATGCGCTAATCATTTCATAACCCCTTGGATGGATCTGAAGCCGAGCATAGGAAGCAACAAGGCTTTCGTGTACACAGTATTGGTCGATTTCGCTGACGAGGAGGCAAAATCCGAAACTTTAGCTATTAAATTTGGAACCACAGATAGTAAGTTGGTGGACTGTTTCTCTAAGGAGATCGGCCACTTCCTCGTTCATATTTCTCTTCGCCCTTTGGAGATTGGTGAATCCAATTAATTTTTTTTAGATGCGAATTTATTCAAACGAACTTTTGACGAAGCAAAGGAGATACTACTGACGGAGTGCGAGTTGTATAAAGAGGACAAGGAGAATTTGAAGGACAATTCGTTGGAGAAAAAGTCTGACGATCGCATAAAATCCGATCCGGATGAGAAAGAGTGCGAGGAACTGTCTAAAAAAATTCGAGACTTAGATGTGACCAATAATGAAAGTTCGTAGATGAAAAAATGTAAATGCATGTGTCTTCATTGTCAGTTTGCGTAATTCCAAAAGATAATTTTACCTTTAGTATTTGCATATTACTCACAACTTTAACTATAATTTTCTACTTTATTTCTTCATTATCTTTTTTTTTGTAAGAGCTCGATTGCATTTTATCATTGTAAAATAAGGTAAGATTTACCTTTGGATAAACCAATGAAGACTGCTTGTGTGTTATAATTCGATGTATGTGGATATGTATGTTTAAACATCACTTTTATATTTAATTTTCTTTAAGTTAGTGAGCAAGGTATAATGGAGTTTGGAGGTGAATGTTGGTATGCATTTCTCGGTAAGCATTCCCAGAAAGATTATATTTTTGTAATTTTGCATGTTGATAAAAGTTATTTGCATATTGTAAAAAATAAATTACATTATTTCAATTGATCGAGTCTTTGGCAATTAACCCAAATACAATCTAAAATAAGTTTTACTTCAAATTAAACTATCAATATGAAAATATTATTTTTAATAATAGTAACCTTTATGGCACATAACTACATCAAGTATCACTTTATGTACAGATACTTCAATAGAATATTTGAATACATTCTCTTATGTTACATTATTTGTAATACATTTGTTTACAAAATGTTTATCATATATTAACCTATTTTAAATACAAAATTTTAAATAAATTCTAACCGTATTTAAAAATCGAACAAAAAAAAACAATTTCTTCCTCGTTGGGTGTACGAATCAAAACAAATATGCAAAACAAAGAAGGTTATGCCCTTCTTAATCCTCAAATCTCTTAAGCTATTCAGTAACTAACAAATTTTGGCTGGATAGCTCCAACAACGTGTCGTAAATAACTTCCTTTTTGGAATTCTCGATGTCTTCGGGGGTCGCATGAGCAAGAAGATAATGGTTATCGAAAAGATATTTCCTGTGAAACTGCTCGTCGCAGACTTGACACCGATAACGAGGACTGCCGTGCTGGTGCATGTGCTGATCGAGTTCCTCCTTTTTGGGAAACCTCTTCCAGCACACGTTACATCTGAAATTGACAAGTGACAGTTATAGTTTACAAAATGGCAGTTTAAGTTACCTGTAGAAGAACTGATCGGACTCCAAATGCGACTTTTCGTGTCTCTTGAGACTCGGCCATCTTTTGTAGGTCAAATCGCAGTACTCGCAAGCGAATCGCTTCACCACCAAATGGGTTTGCAGGTGGACTTTCAATTTCTGAATGCCGTTGTAATATTTACCGCAAATCTTACATGGCAACGGATCGTCTAAAAAAAATTCGATATAAAACATCAAGAGTGCCGTGAATTATTTTAGTTTACCCGTGTTTTTAAATCGAAGAAACTTGCCCGGTATCCTGCACTTGACGTTGTTCTTTTTTTCGTTCACGTGCTTCTTCACGTGATTCCTGAGGTAATCCGCCCTGGCGAAAACTTGTTCGCAAAAGTCGCATTTGAAACGCAAACTGGTCGGCGCATGTTTCAATCTAATAAAATAAATGCAAATAGATTTAACATTTACATGTCAAATTTGACACCTATCAGTTGTCAATTTGATAAAATTTGCAACAAAATGGCGGCTTTAAGTTTACAATAACTTACTTGTAATGTGCTTTTAGGGAGCTATCGTTGCGAAATACTTTCGGGCACTTATCACACATGATTCGGAGTTCACCGTGTACTGACATGTGCCGTTGGAGTAGCTGCTTACTAAGGAAACCGTCTCCGCATAATTCGCAAATGAACAGACTTTGTTCATCGGCTAGCTGTTGATATATGCCCAAGTCACCATCGTACTCCATAAAGCTTCTAAAAATAAATGAATTCTATTTCAAAATATTTACACTTTAGAATACGGTTAGAATACATACGTTTGGTCATTTTCCGATTTAATTTGGATGAAATTATCGTCGAGCAGTTCATCGCCGGTAGCCACTATAGTTACGTTGGGGGCTATAGGTTCTTGGGGATTCGTGGAAATGGTTTGTAAATTTTGAATTAAAAGTGGATCCTGAACCGAACCGACGGGGATTAATTGAATTTCCACTTCTTCGAAATTTTGTTCTTGATTTGTGTTTGGTGCGTTCTCATTATTCTGTTCTCGTTCTTCCTGTTTGTCAGTATCATCTTCTGTATTGAATTTTATATAAGAGTGATCGTGGTCTACAATCTCGCCTAAAATGTTATTAATTCGTTTTATTTTGAAGGTACTTGAGTGATATATGTGTTACCAATTTGTATGATCTTATGGTTTTCAACCGACCAGTTTTCGTAATTTTCCTCGATTTCCAGACATTTCTCCAAGAATCCCATGAAATTTTTTAACGTATTCACACAAGTGCCGCAAATTCTGTCTTCCTTGGATAACGTCTTTTCCTGCAACAATAAAATTCGTATTTTTCATACAGTACAGAAACAAACGAATACTTCCTACCATGGAAGGAACAAACTCCAACAGAACATCTCTTATGGTTTTTTCGGTGGAGCATATTTCGAAAACCTGCGCCGAAGAGTTCAAGTCTGCGATGCATAGACAAGTTCTGCAGGTAAACCTTTCCATAGCCGAAATTCGAAGTCTATGGCTCGGCATCACAAAACTTAAAACTCAAAATTCACTTTTGCTGTATTGTGTCTACAGTGGAACATCAAAAATTCACGATACACCAGTTTCTACACCACAGAAATCTTGACGTCTTCCATTTTAACAAAATGTCCAACATCACTGTGTCACAGAACACAGAATAACGCTTCTCGCAGAAGCGGAAATAATAGCACGGATCATCTTCTTTTCATTTATATGGCCCCTTGTTCTGAGACATACAGCAACATTCCGTCTCTTGTAGTTTTCTGTCAATAGTGACTTTACTACTGGGTTAGCCGACCAGCCGAATCTCAGTTGAATTATGACTTATGACAGAAATAATAAAGTAAACTTGAGAGAAGAAGACTTTGACGTTTTAACCATAACATAACAAGTAGCCGAATTTGCCAATAATTTTACTTTTTATATTATATAAATTACTGGCAATTAACAGTAATAATGTCTGGGAATCGAGTAGTGTCTTTTGTAAAAAATAATACTGCTGGAATAGTCAGTGTGTCAGTAATTCTGTTCTTTCATTGGGGTTGGTATAAAATGCAAAGTATGCCCGAATTTGGTTCTAATTCACCGCCGAAAGAGTTTCCTCTGTTTTCGGTAAGTTTATTACTAATTTTACCACTTAATTACTTATATAATTTGCTTATTTACAGGCTCTAAGGACGTATAAGAAAGCTTTCGAGACTCACGAAGAGTCCCCTGCACCGAATAAATGATTCAAACATACATACATACATAGATAGGGACGTTTGTATATATTTATTTGTTAGTAAATTTTATGAGTTATTTTGAACAAGTTGCTATTTATTTTATTCGCCTTAATCAAGGAAAGTTATACGATAAAACGAATTTTGATACAATCGTTTAAAGTATTGAAATTAAAATAAATTTGTTATACAAGCCAAATTTTACATTTTAGCGTTTAATGGGATTCTAAAAAAATAGCCTGTATCCAAGTTTTATTTGTACATTTAAGTTATTGTACTGTTTGTTCAGTGCGGCTTACAAAATGTGCCATTAACAAATCTATCGGTAGAAAAAATATGCTCTTTAAGTCATTTAAAGAATGAAAATTTCTGTCAAATGGTCGGCAAGTGGTGGTCTGCTTTCGATTTTTGTAAACTGTTGTTTGGCTTCAACGGGCTGACGGGCTTCGATCCCGTCAATTGGGGCAACGAAGTACCAAGAAGGGAATTCTAAAAAAAATAATTTCTTTTACAAAAAATTTTTTTTATAATTGTTTTATTTACCCTCGATTTGTCCCTTATATCTTTCGTTCTTTCACTGTTCGGCACGTCTCCTTCGTCGACTTTAAAATTGAAATTTTCAAAGTACTCGTGTGTGAGGAGTCTTTCACACGTCCATCTTTTAGCTGGATCTTTATCTAAGCATTTCTAAAACGTATTTTAGTTACAAACATTTCCTCGCAACTTGTACAAATTCTACTGTTGTGATTTCCACCGAGTACATTTATACAAATTAACAGAAACCCTGAACTTTAACATATGATTATCGATTGATTTTCGAACGGAATTTTCGTGTTACGACCCATTAGACTACATTACCTTGAGGAAATCTATGACAGTCGAATTACACATGGGCAATTTGACTTCGAGAGGGGACAGCTGCGTCGGCACGGGCAAAATGAACCCGTTGAAAAAATCGTTACTTTTAAAGGCCTGCATGTGCCTCGGCAACAAGTCTCCCACCGTCGATCTGATGAGGAAGAGCTGATCGACGTCGGACTTGCCCGGCCACAGGGCCTCCCCTTTAATCAGCTCCGCCAAGACGCATCCTGCAATCGATTTTTTCCCGTCAATTAACCATCGATAAATCGAATTTAAACGCTCTCACCGATGGCCCACACGTCGACGGGCGTACCGTATTGCGTGTCTCCCACCAGCAATTCAGGAGACCTGTACCATCGGGTTGCCACGTAATCGGTGTAATTTTCCCCCGGATCTGCGAAAACCGACAATTACAGACAGCTAAATTACCTAAAAACTTCAATTATCCACCCCCAATAAATGCGCTAAAATGGATTTAACGAAACCTAAAAATAGTAACAACATTTCTGAAATTTCACGACAAAAATAGGCATTCATATCGATCCCGATTTAACCTTCACATTGAAGTAAAAATATCGTGATTCATTAGCGTTTCCTAACTGAACAAAATAGATAAAATAAAGCATCTTACTCAACATCCTGGCGAATCCGAAATCGCACAATTTCACCACGCCGGTGCCCGTCAGCAGGATGTTCTCGGGCTTGATGTCCCTGTGGATGCAGCCGTGCTGGTGACAATAGGCGACGGCCCGGAGCGTCTGCCAGACGATCTGCTGGGTGAGCAGATCGGGACATCCGCGGGGATAGCGCTCCAGCTCGTTGAGGACGGTCCGTTCGCAGAACTCGAACACCAGGTGGAGGCGCCGCTTGCGCCGAAACACCTCGATGAGGTTCACCAGATTGGGGTGTTTCAGGTTCTGCGGCGGGAATATAATCGAAATAGGTCGCTTTTCGAAAGGTCAGAGATCGACTTCAGCTTATTCGATATAATTTAAAATCGCATGCGATTAGAATTTAGATTCTATAAGATAGCCTGGCGGCGGAAAAAGAAGAAGGAACGAACGTCTAATTCTACCGGAAAATTATTATCGAGCGCAACGTAATATTCCTTGTACACGAAATTTGAATTAATCTCGATTAGCGTTCTAAATAAAGATCGTCGGCGATTGGATCGAAATATAAATTTACCTTTAGAAGTCTAATTTCTCGCAGGGCTATTTTCCTAATTAGAGGATCCTCTTCGCTTTCGGCGAATTTTTTAATCGCCACGATCTCCCCGGTGTCTCTGTTTCTGCATTTGTACACGATGCCGTAGCTCCCTTCGCCCAATTTCCCGATTTTCTCGTAGCGCTCCATCGTCCTGGACGGGGTCCGGGTCCTGAACAAATCAACCATTTAATAATCGAGCATTCGAACTACTCAGGAAACACACTAATAACTGTCTGTCGCTGTTTTACTATGCATTTTTTATTTTACCCGACCAGCTATTTATTCCGTTTAGATTATAATTTCGATATGGACTGAAACGAACTTTGCATGTGGAAATAGAAATTTTTATCACGATATCGACGTTTTTCCACGAGTTCCCTTATTTTCTTGTATAATACTCCGGCATTTTTTAATACCTATAAAACATTTTAGTAATATCCTATGGTTATTTTTAAATAGGTATGTTAATTGTTGAATACATCAATTTTAAAAATTGTAGGTAATGTATCGTCATTATTTTAGCATTAGTACCCGCATTCTTACTATTTTTTTATGAATTAGTACCGTTAGCAAATCGAAAATATAATAACAGTAGATATGCTTAATGCGAAGGTACTTATAGGACTTTCATTTATTCAAAATATGCATGTCATTTTTAATATATTCTAGTTATAGTTATAAATAAAAATTCATTAAATATATACACAATAAGAAGAAGACAAAAGGCAGATGAAAATATTTTATATCCTCTTCGGTTTAGCTAGAAACGATTTCAACTGCGACTCAACTGAATAGTAATTATCGTAAATAAATTATTAAATAGCAAGCTGAAAGAAATTCCCAAGTTACTCCCCGTCTTCCCCCCATAACGAATCAGAGAAATAAAATTAATATAATTGGAGCATCGAATGTAATTTCTTACCTCTTAGGAAGGAGTTGCAATTGGTTTCCGAGTAACCACAGTTTGCTACCGTTAAACCATTTCTCCATCCGATCATACCACGAAGTTCGCGAATACTGAACCACACGGGCGGTTTTTTTCAGCGTTTGTTTACACCGGTCGTTGCCAAAGGAACGTTCCATATCGATAGGAAAACGCTTTTCACGATATATACCTAACGGATCGTAATTTTTCTGTCCCGACGGCGACGGTCCTATTGGCGTTCCCTTAGGGACTTTTCACAAAGGTTTTTGTGTATTTTTCACCGTGCAAACATAAAGGGAAAAGGGGGTCATTAGAGTGAACGGCGGGTCGAGTTTTCACGTGAACTCCGCTCGAAAAATGGTTAATTTTCCTTTAATCTACACTTATCTGAACGATTTTATTAGTTTACCTAAGTACGGAACTTACCAATAAATAATTTGTGTGTCAAGCACATACTAATTATGTAAAGAGCAAATAGATGGAAACACCTTAAATAAATGCATTTTTTTTACTGTTTTAATCGGTTTGTGTATAAACATTTGCAATAGTTTCTATGTACCTACGATTTGCTAATATAAATTTGTATTGCAGTTACGACTCTGCATTGTACAAACATATAAGACCTATAGGAAATAATGTAATATCAAAGATCGCATGCCATTTAGAAAATGTTAGAATACTTAAACACTCGAAAAACACGGCAGTCCGCGTGGAATTATTTGCGAATATTTTATAACACTTGAAAGGTTCGCTTTATCATAATATATCATGCTCGAAATTGGCGCATACTTGTGCTGCAAAACATTTTTAAATGCGATATTTCTCACCCGATAAAGAAGTATTCCGATAGAAACTTCACCAAAGTGTTCATGTCCCTATTAGATTTGCCGGATTCGTACATTTTAGGTCTGGTGTTCTTCGTGCAGCTCGAAATGTATCATCCACTCTGTTGTTATACAACTAAATGAAACATTTTTGTATAGATATATAACTTTCCAGTATTACAGTATTGATTCAACGAATAATTTAACGAGTTCCTCAAATTTAAACCGTTCCTTTTAAATTATTTATTCTATATTCTCCAATTCGGAAGATCCTACACTCTTATTAAGCTCGTAAAAAAAGCCCTCTTCCAATCGGTTCGTCTATACTATACGATATAATTACTATTAAACATAGATGAAGAATTTGCAATATATTTGACATATAAATCATTTAACAGTGTAATAAAAGGATTACCCAAAACAAATTTTCAATCATTTGAGAATCAAGCATTGTTAGTTATCAATTTGTAAATAGTTAGGTGTTTATTCAAAGACGTTCACTGTTCCATAAACCTAAATCATTGATTTTAGTATGAGAACGTCTGCAAAACGCCAATCTTACGATTGTAACACGAGATAAATTATATACCTATCGCACCTAATTCGAAATAAAAATGTATTTTAACAAACAACAGAGAAATTACGACGTATGCAGAAACATATTTAAATAGGATAGAAAATTTCTAGTCTGCATACTTATGCACAATTAAAGATAAAAGGAGATTTGTTTGTATAAGGAAAATAGGACCCAGAAAGTCCTATAAATTTAATTTATCGAGTATTACAGAATCATATCAAAATCGTTCTGAATTGGTCGACGAATTGGAAAAATACCTTAAGTTTTAACCATTTTAATGTTAAATTTCGATATTGATATGGATACTATTGAACAATCAGTAGATAAGTGATGAAATCCTACATACCTTTATTATGTATTAATCTGACAATGAAAAAATTTTAAATCCTTAAAAAAACGCTTATCTCATTTTAAATTATTGCTTTTTTATCGGGGTATTGATAAAAAAATGTTGCGTAAGTTTTACTCATCTGTGAAATACAAAAATAGCTAACAACCGCCAACATTTCGGGCCAATATTGCCAATCTCCCTTTGCAACAGATTTTTATCGTATATTTGTTTAATCGATTTTGATTATTTATTACAAATATCCTCAAAATTAGAGAGCTTTTGTAGAAAATTCTCGGAAGGACTAACACAGTTCTGACGCTTCTGATAAAAGTAGGTAGTAAACACCTAGTAGTTAGGAGTATATTTAATTGAATAAGAATTTGTTTTATTTAATAGCAAAATTAATCCATGAAAAAATCAACCGTAATACAGATATTTTACAATGAAAAAATAGACTCTCCAATCGATTATTCAAAAACGATAGTTTGATTCATCACTTTAAGCTCTCCATTGCCCCATAACATTATCAAACACTTCCGTTTTCGAAATCCCCTCGATAACAATCCATTAAAAAACCTATCGATTATTTAGTAGATTTTTCGACCCACATTTTCGTGGAGTGCAAATAAGGTAGGTATATACTCCTTATCTGACGCCGATGGAGATAGAGAAAAAGCGGTAACGACGCTTTAGTTCGCGCCCAGATACGCACACGCATCGAATCTTCTTCGCTCATTCACGAACGACAAGTGACCGATACCACACAGTGGTACTGGGTGCTCCCGAAACTGAACTATCCGCAATTTTCAACCAACAAAGTAAGCTCCAATAAAGTAACAATTTTTTTTAATAGAAATCGATACAGAAACTCCAAATCCACTCGAATAAAGACATAAAATTTTTTTGATTAGATAAAAAATAAGTCATCAATTTTGCAGATGAAATCGATACTCATTCTGCTCGGCATCGCGTGCATCTACATCTCCCCGTCGGCCTCCACGACCTGCGTAACATCCACCGAGGAGTGCCACTCCACCAACTACCAAACCTACGTGGAGTGCGTCCGCAAACGGCACAAACGCTCCACCGACTGCGACGGCGACTGCGAATCCAGCGACTGCAGCGACACGTGCAACCGCTGCGACTGCGACTCCTGCAACTACAGCAGCTGCCGCAGCTCGTGCAGCTCGTGCTGCGACTCGTGCTGCACCAACTACGTGCCCTGCCGCACGCACCACTGCTGCCACAAGACCTGCCACGCGCAGTGCTCCACCTCGTCGTGCCGCAGCAGCTGCCGCAGGAACTGCTTCGAAACGGTCAAGGAGAAGACGGCGGTCGTGGTTGAAAGCCCCAGCGCGAATATAACCAACATCAACAGGCACAACGTCACCACCATCATACACTTGAACAACGTCATCAACAACACGAACGTCATCGATGTGCCTATTGTTGTTAACAACACGAACAAACATAATATAACGTTGGAAGCGGGCGACGTGAGAACCAGCGAAGGGCTCACCGAGAGATGTTGCACCGTTATCAGTCCGAGGAAGTGCGTTTCGACGCCCGAGCCTCGGTGCTTCCATTACAGATCGAGGCAGTGCGGTCCCTTCTGCACCGCGAACATTGTCCACGAGGAGGACCAGCAGCTGTGCGAGTCGTACTATCCGGGAGCGCCGCCCAAGTGCACCAGGCAGGTCATTTACATACCGCAGCCGCAGCCCAAGTGCTCCTACCAATCCGTCTGGCCCTACGTCTCCTGCGGTATACAAAAGGAGCAAACCTGCCAAGGTTGCTACTCGCATTACGTCAATCCGGGGTCTACCAACTACTTGGGCTGCCCGTCGCAATGTTACGATGATGGATTCGGAATGGGTTCCATGTACAGACAAGGCCCTGTTTACAGGTATTATCTACACTACAAATGATATTAACTACATACTAACAAATCTGATTTACAGACCGTGGTACTCTCACACTCCTTGCTACGAGTGTCTCGGTTACCAGAACCCCTACGGGGCATCCTACCAGGGCTACCCGTTGTACCTGGGGGGCTACTTACCACAGCAGTACGCGGGTTACCAGCCGATCGAGCAGAACGGTAGCATTCCGGTTTTGAATATGGATGGAGGTTATCTGTCGCTGGGCCAGATGGGCGGCGTGGAAATCCAGCCCGGACAGGAAATAGAGACGTTCCAGCAGCCGAGCAGCTTCGACGGCAGGATGGCCAGAGAAGTGGAGATCGAGGTTAAGTACCAGCCCAGGTCCGACGCTCAGGCGGAGGTCAAGATTAAGAAGGAGGATTCTGCTGCTCCGGAGAGCGGTAAAAGTAGCAGCGGGGATGCGAAGGAGCGCGCGAACGATGTAAAGGGAAAGAAGGCTTGAATTTTTTGCTGATTAATGGCGATTTTTGATGGTAGGTTCAAAAATCGTTTCTTGTGTAATTTATGTTACATTTTGTTAAAGAACCATAGGTTTCTGTATTTTTTTTATATGTTATAATGTACCACAATTTGTTTTTTACAGTTCAATATGTGTATAGGTATTTGCTTAATTAAAGTTTCTAATACAATGGTATTTTTAATACAAACAAAAAATCAAAAATATATAGATATATTGTAAAACAGTATAAAATATATGTAGATAGGTAAATATAAATGCACAAACAATTTACGGTATTCTTCTATTTCGTCTTTATCGCTTTCACTTGCCTTTCGATATCCTTAATGTAATTCTCAGGCATATTCAAATCCCTAAAACAATTTTGCTGTAAAATCGTCTATCGCAAATTTTCCTCAAATTACCTCAGGCCTTGTATTTTCTGCACTAGATAATCATCGATAGTTTTATCCATAACCACTTCTTCCTGTCTCTGCGCCTTGCCATCCTCGTACTTCTCCATTCTGAAATGTATCCGCTCCTTTTCCTTCGCGTTGATTTGCTCGAGCAAAAATAATCTGTGCCTTTCCTTCTCCTCGCGCCGTTTCTCCTCTTTCGCCATGTGCTCGTCGTACAACTTTCGCTGGTGTTGAGCAACCTAAAAATTACTCCTTCGGAGAATTTAATTCAGAATTAAACCGGGTGTACAATACCTTCAAGGCGTCCTCTTTATCTCTCATTATAATCACGGTTTGCGCTTTTCTCGAAGCGTCGATTTGTTCCGCCCTCGATTTCTTCAATTCTTCCAGCTTCGCCCTCCTCTTTTCCGCCTCTTTCTTCTCCTTTTCGCGCCATTCTTTTTCTTTCTGAAATTACATAGTTATAACGCTTCTCTTGTACAAATATTAGTAAGTAACCTCTTCTATGGACCGGGCTAATCTAAATTGCTCCATCATATTCTTCAATTCGTCGCCTTTGCCGTGGCTTGCGAGGAACCTTTCTTTTTCTCTTTCGATCGCCGCTTTCTTCATGGCGGTTTCCCTGTTCCTGGCGTCTTCTTCCTCCTGCTTCTGTCGCTGGAATTCGTTCATCTGGAAACGGTGTTTGTCGATAAAACTGCAAGTTTTTTTGGTGAAATTTCTTTACTCTCATTTCCCTGAGTTTCTCCTCCTGCTCTCTGACCGTCCTGAAGTACTCCGCCTCTTCGGTGGTTTTCAAAAACTCGTCTCGCAACTTTCTTTTGTAGATGGCGCCATCGTGTGCCTTCTGTTCTTCCTCCTTTTGCTGCGCCACCAGTACTTTATTCAACAATCTGCACTCTTCTTCGGCCTTTTCGGCTTCGAACAGTTCCAGCATTTCCTTCTCGCGCACCTGTTGCTGGATCTCTTTGATGTACCTAAATAATTCCGTGCCGGTGAAAAAGATTTATTAAACGTTATTAGTACCTTTGACGCTTCCGTTCGGCTTCTTCCCTTCGCTTCTCTTCAGCTTCGACTTTTTCCAGTCTGGTTTGTTCCATTAGCAGGTCCAAACGTTTGTTCTCCTCCTTTAGTTCTTTTTCAAGTAACTGGAAAATTGGTTGGTGTAGTAGATGAGTGGAATTGAGGGTTTATAGGTACCTTCTTTTCAGTTAGTTGGGCATGGCGTATTGCCCGGCATTTGGTGGCTAAAATGATGCTATTGGCCTGCTTGACGCGCTCGTCCTGCTCCAATTGCAACGCCTGAGACCTGCTCAGTAAAATGCTGCCTTCCTCCAGCTGTAAAAATCAAATCTTTTTAGTCTGGTGGAACGTTTCGATTGGTTGCCCTCATTTACCGACTCTAATTTACCTCCGGGTTTCGATACTTGGATTTTCTGCGATCGTTTCAACTCCTCTTTCCTCATTTGGCTTTCGAAGTGCTTCTGGGACTTTTCCCTCTCCGCTTCGTCCAATCTGGCTTTCCTTTCTTCTGGAGTGACGATCTTAAAGGGAATGCGTGATTTTTTAGTTGTTGTAGGTGAGAGTGGTTTTGGTGCTTACTTTAGCTTGGTTTTTGAGTCGCGAGAACTCAGAATAACAGACTATGGCCGGTTCTATCGAGGGTTGTCTGCTGGGAATAATCTTCTGCTTTACGCCGTTTTTACCCACGGCCTGGTAGGTGTTTTTTCCTTCTAAAGCATGTTTCTTTTTGTAGTGAATAGGCCGGCCGTTTATGGAGTGCCCACAGTCCGATATACTAACGAGATATACAAATAAACGAGAATAATAAAAAGTGGAATATTCCGTTTTCCTACCTGTGATCGCCTCCCATCTTTTCCTGCGAGGAAAATTTGAAGAATCTAAATTTGTCCATTACTCAGCTAAGACTGTAAAAACTGCAAAAACAAGAAAATTCTCGAAATAAAAAACATTGACAAAGGGGAAATCGCATTTTACTGTCACGTTCGGGTTACCATAGGAAGACAAACACGTTTCCATGGAAACTGGAAAGCGCGGTACAGTGGAGGAGAGAATGTAACTCCCGAAATTCTGGAAAGGATAAAAGAAAAATAAATTTTGTTCGATTAAGGTGGATTCGATAGGAGGGTAGGGTAAGGTAGGAGGTAGTAGAGAGTAATGTAGGAGAGGGTAGGGAGATGTAGGGAAGGGGTAGACTCGGTAAACGAATAATTACAGTGTTGCCCCGTTTACAGCAATACCAATAAAACATATCCGTTTATAACTCAAGTTTTTATTTCATTTTTCTACAAATTACATAATAATAAAGCTCTCTAATACTACGAGTTTGCTATAAAACTCAAAAAATATCATAAAAACGCCGCTTTTCGACTACGCTAGAGTCATATAGTGATATCGCTCAGGGACCCTGGGGCTTGGTAACTCGATCCTGTTCGTCCTGCGCTCATCACTTATTGCTCGTCTGTTGTATTATCAATTTGTTCTTCGTTCGCGTTATCTTCGCCTGGGGCGCCGGAATCACCGATTGCAATTGCCTCGATACGATCTCGTGCCTCGCTATGCTGGTAATTCTCGTTATCAAACTGCTGCTTTTGCCCACTTGCTTGCTAGTACCGCCTACCGGTCTCGGTATCAGTTTATTACCTGTAAAATAAACCATGTATATACTTCAAAATTCGCTGTGGAATTAATTAAATTACCTATGACCCGGGGTATGACTTGATCGGCTCCTTCGGAATTTTCGTTGGCCAGATGCCTAAGGACCAAATGGATTTTATCTTCGTGCTGTTGCTGCATCTGCACCATTCTTCTTTCCCCGTCCAATCTGACTTGCTGGAGAGTGTGGCTGAGGTTCTGAAGGCGACCGGAGAGACTTTCGTTTTGATTTTCGAACTCTATCACTTGCAATTCCAGCTTCTTGCTGCTGCTTCTCAGATCCACCACCTTAAACGTACATTTACATTCAATTACGAGCGTACTTCAAGTTTAAATAAGTCCTTTTGACAAATGACATTGTCATGTGTCTATTTACATTAGGAATTTTAAGCTTGAGCTAAAACAAAATGGTCGCGTTTTAATGTAAATAGACACATGACAATGTCATTTGTCAAGCGGACAAATTTTAAACTCATTAATTATTATTATTATTATTATTATTGTATAACCTTTTGAAAATATTTATGCAGAAGGATCCTCATCTCGTTTTCGCTCAGCTTCATCAAGCGATCCATCAGCAATGTGTCTTCTTGTTCTTCGACTCGCTCGAGGGCCCTCGTGCCGACCGGAATGTGTCCGCACATAATTTCGTTTTTGTACTCGATGGCCAGGTCGATGGCTTCGATGGCCTCTTCGTACTGGAAGAGCTTGCGCTCCTCGAATTCGTTCATGATCTTCTTGTGCTGCGATTTGATGTCCATTTTCAGTTTCAGCTCGAGCAGGAAGTCCCTGGTTTTGCGCAAGTTCCGTATTTCGTGCCGGAGGCACTCGAGTTCTTCGCAGTCGATGGGTACTGGCGTGTCGTTGGGTGTTATTTTGTTGGAGCAAATGACCAGTTGCATGTTGTTTTGCAGATTGTCGGGGCTTTTGTTCTTTTCGCTACTCGAGCTGTCTTTGGTTCTGTTGGTTTCGTCTTTGATTTGGGATTCGTACGTTCGCTTGCGTTTTTCCTCTTTCTTCTTGTATTTCTTGAGCTTCTCGAGTTGCTTCTTCGACGCCTCCAAGCTGGTTTTCAAGTCGGTGAGTTTGTTGCTGTCTTCCAAAATGTGGTCCTTCAACGATTTGGAGTTGTTCAATTTGATTTCCAATTGTTCCAACTCGTCTTTGTATTGTTCCTCCAAGTAATGGTTTTTTTGGCTTTGGGCTAGCAGCATTTTCGATTCGGTGGTTTCGTACTCCTTTTTCAACCTGTTGTAGTTTTGTTCGATTTTAACCAGCGCGTTCGATTGGGTGTCTTTGTGTTGCAACAACTGTTGCATTAGGTTCTGTTTGATTCTGATCGTCTGTTCCAAATCGCCGATTTGTTTTTGGCATCCTTGGATCGTCGATTTGATTTGTTTAAGAACTTTTTTCTTGGCTTCGTAGGTGAGAATGCAATCGTTCTGATCGGCTTCTATCAAGCCCTCTTCGCCTTCGGGAACTTTCAGCGAGTTTAGAGAGAGCGTGTGAAGTTCTGTAATGGAATGTAGGCTGCCTCTGCGACATCTTGCACCTTAAAAAAAACAAATATTTTATACAATTAGTTACAAATTTATTCAAGCAATTTTACCTTTCGAACGATAAGTATGACTAGAACTATTAGGAGTATCTTTAGCATCGTCAGAACTGACATTATTCGTTATATTCGTTGCTAAAATAACATTATCTGTGACCGATTTGAAATTCTCCATGAGTCCATCTAATTTTTCTATCAATGTTTGAGATTCTTCTTCCTCTAAAACGCTTTCGCTATCGCTTACTACGCTCTCCGAGCTATCTTCGATTTCCTCTTCTATCCTCTCCAGGGACCTGTGAGGCTCCGAGTTTTCGCTCAAGCACTCCTCGCATTCTTGCTTCAACGTCAACCATTGGGATATTTGTTCTACTTCGTTCTGGTTCAATCCCCCGTTTAATACTAATTTTTGGAACAATTCTTCCGCGTTCGAGACTAGTTTGAACAGTTGATTGGCAGCGAACTGCAATCCAAACACGTCTAGACTGTCTTGAATTGTTTTGTAGGTGATGTACGAGTTTACGGTGACCACGTTCTTGATCAGCCTGCATCTTAAAGCCAACTGCAATGAATACAACGTTTCGGAATAGTCCTGCATCAGCGGGGATACGCAGCAAATAACTAGAGTTTTCGCTCGGCCTCCGAACGAATCCCGTAATAGTGTTGTTAATACGGACTGGTTAAATGGCACTTGTTCGTAGTTGTATTGATTGTTATAAGGCTCTGCTAATGTAAGTATACATTGTTGAAGAGCCCTAAGTCCGGGATCCATTGGTAACGTCTGCATGAAGCCATTAGTATCATACATTATAACCTTTTCGCTACCTACAAACAGATATACAATAAACAATTATAGCAAGTAATGCTGTAATTCAATATATACCTGCTAAATCAGCGAAACTTGCTGTAGATATTCTATGTTGTACAGTAGATTCGATTACCCATTGTTGTTCTAATGTTAGAGTGAACAAAGAATGGGCTCCTTTCGAAGTCATGTTGCTCAAACCCATTTGGATATGTCTGAAAGCGTCTAAAATTCCCATACATTCTACGCTGCTGCCTCCGATTAAGTCTTGAACGGTTTCACCGCAAATCTGCGACCAGGTTATATGGATCGAATAGCTTCTGTCTCTATACTGCGCTACTTTATTGAAGACTTCTCTGACGAATCTCGGTATTATTCCGTGTTCGCTCTCGCTGGCTGCGAAATGGAAACCAGGGCCGTAGAGCGTGTAACTTTTGCCGGAACCCGATTGTCCGATAGTCACTATTGAAACATCACAACCTTCCAGTAATAAATTAACCATGGGCGTTACAGCCGTTGAGAATACTGTGTTTTGACAACAATTTATTGGCAATGCGTAATTAACGGGATAAACTTGATTGTTCAGTTGAACTGTACGATTTAATGGATTTGTTTGAACACAAACCATTTCCCCGTTGTAATCAATGGGACAAACACGAACGGCGGTCTCTATTTGGACCTCCATCGTAGGTAACCAATTATTAAATATATTTCTTTAAAAATATCATTTATAGTGTTGAGTTTAAAACAAGTAACAATTACAACAAAAACAGTGCACAATTATTTTTTATCGACTTGTTTATTATTGTCAAAAATTGACGGATGACAATTGACAAACGACAATTGACTTGACACTTGCTGTTTTGTAGGCAATTTTCCTAAATATTTATAGAATTTTCGGCTTATTCAACATTTTATCTGCAAATATATACTAATCCAGAAAGTATATGCACATTTATGCTCATATTTAATTTCAACATCATGTCTTATGTTATCATACCGTCTCTTTTTGACTATTGTCTATCTCTTTTTAGAAGATTTTTCTAGATATCATTTGACTTTGACGTTTCTGACAGTTCGATCAAAATAAATTCGATCTCGGGAGTGTTTATTTTATAAAATAAATCCAAGAACATCTCAATTATATAACGTAATTTGTGAAACTTTTACAAGAAAAAATCGAAAATGACCGCTCCTGCTGCCGGTGGAGATGCAAGAGGAAGAACTCTCGCTTACAAAGACAAAAGCAAACCCGCCGATGTCCGAACAAGTAACATTAACGCCGCTAAGGGTAATATGCATTAAAGAATTATTAATATAACAAATACCGTAGTTTTTCTAACATTTTCAGTTCCGCTTAATACAATTTATTTTATATTTTTGCATGTAAACATTCTCATCTGTCTAATTACGACTTTGAAATTTCAGCTGTCTGCGATGCAATTCGTACTAGTTTGGGGCCAAGAGGAATGGATAAAATGGTAAGTTATTTGATATTATCATTAATTTAGTATATAAATTGTAACATTACGTTTTAGATACAAGCTGGTAACGGAGAAGTGACTATTACCAACGATGGGGCAACGATTTTAAAACAAATCAACGTTATCCACCCTGCAGCAAAAATGGTTTGTATTCATTCAAATTTCGCTTTTCGTTTTCTCATTTTCCATTCATTCAGTTGGTAGAACTGTCGAGAGCTCAAGATATCGAAGCTGGTGACGGTACAACCTCCGTTGTGGTCATTGCCGGAGCCCTTTTAGACGCTGCAGAAAAGTTGCTACAAAGGGGAATCCATCCAACGGCTATTTCGGAGTCTTTCCAGAGGGCTGCCCATTTGGCTGTCGAGGTAAATATTTCGAGTAATCGAGTCGCCCATGATGTAATTGTATTTATTTTGTAGATTCTACAAGAAATTTCTACACCGGTAGAAATCACTAACAGGGAGTTGTTAATCAAGAGTGCGTCCACCTCTTTGAATTCCAAAGTTGTATCTCAACAGTCGAGTCTCTTAGGGCCTTTGGCAGTTGATGCTGTTCTTAAAATTGTCGAACCAGGTAGACATCAATTTCAATCGATAATGAATCGATATTTACGATTATCGATGTTACAGGACAGGAACAAGCGTGTAACTTGGTAGACGTGAAAGTTATTAAGCAATTGGGCGGTACCGTGGAAGATACCGAGTTGATTGAGGGTATCGTTTTCTCTCAGAGATCCGCCAATGTATCCGGTCCGAAGAGAATCGAAAAAGCCAAGATTGGTTTTATACAATTCTGCATTTCTCCTCCGAAAACCGACATGGACCACAATGTTATCGTATCCGATTACGCTGCGATGGATCGAGTGTTGAAGGAGGAAAGAGCGTACATTTTGAACATTGTTAAACAGATTAAGAAAGCCGGCTGTAACGTACTTTTGGTAAGACTATTTACACTTAGAATCCTACGGATAATTAATTGTTTTATTAAATTACAGGTTCAGAAATCGATTCTCAGAGATGCCGTATCCGATTTGGCCCTTCACTTTTTGGATAAAATAAAGTGCATGGTTATTAAGGATGTCGAACGAGAAGACGTGGAGTTTGTGTGCAAATCGTTGGCTTGCAGACCAATCGCTTCTCTCGATCACTTCACCGCTGAAAATTTAGTAACTGCAGATTTAGTCGAAGAAGTTGGACTAGGCGGTAACCGAATGGTGAAAGTCACAGGTTCGTTTCGCGGTAAGCTAATTATCTTCGAGGGATAATTTGAAATGGATTGTAGGTATTCAAAATGCCGGACGTACGGTGACCCTACTAGTGAGAGGCTCGAATAAATTAGTATTAGAGGAGGCGGAAAGGTCTCTGCATGATGCTCTGTGCGTCATCCGTTGTCTCGTTCGTAAGAAGGCGCTCATCGCCGGCGGTGGAGCACCGGAAATCGAGGTGGCTCTTAAACTGGCTGCTATGGCTAATAAGTTGGAGGGCATCGATGCTATTTGCACCAGAGCTTATGCTACCGCTTTGGAAATTATACCGTTTACTTTGGCGGAGAATGCTGGATTGAATCCTATACAGGTAATAGAAAAATTATGCTTGTTGTGGAGAAACATCTTAATGTTTGCATTTTTAGACGGTTACTGAATTGAGGAATAGACATGCTAAAGGTGAAACTTCGGCTGGTATTAATGTTCGTAAGGGCACTATTACAGACATTTTGGAAGAAAATGTTGTACAACCGCTGTTAGTTAGCACATCTGCTTTGAGCTTCGCCACCGAAACCGTCAGGTCCATATTAAAAATTGATGACATTGTAAGTATATTCTAACATTTTCATTATATTGATAAGAAATTTCATAAGCATATTAAGGTGGTAACAATGATAGTCGACTGTTAATAGTCAAGAATATTTTATTTAACAAAAAAAGCTATTTATAATAAAAATTTCAAGCGCATAATCTTTCAGAATTCAGTTAGTAAAAAGTTAAACTTTCAAATTATTCTAATCGTACGATTGGGTTTAAGGTAATGGAAAGAGAAACGAAAAGAAATTTTTAATGCAGTTTTCTAAATAAAAAATAAAACAGTAAAAGCATGAAATTACTGGCAAGTATCGCCTTTTTTTCGAATAAATTATTACAACTACTTTTATTTTTTCAGGTGAACACAGTAACATAATTACTACGCGACGGTAGTATTTTGTTAAAGCGCTTTTTTTAATACTTTCCAGTTCATTTCTCATAACATGTAATTATTTAATAAAACTTAACACTAAATATTTACTCTATTTTTTTTATATTTTTTAAGATGCATCATTTTCTAAAATACCGTTTTGATTTAATGTAACGGCTGGTAATAAAAACAAAAAAAATTCGTAACTCATTCAGAATATTCTTATACTATTTAAGTAAACATTTGAGAATGTTAACAACTAAATAAAATTAACGCCTTTAATAATTTCAAAATCACTCTTTAGCTTTCAATTGGTTTAGAATTTGATCCGATACTACTTTAGTGGCTTTATCGGCATTTGGTATTAAAAACCTATCCATATCGGATATCTTCAAATTTTCCCCATCTGGCACGCCGTACTTAAATGTAATCAACTCCGGGTGTCGCTTCCTCGCCGTTATCTTAACAATGGCCGATAAGGGCCTTTTGACGATAATTTCCCCGGAACCTTTTATATCCGGAATCTCCCTAAGTACAATCAGCTCCGAGTTGGTAACCAGCAAGTGACTTTTATACATGAATCCGTTGAGTTTCACCTCTTGGCACGGGAAATGCTCGATTATTTCGGGTTTCTTTATGTACGATTGAATTTGGACTAGTTCCTGGTTGTCTTCCAGTTCGGTACGCTAAAATAATCGAAACGTTAAGTATCCATACGATTAATATAACCAACTGTTCTTACTTCATCGGTAACACCATCGTTATCATCGTCTATGCTGAACACCGGCGTAACATCGCGATACCTTTTTCCTATTTTATCGCTACTGGACACGTGTCTTTCTTGCGTAGGACTCGCGTTCGGGTTTACGATATAATCGATCAATCTCCCTTTGACCTCCGCCGACTTCGATTTCATGGCCGCCGATATTTTCCCGAATAAATCCTGCGATTGAGACGGCTTCTGGTTGGCTTGCGAGACATTCGAGACGTATTTCGGGGCGCACACGATGCAGCACTTCGGATTGTGGTCTTGCAAAAATTCGTCGATACTATCCGAAAAGTAATTGTGTACAGCCATGTAACCCCCGTCCAACAGAGACACGTATTGGGTGTGTTTCTGGAGAAACGACGCGACCACCATGTGAGTGTACTGGTCCTCTTCGTTCCGACCCGATCCGAGGAAACACAAATGCTCACCGCCTGCAAATAGAATGTGAGAGAAATTCGTGTGTGTAACTCTATATAACTTACCAGCGTTGGATTTGTGAGCTAAAGCTTGCTTTTGTGCACTCAGCAATCCTTGTACAGCCGTAGCGAAAGCGCTCGGTTCTTGTAACATCAAATTACAGTCTAAATGAAAGGCAGTGGGCAAATGGCCGGCGTTGTAATGCTCTATGGGCCTACAATCGACTAAGAAAAACCTTACGGCGTCTACGCTAGAGGTCTCGTGATTCGTATTTTCTACCAGTTCGTGAACAGTAACCGGCAGACAAAGGGCCTGCGAAACCAATGAGGAATCCCCCCTGCCGCAGTATATGTTCTGCATTAAATCGTTTTTGAATGATACGGGAGTTTTCAGTGCATAATATTGTGCGAGAGTGCAAAAATCAGACACGTCGTCGGCTTCTAAGCCACAAGGCATATTCATTAGACTAGTAACGATTTTCTCTCTACTCTCGTCCTTCATCGATATAATTTGGTCTCTAGCATTAACTACTACGATCAACGATAGGAAAAATATGAAGAACTGATCGGACTGCTGGAAGTAGTAATCCCACATGTTGATTACCACTTCCAGGTTGCATGTCGAGGCGAAGAGCGATTGAAACCACACGAGACAGTACTGATCAGGAGAGATGCGTTTCGTGTCTAAAAACGAACATAACTCGGGATCGTGGTAGAGTAAAAGAAGCCTGAGGATGTGAAAGGCGCTCCCGTCATTATGGCAACTCTGAGGCACGTATGTATCTCTTATTGCTTCGAATAGATTGTAAGTCGTCGATCGTGGCGCTTTCAAAGTCAAAATTGGTGCTAATAAGTCTAACCAGCCGTTGTTTCTGGTGTATGTGATGTTTCTACTTTTGCAGTAAAACGTTATTACGGATTCCAAGTCGGATATTACTGAAAGCTTGTCTTCTTCGTCGTTTCCTAATTTCGATACAAAATTTGTGCAGTCTTCTCTAAGTACAGTTTGATTTGGCAAATCGAAAACTTCGTTGAAATGATCGAGTTGATTACCTTTATCTTTGACATCTAAACATATCTGGAAAAAAGGTGTGTAAACAAACATTTACATTACGTTATCTTGAATAAATATTAAATTTTACCTGCCAAATATCACTTCTTAATTTTTCAGGGAGGGCTTTTCCCTTGCAAATGCAGTAAATATCCGTCGCGGAACATTCTTCTTGTAGCGCATTCTCTAGCTCAGTAACCCTTGAAATATGGAAAGAAAATTTATACTAGACATACAGAGGAGTGCCCTAATTAAATGTATAATGAATTACGCAATAGTAGGACACAAAATTATTAGGTGTAATTGAACCTACCATTGGCTATTTTCAATAGGACTGGCCATTTTGACATAATTATGTTTATCGTTAATTTTCAACAAATAATTATCCAAAAAACAACGTGTCAAATTTGACAAAAAACAGATGATGACAAATGTCAATATGTCAAAGTCAAAATAATCTTTTAATTCTTCTTTCATCTTAGAATAACAAAAGTGAAGTTATTTGGTTATTTTTGTTAAATTTTTGAAATTGCTCGTTTGACGACTTTTATAGATATTAAATAAACTTGATAATGTTATCAAATCTTGTTGATGCATACGAGAATTTAAATATAATATAAAATTTATGTAAAAATTACTATTCGAATTAGTAGGAATCTGCAATACCGATGGGCATGTGTCAAAGTCAAAACAATTAGTTCAGTTGACAAACGGCGTAGCAGGTCGATCGATCTTGTGCCAATTTTAACACCCTACTTTTCTTTATAAATAAAGTTTATCGAATATCTCGATTCACTTCACTCGAATGTGATAAAAAATTTCTGGATTTGAACAAAAAGAGTATTGTATTTGTGATATTTATCAATTTAATTGCAAATTATAGGTTTTCCTCGGTACTTTTCAATGAATATTTCAATTTTTTAATCGAAACTGGTTGAAATATTCTTTTGATTGTAACCGCGTGGAAACAATACAACATTTATTAACAGGATGAATCAAGTGAAATCTGATTTAAACGGGTTGGGGGAGGACCACGTAAATGATACAGAACCTAAATGCCCTTATTCCAAGACTGAATCTCTCTCGCAAAATGGCACTAACGAATTCAATAAGTTCCACATCCTGGACGAAACCGAAGGAAACGACGAATCCGATAATTCAGTCGATTACGATTCGGACGTACCAGATGACGAGATCGATCGTATGCTAGAGGAGGCCCTAGCGAGAAAGAAAAGAAAAGCCGATGAAGCCGGGTTGGATGATAACGAAGACGAGGCCCCTTACGAAGAAAAGAGTAAAGTACTATTGATAGAGAAAGGTAATATAAATCTTTCGATACACTCTTAACTCAACTGATAAATGTAAAGTAACTCATTCTGTTTGATTATAGGTCAAAATCACTTCGACGTGCTCCCCGAGGGCTGGATCCAAGTCACCCACAATAGCGGAATGCCTGTTTACTTGCACAAAGTCACTAGGGTATGCTCTCTTTCTAGGCCGTATTTTCTAGGTCCGGGCTCGGCCAGAAAACACCACATTCCCGTAAACGCCGTGCCGTGTCTGAACTATCGCAAAGCCTTAGAAGAAGAAAAAGACGTCGAGACAACGACCGAAGTCTGCGGCGACAATAACTTCCCCAACGCGAAAATCGAGACGGTTCAGGAGAACATCGAGATGCAGAACCTCTCGCCCGAGCAGGTCCGCGAGTACTGCGAGAAACTCTTCAAATTCCAAACCATGAAAGTGCTCCGATTCAAGTCGTGGTCGGAGAGGCGGAAGTTCACCAAGAAATTAAAGCACATGAAGCAACTGCAAAGGCCGACTCTGCCCGACGGAACGAAACTCATCACGTTTCCCATTAGAAACGAGAATCCGGAGGGCAACACGAACGTCTCGAAAAAGGAGTGGATAATGAACCCCACCGGGAAGTCATATGTTTGCATTTTACATGAATATGTTCAGCACGCTTTGAAGAAACAACCTACATATCAATTCACTGAATTAGAAAACGCTGCTACTCCTTACGCTGCTACGGTTATTATCAAAGATATGAGATACGGGGTGGGTTACGGCACCAGTAAAAAGCAAGCGAAATCCGAAGCTGCGAAAGCGACTTTAGAAATTCTAATACCTGAAATGAAGACTAAAATACCCGATGCTGAATCAGGTAATCCGATACGCTGGTCCTTACGACATTCTAATGTAATATTGTGTTAAATATAAGCATTTAAGAGCTTGCTCTGTTTTAAGGCGACTCCACTAAAAAAGACAAAGATCAAGACTTGTCGTTCTTCGATGAAATTCGAGTGGAAGATCCGAGAGTAGCGGAATTTTGTGCCAAAACCACCGAACCATCTCCCTACGATATATTACTCACCTGTCTTCAACGCAACTTCGGTTTAGACGACCTGCACATCAGCTATCAGGGTAACACCTCGAAATCACAAGGCAACGAATTTACAATGACCGTAGGTAAGGCATTTCTATCTACACTCTTTTTTTCCACATTCTCCATTAATATTTTATCGTTCAGGCAAACACACGGCTACTGTGGCTTGTAAAAACAAGCGGGACGGCAAGCAGCGCGCCTCGCAGGCCATCCTGCAAGCGCTGCATCCGAGCATCAATTCGTGGGGCTCGCTGCTTCGGCTGTACGGGAACCGGTCGGTGAAGAGCTTCAAGGAGAAGAAAATGGAGGAGCAGGAGATTACGTCGTTGCAAAGCAAAGCGGCTGTGAACCAACCGAATTACGCCATTCTGAATAAGCTTAAGATAGAATTGAGTAAGTTGAGGGAGAAACGGAAGGCTATTAAACCCATTGGGATATTGGATACCGAAGGTACTGGCGGTGTTACCGCCTTGTCGACGTCGAACTTGAAAAGTTTGGATTTGTGATGTCGAGACTCCATCGATTAAACACCGTTCGGTTGGTGGTAGTTGAAATGTATTTTAAATACAGTTTAGGTATAAATTTTATTAGTAATTGCTTGGGTTTAATTCAACTGTATTATCTTATTTTCGATTTAATTAGCTATCGGAACGTTTGTATTAAGAGTCATTTCACCATGAATTATGTTGGATTTTTTGTGTTGATCTAAATGGTGAGAAAACGTGATGAAATAACTCTTTGAATATCTGTAAATGTACTTTTTACATAGGTTAAACTTTCCTCTGCAGCTATTTAAAAAAAGAAATATGAATACTAGTCACAATCACAAATTGAACGTTCGATAATTTATAATTTTAAACGATTATTTAAAAACACGTTTTCCCTTTGAATAATGTAATCGTAATTCTAAAAACGTAAACTAATCTTAATTAAGTAGGTCAATTTTTAATATTTATACGATATTGTTTTTTTATTTTAATTGTAAGTAAATGCCAGAGTCGATTCTTTGGTAAAAAATTTCAAAATTACTCGCCTATAGCAACGTTCACGTTCATCAAATTCATCAATCATCAAATTGTAATTTATGTGAACCACAAGATATTATAGACTTCAAAAAATAAAAATTAATCTTTGAAAAATTGTTTTTTTTCAGCTGAATAACCGTAACGCGAAAGCCTACAAAACATTCCGATTATCTGTCACTGTCATTAATGTCATTCTAACTGAAATATTTGAGGTTATAAAGGTTTATTTGTATATTTATAGTTATTTCAAATAAAACAAGAGTTCAATTATCACAACATGACGATAGAAAATTGTACAGCCGCAAATACAGAATCTGTACAAATTCCAGCCGATGAAGAAAGAGATGACATGTTAAAGTATTTAGCGGATAAAAGTGAGATATGTTTCAAAAGCCAGCAAATTTGGGAGGCCGACTTGACCAATGAAGAAAAATATCAAATCGGCTTGGACCTGTTCGAAAGCAATAAATTGCAGTTTTTGATGAAGTTCGGTAAATACTTGAATACCCCTCAATTAATCTATTTCAAAAGGATAGTTGATGCAGAGCACAATGAAGAAATGGACATAATAATAGCCGATTTAACAAAAAAATCGTCCGAAACACAAAACACCACAGTTAAAAATCGAAGGTACCAAGCAATGCTCCAAATGGTGAATAAGGGTTTATATTTCTCTGAAATCGAAATGATGAAGAGGAACCCTTTACTATACCACCAGCTGATAGGACAGTATCTAACAGCAGACGATATAGAAGAAAGAGACAGATCTGCTAATTGCGAGTATGGTCTAGTTAAAATATTAATGGATGGCATAGAAAGAGACAACGCCGATGAATTGAAAACCCAGCATGAAAACATCGAAAGATTGCAAATGGAAGAAGAAAGCGATGATGATATTCCGAATAACCCCCCGCCATGTTCTTCCACTTCGCATTGGGGCGAAATAGGCGACAGTAGAATTCAACAGAAGGCGTTTTCTTCCAAAGGAAAGAAGAAAGCCACGAAAATAACACCGGAAGAACAGAAGTTACTTAAAGAAGAATTCATCACCACCATGTACGAATCTTTCTTAGATGGCAAAGATGAAGATTTCGAATACGAAAATGTAGACAACGATACTTCATACGATAACATAGAGGCAATGGAAAATGATGAAGAAGAGAAATATTTCAATTCCGAATCTGACGAAATAAAAGACGATGCAATTGATGATGCGAGTTCCGAGGATGAATTAGATATATTCATGAAAACTTTACGTTAATAAATTATGTTGTTGTTTCCTTTTTCGTTTTAATACACTCCACCAAAGCCAACTAACGCAAGAATAGTTAAATATCTGAGGATATCAAGTGTCAATGTCATAGCAGTAGTAAACTTGGTTTTTAAATTTATAATTTTTTTGGTCAAATTATCCAATACACCATACGCTAGTTTCTCAAATAGAAATAATTCTTTTATAATACAATTTGGGATCATAAAGCTGTATAAACGAAAATTAAGAAGATTCTGTAGAAAGTTTCATGAAATTTGAAATGTCACTTTTCAGAGGCTACCCGAAATACTCTGATAATTTATTGGAAACGTCACTTTGACATAATGACAGTTGACAGTTAATCAATCTTTTTTCAAAATAAATTTTTCACGTTTATGAATCAAAATAGCTTGAACACGAGCTTCTGTTCGAGAAAGGATTATGCAAATAGCAGAGCACTTTATTTCTCTGTTTACATCATTGTTAATTCAAAGTGAAAACAGGCATTTCGAGCGTACACAACTAATAAATTAATTAGCTAGCGACGCATTCAAAGGATGTGCATGTATCTGTTTTGGTAGGGGAACCGCTATCGCCCGATAATGCGAAATTAGAATCAGCCAAGAGGTTCGTTCCGGACTGGTTAATCGAAGCTTTGATTTTAATTAGTTAACATCTAGTCGGACTGCTAAGTGATTAACGCGTAGAAGTTGCCTTTCTAAAACCGAGCTCCTCACGTTTGCGGCTTCAAAGCTGCAATTTCGAACGTAATTTCCATTTAGTATGCAAATCACTGATTGAAAAGGTTTTTTTACGTTTCCTATAGGTGCTTTTTTTAACAATTAATCGCAATTCTATAATGGCGTTTTTCGCGTTAATTTTGAACCAGCCTGTATATAATTATTATTATTTCCAAAACAGCGTTTACTGTTTATGTTTCGAGTTATTCAACACTTGAGATTTATGGTTAATCGCTGGAAATAACTGAGTGAAATACAGCCATATATTAGAAAAGTTTAGTAGAGTGCTCGTATTCTTGCGTTAATTCGAGAAGTTCAACATCAACATAAGCCTAATGAAAACAGCTTAGAATGTGACGGCACAAACATAAAGCTCGATTCGTAAAAATAAAATTTATATATTTTTAATTAAGTTAATTCGCATTCTACACGGCCGATCGGCGATTCTCCTCGACGAATTAAAACGAATTTAAGCCCCCCTTTTAGTCGACACGGAATTAACAAAACCTGATGTTCCCGGTGCTCTCGAGCGAACCAGTTTATTTACCTCATTAGTAAGCAACCCGTAAATTTTCAATGAAACGAAATTCTCCACTATTGCCCTACATCCAACGTCTGCAGCATCTGGTCCCCAAAAAGAACAACCTCCGATTTTAATGCACAAGACGACGCCCTCGGAGCGCCCGAATCTTCCCCTTATTGTCGGAGGGATGTTACTTAAATTTCGAGTTTGTCGGCAATTTAATCGGGTATTGTTTCTATAATACATTTCCAGTTAGCGAACTTGTATTGTTTAATTTCCAACGAATAAGCTCTCGAATTAGGTGCTGTTGATTGTACAGGTTTTCAACAATACGCCTGGTTGTTTGGGAGTTTTGAAACTACAACTCTTAAAATCGATTGTGTGTATAGTTTATTGGAACAAGCTTAAAAAAGGGTAGGGAGCTTAGAAATTATAACAATTGGCTAAGTAAATAATAGAATACAATAAAATGAAACATTTCCAGCTATACAGAAACGAATAAACTATACAAAATTTAATAGTATTATATAGGGAAATAACATTTGTATACATTTCCTTTGATTAAATAATGTTAACGATACACCTAGCAGGTATGTATATACAGCATGCAAAATATTTATTTCATTCGGTCAGCAATGGAACAGAATCGCGAGCAGCGAGTTTTCGAGTTTAATTACTTTCGGAAAGCAATTTGTCGAATTACAAATGTTATTGGAAAATCAACGATCCGTCCGCTTTAGTGCAGATTGCAGAAATTTTTAACAACCTCGCCGTATATGTATGTTTATTATAACTACGTCGAGACTTTAATATATTCCTGTTTTTTTGACTCTTTGACTTTATTATTAAAACGCGTCTGCATTAACCACATGTCCTAAGGGGGAATGGTGGTTAATAGGTAGGTAGATACGAGTATATCCCCTTTGCGGGTTAATAAATTAAGAAACAGACGGGAAGTTTATCTTAATGCGATGCATTAAGATTCGATTTTTTAGTGAATATTAACAGGAGTTTACGGCGAATGGACTTTTATGCATATTCATGAATCCGTTAAACGCGATAAAAGGAACGAACTTTTCGCTTTTCACGAGGCGTTTAAACCCATTTTCCTGCTGGTATACACGACTCCGATATCATGTTTGTACTCAAAGTAATTTTATTCAACAAAATATATACGAAACCACCATAAATCTAACATATTAATTAGCCACCTCAGTTTCCGCTTCGTCCAACTGTTCGTTGAGCAGCGCCATAAATTTCACCTTCAGCGCTCTCTTGCGCCTGTTCTCCAACTTCCTGAAATCCAACAACACCGACCGGAAGAACAACCAATCGCTGTCGTCTTGATCGTACTCGTTCCTCTTCATCTTCTTGTACTCCTTCATGTCGAACCAGTCCAGCAGCGGCGCTTCGTTGTCGCTGCTCGGCCTCTTCTCCGGCCGGTTCGACGAATCCGGCCCGCTTTCCAATTTGATCGACCTCTCCTCCAACGATTCGAACTCGTTCTCGGACTCATCGCTGCTGTCGCGCTTCCGGCGCGATTCCTGCACGCTGTCCGTGGTGCTCTCCTCCTCGTCGTCGACCTTGCGCGGCGTAGCCGATCGTTTGTTACCGGAATTTTTAATGAAAGGCAGGAGGAACGAGAGATAGTTCGACAGGTAATAGGGTTTCTTGGATTTGCCTTCTATCGCCAATTTTATCGATCTACCGAACGCGCTGCGGATGTTCTTCCAACGACACCGGCAATTGTACTCTAAAAATACCGAGCATACCGAACGAATATTTGTTTAGTAGGAGTTTATTTACCTGTATCGTCGAGCTGGCCGGCGATGCTCTTCCACGCCGCGCCGGTGATGTCCAGCCGGGAATAATCTTCCAGCGAGTAATTCCACAAACACGGGTTCCGTTCGATGAGTTTCACGAACGCTATCGTCGAGGAGACGTCCTCCTGTAAGGTCGACATGGCGGATTTCGATTGCCGTGTCGTACGACTGTGTCGCAACGATCGATCGGCACTCGCTCGCTGCGTGTGATTCGTTCACCCGAAGGTCGCCTCGGCGATAGATGACGCTGTAGTGTCGCTGTAGAACACTACAGTCCGCGTCCGCCGCAATGGCTAATTATACAGGGCGGCTCAGAGCTCACGCCCCACCGGGAAAGGCCTTATGGAAGCGACAATGGAGATGCCAAAACTGCAGTCGAAAACGTCCCATATAAAACAAAAATGTTTGGGGTAGCAAAAAGCATTAGGCGTGGTGACCCGATTTTTTTTGCGCTTAAAAACTCCACTTTGATCTTTTTTATCACTTTTGGCGGTTTTCGCTTCTGCCTGGACGGACTCTCCCGCACGGTGTCCTGTTCATCCCTTTCGGCGACGGAAGGTCGGACACCGGATAAAACCGAAAAATCCCAATAAAAAAACTCACTGACCTATAAACGTCTCCGATCTCTAATCAATCGGAAATATTACATCCCGCATTGCACGAAACCTTCATTCACTCGTTTACCTCTTCGCGTTAAATTAATTTGTCAGTAGTGAATTAATATAGACGATTTTCCGCGCGTAGAGCGATAAAATCAATTCGAAAACACTCGCTCCGGGATTTACCAGACCGAAAGAAATTCTGATCTCTTTAATCGCCGGGGTTACATCTCGCATGTGCGAAATTGCGGTTCCAGATATTTATACCTTCCGTCCAATAACGCCGTCACACCGAGCCCAAAATCGCTTTACAATTCGATTATTCTCCATCAAGCCCGAAGAAGCGACGCGGCGCGCATTTTCCGATCCATTAACGTTTCTAATACAACATGCAATATAGGGAAAATCGTCACTGAAATTCATTTAGTTATAAAAATAAAACGCGAGATATTGAAATTCCAATTTCGCACAGTAACTTAGTGTAAGAGTTAAGTTCGGTGTGGGAGAAATTGATTATTCATAAGGCCATTCTTCTGGCAAATAATTCCCATCAACTCCGGTTTGATTCGAACCCTTTGGGCGAAGGTCGGGGTGGGCCCTCGGGGAACGCATGACGAGATCATTAACGCGAGCAAACCAATTTCAAATGGCTAAATAGGTTTTGTGCGGAGCGTATGGGAAAAACGTGATTAAGGGAGGTTTCGCATAGCGACGGATGCCGGATATTTGAGTTGACTGGTATATCGGTTTTCGCGGTTAATCCGGCATTGTTGCTTTCGAAAAAGGATAAACGGGAGCGTTATTAGGCGGTGGATGTATGAATTGATATTCCGAACCAATTAAAACCGATCATTTCAATCTGGAGCGTTAGTCAATATTTAGGGGCACGTGTATTAGATAGTATCGTACACAAAAAAAAGCTTTTTGCGCCCCCCTCGCATCTCGCCCAACTAGATTATCGCTAATAGACGGTAATAAAAGCAACCCAGGGTTTCCTTTCATGCGGAAATACCAATGACCGGGGCGGATTCGGATGTTTTTCCTGCAGTTTTTATGCGATAGCTTATATACTTTAGACAGTATATTATTGCTTTCTTCTCGAGGGGTTTCGATTTCCCTCGTTCCTCCGTTCCTCAGCGAACTTCCAGCAAAAGACAAAACTGTCGGGTAGATTATTAGAGGAAAGAGCGATTATTTCGAACTACCCGGCTTTTAAAACGTTCAGTTTTTAGTAGTAGGTATATTTGAGTTGGAAACTCCGGAATGAATCCCGATTCTAATCCGCCGCCCGGAGTTGTCGTTAACGTTAAGCAAATCCGAAAAGTCTCGCGGAAATGACAAAGAGCGCCCGGCTTAAAACTCGGAAGGAGATCATAAGTCAAGATGTAAACATAAAAAGGTGGAGATTATAACTTCATTTTTAATAAGACGGAAGAGCGATGAGAACGCCGCTTCAGTACTATACCGGGGATCCGAGATTACGGAATTTAACGTCGACGTCCTAATTGCCAGGATCATTAGCCCGGAAGGAAACTACCGGCAAAATTACGTTATTAAAAAATAGGTTCGATACGCTTTTTTGCTCGTTTCATAATTTTAATTATCCTAATGGATTAACCGTTTTTGTAGCGGGTTGTTTTCGGACGAAAGGAAAATCCGAATATCTGATGGAATCGAAACGGAAAACCCTTTATTTATTTCAAAATAAAACGAACGTCTGCTGAATGTTTCAGTTTATTAATTTATCATGAGCTTCGATAGACAGCCTGCGTTGAAAGCTATTTCAATACCAAACGTGCTTACTGAATACTTCATAATAGCGGTTTATGCATTTGCAATAGTAATGAGCCTCCACCCGTCAATGTTATGATATCCGAGATTATCATCTAATTATTCTCCTGCATGAATTTAAATCGGCCCGTAGAGTTTTCGACATTGTTCGAAGCGCGGTATTTTGATCGTTCCTTTCATCTGTTAATTCTGTCACGTAGCCGATTCACCATCTTGGGGTCTTTGTCAAGGGCTGATGCATCCCCGTATCGACGAAACGAAGCGTCAGCTTGCAATCCCCTCGCGCAGATCCGAAAATGCGGCTTAAACTTCGCGAAAGCCGTTTTCGGTGTGGATTACCGAAAAAATGATGGCATACAAATTGGCGGTTTCGCCCCCGTTATGACCGCTAACGGGGCGTTTAAGTGATATACATGCTAAGAAGCTGGAAAAATGAATTTCGCCGTTGTATTTACAGCGCGCTAATCGATATGTATTGCGAAAAAAGAATGGATAAAATTGACTCGCTTCTCTTATCTCCCGATTCGATACGGCAAGTTCGGTGCTTTATTGGCCGTTCAGAAACGTTTCTCGTGTAAACTTCCATTGAAATAACTTCATATCGAACGGTTATTGAGTTACGTTTATCTTGAAAAATAGTTGCCATAAAACGGCACGTTTTCCATACACACAATCCCGAATGCTTCTCGCCTAATTAGGTATTTTATTGCATTAATTATATTTCGAAGTAAGGGCTCCTCTGAGGAACCCATAATAGACGTTAATGAGGATGTATAATGGCGAATTTATGCCGATTCTGTGCGAGGCTCGGACCCTGCCCTGCAACCCGACCGAACTAATATCAACTCGGCGTACTAAAACATCATTAAGCGGGGTCGCAGTCGAGGCTTTGGGGTTGCAAAACGGCCGACAAATTAATAGAGATCTCGTCGAGATTATCAATAAACTTTGTTAACATAAAGAATAGCGCTTAATTGGCGTCGCATACGGTCGCAGAGAATATTCAACGGTTAAAATGATGCCGGAGAACGTATCGATTTTGCGTTGACTCTGTGGCTTCGCGACCGGATCAAAAATATATAAAACAAACCGGTGTGGGAGTCTTCTCTGGTGGAAACTGAGCAAAAGTACTCATTACAATTTCATCGGGTCTGTTTTCCAGCCGGTGCACTCGGCCGACGCCGGCTCTTTTTTCCTCGAGCACGTGAACCAATAGAATCAATAATTAATTCGCTCCGAGAACGAAAAACGCCGTACAAATCGAATTTTCGTGTTCTCGCCGAGTTCTCGAGCTCTCGATCCTTGCGAAAACGTGTTGCTCGTCGAGTTATCTAACCCTATATAAGGGTTGGAAGATAATTGTCTTTTCAGCGGCCGCTCGACTATTTACCCGCCCGGGGAAATTCCAGATAAAAAAACCGCAAAAGAAACAATGGGAAAGTTAAGTTGGAAATAAACAATTGTAAAAAACATTTTTACAATTCTGCGGCGTTTAGTAGGGAAAAAATCCCCTATTTGCGACCTATAGAACCGTATGAATAAAAAAGACTAATCCCGCCTATTCTCCCAGTCCTCTACAAACCGTCCCGACCGGGAGGAAAATATGCAAGTGCGTGACCCGCATCCCAAACAAGCGACTCTTCGCGTTGCTTTCCCGGAGTTCGGCCGAAAACTCCTCGAATAACTCGGCGGTATTTCTTAAGGTCCTTCCTTAAAGTAAATTCGAAAGTTGGAATCGCATTAGAGCCTTCTTCCAGCGCTTTTGGAGATATCTCCCGCTCGCCCCCGTTCGGGATATTGTCTGAAGTTTCCGAATGTATCCTCACAACGCGCCCGAATTTGATTTGCGGCTTCCTCCTGAGCCCGCCGAGCGAATTAATCATCGATTTTCGCATTGACCCCGCCGACATTAGGGTCAATTAGATTTACCGCCTAAAAAGACCTAACTTGTTGCTTAGTTAATGTTCTTTGCTGGGTAAACCTTATTGCATAATGGGAGGCATTTACGAAGAGATGTGCTTGTATTTATTATATCCGGGAATCTGGCAACGTGGCGTCGCGACGGCTCTCCCTTTTCGCTCGTTTAAAATGCCGACTGCAACGACCTCTCCACGGTTTCCACTAGGAAAATCTAATTATTTTTGTATTACGCTAAGTAGACTCGCGGGTGAAATTCCTCCGGAAACAATCGCTTCGGCGGAATGACTCCGCAAAAATTCATCGCTGATGACTTAATGAATTCGATAGAGAATAAGAACGTCTGCGGTGCAGGAAATTAGCAGCATTCTCGTTTTATTAAGTACAGGGAATGGAAATTGAGTATGCGAGTAATTGTATTTATGTAATGATATATTTTTGGTAGCCGTGTATTTTCAGTTCGGGGCCTTCCTGGTCGGTGTTATGTTGATTTAGATTTTAATTCGAGACCGGTGCTTATTATTATTTGGTTCAATGGTTTGTAACATCGGCAATTGAGTGTGGCACATTCGTTACATCGCATTTGCAACAAATCGGCTTTTCCGTTGGATAATAATTAATCGTACAGTCAAATATATTGATCAAAGTCACTCGAAATACCCACTTTCATAATCATCTTGCATCATTAACGAATTTTACTAGGGTATTCCAATATAATAGACATTAATAGGCTATTAATACTCAACTTTTTTCTTCTGCTCGATCTGTCATTCCGGTAATTTCAATAAAATTTATTGGAACTATTCTTATCGGAATGAATTTAAAATCCGAAGAATCGGCTTTTATCTCGCTGTAAAATAGAAAAGATTTCATCCACATTTCTGCTGAATGAATAATGCAATAAAGCTATAACAAAAATTCCGGAATTTGAATCCTCACTCGAATACGGCTAACTTTTTTAAGCTTCTTTTAGACAATAGGCATTACGTTTTCGAAATTTCCTCAATAAGTACCTTACGAATTCAATCTCTTGTAACAACCCGCTGACAATTTAATTGGCTTCAACCAGGAGATTAATAGTTGCTCGATAATTGCAATATTTTCAGATACTTTTGCTGACTTGGATAACAACAGCATTTCACCATTGGAATTAATTTCGCAACGAATTAGAATATTACTTAGCAATTGCTCGTTTTGCAACTGGACTCGTAATTAATCAAAGAATGCCATTTAATATAGTGCTCAAATAACTCGAGCATAAACTTCTATAGATGCATCCGTGCAGGCTTTATACTACTTAACTGATTGTAGATACGTATTTTTTTTTTAATTTAATTACACAGAAATGGGCGAGCAAAAGCAGAGGCAGTCAATTTAATTTCATTGCAAGTCACTAATATTTTACTGAATTATTTTACATATTTTAATGTGTTAGATTTACCCTTTCTAAAGTATAAAAGGTGGGTATTGTAAGATTAGATATTTTATCCTTAAAGAATAACGCAAGTCTCTACGCCATTGAATACATTCAATTTTTTTTAAATAAAGAGAGCACTCAAGCAGAAATGTACGTAAAAATCCGCGGATTAGCTAAAGATGGGCTATTAGAGAAAGTGCAAAAAAGAAGGGAAACATAATTCGGTTATAAAACCTGGTATACCATTAAGTTTTTATCATTGTGTATTCGTGAATACATTTGAACAAACACACACTGAAATGAAGCCTTTCCTGGTAGGTATAACGCACATTTTTTAAAGTGTTTATTTCTAAAGTCGATCAATTTCAGTTAATTGCAACTCTTGTAACCATAATCTCTGTGGTACATTCTGGTGACATAGGAGGTCACTATGGCGGTGGAGGGCACGATATAGGCGGAGGATTTGGCGGTGAACATGGAGGATTTGGCGGTGGAGATGGATTGGGTGGTTCCTCTGGATCATCAGGATTCGGCGGTGGCGGTCCAAGTGTTCAAACCATCACCCAGCAAGTACCCGTACCAGTACCTCAGCCCTATCCAGTGACTGTTAATCGACCAGTACCAGTGCCAGTACCACAACCCTACCCCGTCGTTGTTAACAGACCTGTACACGTTTCTGTACCTCAGCCTTATACTGTTGAAGTACCCAGACCCGTGCCCGTTACTATCACCAGACGTGTACCATACCCGGTTCCTCATCCCGTTCAAGTACCCGTCAGAGTTCCAGTGCAGGTAATAAATTTTTTATTTACACATTTTTGCGTACTAAACTTCTGTTGAATTATAGGTACCAGTACCTCAACCCTACCCTGTCACTGTACCCCAACCTTACCCGGTTCGCGTGCCCCAAACGATAGTCGTAAATGTACCCCAACCTGTGGTAGTAGGAGGAGGTGAAAGTGGAGGTTTCGCAGGAGAAGGAGGATTCGGTGGAGCTGGACTTGGAGGCGGTCACGGAGGAGCTGGATTTGGAAGCTATGGTGGCGCTCACGGAGGAGCTGGACTTGGAAGCTATGGTGGAGGTCATGGAGGATCTGGACTTGAAAGTTATGGTGGCGCTCACGGAGGATCTGGACTTGAAAGTTATGGTGGAGGTCATGGAGGAGCTGGACTTGGAAGTTATGGTGGAGCCCACGGAGGAGCTGGACTTGGAAGTTATGGAGGCGGTCACGGGGGAATTGAACTAGGAGGATATGGAGGTGGACATGGAGGCGAAGGTTTGGGAAGTTTAGGAGGTCATGGTGGAAGTTTCGGAAGCAGTCATGGAGGTGGTTCTGGATACTCGAGTGGCAGTTTTGGGAAAGGCGGTGGTTACAGTTACACCAGCGTGCAACTTGGTGGGCACCAATACGGCAGCAGCTCCAAGCATTGATGGTGTATTAACTGTACAAATTATGTATTGTAAATTGTTTATGTGATCTAGATTTAATTGAAATTTTTTAATAACATATTTTTTTATAAATAAACTAATAGAAGCAAATCATTCGTGTGTGTTTTTGACAACAGGTTTAGGACAACAGTGATAGTAAGATGTTCAATTAAAATGAAATGGGGTTTCGAACTAAACAGAAAAAAACACTTCCCCGTTTCTAAAACAAAAATAAATATACTTTTCTACTTATCATGAATATTTTAATAACGGAAACCCCAATGCGAACCTCGCCGGTATAAATTTCTTTCAAGGCTCCCGAGACGTACTGCATTTCCGAATAATGACGTTTTGTCACCCTCATCATAGATCTAACCGCCCTCTGTTCCAACAACGCGCGCCGTAATCCACCCTTCTCGCTTTTTCGCCCGCGCGGAATTTCATAAATTTCGGGAATCGCATTTGGGAACTTAAACAGTCTTCGAATACTTTTCCTAATTCACTTCGCCCGAAACTCCACGATAACTCACTTTAATGAGGTTCATTTTCACCTTACCCTGTGGTTTTTATTTTTTTTTTGTTTCGAGCGAATAAACTATTTCGCAATAATTCCATTTAATTCAAAGCTATCTATTTTGACCCTTCTTCTTTTTTAACGTGGAGGAGCTTTCGTTGTAGAATAAATATTTAAAAACGTATTAAACAACGGTTCAATTCCGGGAGTTGAACCGCATTTTTAGAATTACCTATTCATGTCACAGGAATATTTGCACAGCTGCGTTTGCAGTATCAACGTAACACTTAAAAGCTACCCTAAATTTCACGTCATGCCCAATAGATCCCAAGAATATATTATGTTTATAATGCATTAGGAACGAGAACGAACCCAATTTGTATTACATACAACAACTGTTACAATCATTATCCTCTGCGTGTAACAGATAGTAGATAACAGGAGAATTCAAATCCGCCAATAAACTTTATTGATTGATAGAATTACAGTAAACTTTACTCCCTATTAACGCCGAGTATACTGCATAAATTTGTCGGATATTTCTTTTTGTTCCCGCTACCGAGCGGAGAAACCTATAAAATTCAACTAAGCGCACTAACAGTGCTCTTCGCTGATCAATATAAAAGTAATTCAATCCTCGAAGGGGTTGATACCGAAGAATAAGGGATGATCAAGCGTTTCCCTATATACTTCAACTTTTATTGCTTAAGAAAGACGAAGCTCTCGCCGGCCGAGAGGGTTGTTTATTGGGGAAACAAATTTTTTTCGAACAATAGCGGAAATTCCTGACAGCTTTTATTGATCGAATATTACGGATTTTATCCAACAAATATCTACTCGTAACAATACCTATTATCACCATATGTGTGCAAAATTCGTACAATGGCTTTATTAATATTATTTTGCCCATATATCATATGGATTAATAATAAAAAAAAATTTCTGTATACTTTTTGTTAGATATTGGCAAGATTATATGAAAATGTTACACAGAAAACAAAGAGAATTCGATGTAGTATCAATTTTGCTGAATGTCTTGTATAAACTAAATAATGAACTTCCCTATAAAGACTTTTAATCGATTTCTATAATGCTTCCATGGCTGGTTGGTTAACACAGAACATATATGTTCTTTTTTTTGAATTTTAATATAATAATCTCAGTAATTTATCGCGTATTTATAATAGCTTCGGGATATTAATACGCGGATTTTATGGCAAAATGAAAAGCTCCCTAACTCCGACCGACACATCGTTAATAGTGAAAAACCAATAATTTCCTCCAGTTATACGACAACTTTTATGATTATTATCCCCGACAACAATCGCTTTTATTTTATAAAATCGGCCGAGCGAAAATAAAAACCACATTTTAAAAAATATAAACCCACCGTAAGAAATTTAATAAAGACGAATGGTGCGGATTAAAAACATTTCTCCAAAGGAATATAAATAACAATATTATTGTGGAAAATGTGTTGCACAGTTGAAGCTAAAAAAAACGATTAATTTACGTGCAATTGTATGGGTTTAACCCATTAAAACAAGAAGTTAAATTAAATTTTAATCGCGATAATTGTTGAACTACAACCGTCGACGATAAATTAAAAGTTAATTCACCAGCGCTCGCAAATCAGGCAGATTTTCGGCAATTAAAGATATTAACGCCGGATTGCCAAGACTAGCATAACCAAAAGGATCGTTAATTTCGACTGGAGGATTACGTTTGTCCCGTTTTTACTAATCTAATACTCTGTTCGATTCCGGGGAATTCGCCGAATCGTAATCCGGATTTGAAGAGGAAATTTAAAAACTCGCTTATTTGATGGAGAAACGCTTAATTCGATTTGAATTTTTCATACGCATTGATTAATTGAAATTTCTCGTTGTTAGAATTCAATTAATTGAGTTCATAAAAGCCGTTTGTAGATATCCACTTATGCTATATGTACTTTAAATTTGCTCTATAATTTACATTTGAGCCTCATCATATGAATGATCAGTAATCTAATCCTTTAGTAATTTAATACACTCTCTTTAGTATACATAATTTAAACAAAACAATTTTACTTCCACAAATGGTTGAACAAACTGGGCAAATTTAATGTAGCAATAAGCGTTGGGATTAAACCTAAGTTAATATTCTGTTTGACGGAAATTTCGTTGAAAAATGCGCAGCGCGGAAATAACAAATATTTAAAATTGCACCGGCATATGGTGGTAAACGAAATTACATCTTAACCCGGCGAATTGCGCTCGAGATATTTACTAAAATTTATGGACCTCTTCCCCTTTAGCGAAGCCGCAAAAATTACTCGCTACAAATTACTCGGATATCGAATCGTGCGAAAACATACAGGGTGCAACAACAACGTTTTTAATTCGCAAATAAAATAACTGTTCCTTTAGTGGTATAGTTATGTATTTAGGTAGCTCAATTAGTCGAACCAGAGCCACGTCAACGGTTTTGCATTTAGTCTCTAATTCAATAACGGAACCTAATAGCACCTCACTAATTACATCGCTTTTCACTGCATGTGGGAAATGTCCTTTAATAATTTCGAAATTTCCATACATGCAAGGAAGCACACAACTGCGGTTAATCAAATTGGGAACGCCACTATGCGGTAATGATGTTTACCAATTTCCTCGCACGTAAGATCTACCCGTTTTGATTAAAAATCGCTCTAAATAAGAAGCGAATAAATCAACGCGTTTTTATCGCTCGTGAAATTGAGCAATAACTCCAATAGCGCGTAATATTGAAGTAAACACAGCAGATTGGATTTAATTAAATTAGATCGGCTGTAGTTATGGAATTCGCTTCGTGCAATTTCGTTGGATAAATATTTTTCGCGATCATATTGTTATTAGCATTAGAAATTGAATCGGTACTGCAATAAAAATCATTGCTCCGAGTTAATAAGAACCTATAACATTCGGAACGTGTCTAAATAGCTGGTTAGGTTAATTGGAATTTACAATAGATCAGTGCGGAATTTCCGATCGTACGAGCCCATTGCAGTATGACTGGAATAGTTAATTTCTGGTTGTTTCTTATCCAAATGAGATCTTCTGTATTCCGCTATAATACCATTATATTGTCAAAAATAACGCGGTATTGAGATAAAATAAAGTTATAGATATAATTTTCTGGTTAGGTGAAAAATAATTAGTGGATCTTCACTAGTAGGTTTCCTCTTTTATGAGCCATCAGCAGGAAACGTTATATCTAATACAGCCTTTTAGAGATCCCTTTAATGCCTTTTTTAGCGTTAGAGTAATTAATTATATCTCAAATTTCCGGAGACTACCACTTCTAAATCTGGCTTCTCTTCGCGATAACGTGAAATTGATTTTTATAATGCACACGTAGTAGCGGCGGTTGGACTAAAAAACATTAACATTCCCGATGGATTCCTCCCGATTTTTCGGCATTCCATCCACGATTTCCGGTTCGATAATAACCGGTTAGCGAACACAAAACAATAGTAGAGCCGATATCGAAGCGACAAAATCGAACTGCTCTTCGGAATTCAAAGTCATAATCACCATTCTGTGATTTATCAAGCGATAAACTCTTCAAAGGATTTCCACGTTTGCTATATTTTCGAATTTCCGCCGAGGCTCTATTTGAAGGATGAGGCGCCCGCCTGCAGTGGCAGAGAATCTTTAACTAGGCAAAAAAATTAACAAACCAATCATTTGGTATGGAATTATAAAACATGGGAAAGAAAGAGTGTAAAAGTCAACGTTTAATTTAAAGAAAGGGACTAATTAGTAATTATAATTGGTAATAGAATCTGTGATGGATCTTGAAAAAGGGGCGACGCTGGTGCGGGAGCAGATTTGATGGAGGAGAAGCGAGAAGTTCGATAACATTTCGCGTAGATTTTATCTTTGCGTTACAAACTTCAGTTTAAATCCTTTCCGAAGTTAATCAAGCGAAAATGCAGAAAATCATAAGAGAACAGGCGAAATTTATGATTATCAGGCTGTACTGATAAAGAGTCGATAGAAAATCCGTACGACTTGCTAAAATATTCGCCAATGAAGCGGAAAATTAATAGACAGTTTTTTTTTATAAAATTACCTTCGTGATTGCGCGAAGGATTCCGATCAACAGTTGGAATATCAAAGTGCTGGGATACACATCTGGATAATTCCGACTTTTCTATTCCCTTTTGTGATCGGAACACATTGGAAATCCTTATTTACGAACGAATCCATTTCGTGGAAATGGCGGAAATTTCCTTGCTAAACCTCCATTCCCGTGGAAAAATGCCGTGCTTATTATAATAGTAA